ATCTCTAACTTATTTTAAAACCACAATCTATTATTTCACCGAGGACTGAAGTTACAAATAAGATGGCCAGTAGCTTCAAGGGATGTGCATGCAGCGTGCCAGTGCAGATTGATTCTGACAGTAATCGTCCCGGGAGATCAGCAATTCCATTTTAAAGGCATGGCAAATTAAAGTACGCAGCCCTTGACTTAACCTCAAAGCCTTCATAACATAGGGACACATTAATCCTTGACATGACGGTGATGCTCCAATAAACTAACGAAAGCAGTAGGCAGCTATAGAGAAGCCACAAGTCTTTAACCGGGATGGAACCTCAAAAGCAATTGGCCTATTCAGCTCCTGCCCTTTATGGAGAAGAAACGGAGAGAGCAACCTCTTGTCATCTTAATAGCAGCAATCACCAGCCACAAGCCCAATTTCAAGACAGTTGTGGGGCACTGCTGTCATATACGGGCCAATAAGTCTCATCACTTCGTGAAAACACAACAATTCTTGCTAAAGTAGTTTGACTTGAGACTATAGTCTGTAATTAAATATATAAAGATTTATATATTTAATCCAGCTCTAACCCACTTATTGTGACAGTGCCAAAACATATTATTTTGCTCTGGACTTGTAAGCAAAACATCTTCAGGCGGCTGTACATCGTTGCTCAGCCAAAAGTGCCATCATTTACCAGCAGCTGAACATTCCAGCGTAGCGTTTATACTTCAGCAGACCCACAAAAGATGTCGACAACAATGGAGAAACATTAAATGTATTTACGAACAATTGTGCGATGAAATGATAGTAAACAAAAGAAAACTATTATCGTGGCTCCCATAACAGACCGTGCTCAGGTGTGTCCAACTCCATCTTCCCAGGACACGTATCCCGTAACGGACTGTTGGGGCAAGTGCTGTTAGCGAGCACCTATGAAGGCCGGCACGGCATATGGGCGAGTAGGTGACCAGCACCACGCCCGGCCAACTTCGTCTCCCCAGGGGTAATGTTTACACACCACACCAGGTACTCAATTGAGGCCGAGTTGACCTAGCGGAGGCCCATGACGGTTCAGATAATCGTCACCGGTGTTGGCTGTGAGCGGGAATCGAACTCGGGTGGCCGGGTTCGTAGCGCAGTGCGCTAAGCACTACACCACCGCTCCCTCCTAATCAGTCTCCAGCACATCCCTCGCACCGGCAACCTCTCCACATGCTCTCATCCAAGATATTTCTCTTCCTTGGACAGAGCTTACCAAGCTGACCCCAAGGGTCTGCACAGAGGTCCTCCTCCACCACTAACGGGTATCTTTGAATATCAATAATTCATTCCTAATTAAGAAATATATTCACGTGTTTAATTCATTTCAATTAACCATTGTCTCCATGCTGGTCCCTCCTGTATTTACCAGACTGCTCAGACAAGTCAATAATACCCAGTCTTTGAGATGCCTGCATGATTCTTATCTGGCACAATGCTTATTAACACTTCGGCATCCATCTGCGTGAGATACAAAATGTGTTTGTGTCCCTGAAAATCCGTAAAATTTACTGAACCCATTGTGATCAGTTTGCTACACAACTTCCTCCACAAAAATACACTGACGTGTTATACACAAGTTTGGCCTAAGGGTTATCGAAATGACCATAATTTGCACGAGCAAGCAAGTCTATTTCCAGGGAAGTCATATGCACACACTGGACTCAGCAACTTGACTTGTTAAGCATGAGATGCGATTTGATCAAAACCGAAGAAGCTCCAATCCAGCAGAGAATAAACAATCTTCAGACAGTCCTCTTGCACTATGAGCCAGGAAACTGCAGAATCCATCTCACACCATACCCGATGGTTCCAGGTTCTCTCGTGACCCGTTGCCAGTCAAGCAACACGTTACCTCTGCAGTGCACTTTGCAAAACGTCACCAACTGTAATTGTGAATCTCCTGCACAGCTGTTCTCATAATCCACGTCTCTCATTTCCTGACCCTCTCTCATCGGATACACCTTTGACACGGATAACGGCTTTGGCTTCAGAACAAATCTGCGGCAGGAAACCCCACTCCGCTGCCTCTGCAGCGGGCCGTGATACAGCTGTCACGTCATGATCGGCATGCGTATCAACTTGGTCCATACATCTGCACGGTCCTCCAGCAAGGAAGGGCGCACACATCCCACGTGAACCACCACCACCACCATCATTGTCGTCGTCATCGGCAACATTGCACACGTGAAGCACAATGTCGCGCGGGCTACATACACACAAACAATATTCCTCGTGTAACATATACGGAGTTTGCATACTTGTCAACCCCTTATCAGTGCCTTCCTTATTACAGACCAATTCAGATGTTATTGGTCACCCCGTGCCCTTATACATCTCAACGTCCATCCAACAAAGTCCCATCACAAAGGAAACAAAAAATAGACGAAACATTTTTTGCCCGTATTGAAATGGCTGTGCGCCGTATGGACCTGAAACGCAATTTGCCCTGTACAAGAATCCGGGTAATCCATATCGTTTGACAGTTATGAGTTTGTCCTGTTTATGGTGTGGGTATAGATAGATAGCGCGCAAAGTAACATTGCTGGCGTTCACACAATGTCATCGTACAGCTCCGAATTCAACACGGAATTTTTGAATACCCCGAGTTCCGCAGGCACGGGCGATTATCACCTTTTGCGAGACAACCTCGGCACGTTTTGGCAGTACTATAGCTCTGCCATTAATGAATTTTCAACAATAACCTGTACAATTTCGATTTAAAGCTTTCGTGACTGCAAGGATTCATCTTCTTTGGTTCTTTCGGTAAAGTCACGTAGAATGAGAACACACTTGTGTTGTGGCCGAAACATCGTGAGAATTTGATTGTATTATTTTATTATTTTATTCTCATTCTACGTGACTTTACCGAAAGAACCAAAGAAGATGAACCTGTACAATATTGCAAAACACATTGGGGTTTCCATCAGACCTGTTCGATTGCCACCCCCCCCCCCCTTTTGTGACGTTCAAAGCCATTCACCCACACGCGATTCCCTCCCACGAGGTCCCAAACCAACACAGGCTGATACCACACAGCACGCAGCATCTCCTCTCCGCTGACCATCGCATCGTCGTTCTGCAACCACCACCACCACCACCGCCAACTGCTTCTGCCGAACCGCCGCCTTTCATTTGCAGCCAACCCAAATGCCTCCGGGTAATTTTTTTCTCTCTGTCCCGTTTTCAATGTTACCAACGTTGTGACCGCGTTGCCATCGCCTCCTGCCGAACACACCGCAAGTCCGGCTACCTGTTGGCACCGCAGGGGCAGCAGCAACGTCGCTCGCCGAAAAAAACGCAAGCATCAGCAGCTTGTAAACCTCCCGGGCAACCTCGAGTGACCTTTTGATGTAGTCGCTCCTCCGTTCACCACACGCAGACTCCTCCGCACGACGCCTCCTTGATAGCTGTTGTTCCGTCAAAGCAGGTTGGAAACAGCGCAGCCTCAAGTTGTGTGGCTTGATCGGCGCGTCTCGCAGCAACTCCCGCGGTGGCATATATATCCGCAGGGTCTCGCCACCTCCGCGATTTGCATTTAATCTATTGCCTTTGTTACAATACGCGTCTTTACATCCTTGCAAGGTAAATGAACCCATTACGGTCAGTTCCTGACACCAGCAGCCAGCCGACCATTCTCTCCCCATCCCAGCATTCAACCTTCCACGTGGGTCACGGGAGCTTCTCACGCTGCGTGGCAGTGCTCGGATCAATTGATCAAAATCACATTACTACAATGACGCATTTCATATTCACACGCACGCAATTTCCATGTTGGAATTTATTAAGAGAACTACAGTTTATGGTATTAAAAAAAAGCATGTTGCTCTTCTTAGTTTATGGAAACCACGTGTGCTTTTGTTGTTGTCGACTGTGTGTGAGCATTTAGTAAATGCTCGTCAACAGTACTTGCCCCAACAGTTTGTAAGGCTAAATGTGAAATCATTGTGCCTTGCATGTGCTCCAGTGCACAAAGCCCTGCACGAGTGCCGTGGTGATGTCACCATCACCTTGCGGTGAATGGCTGCTGTTGTGTGATGTGTGCAGACATACGTATGTGTGTGTGTGCGCCTAATTAGGTGCTTATTTCCAGGGCACTTTGTGAAGCTCACAATGCCTCCGAACCGGTTATTCATTTCTTCATCAACCGAGTGCGGCGTTGTATTGAATCGTATGCTTATTGCAAACATGTTCCACGTTTGTTATGAAACTTATGTTCTATTCCCGACTTACTCACACCCATATATCACCTGCGTACGACAGTGGCGTTACACATGTTGAATCATGGACTGCAAGAAAAAGAGATTTTATTTCACGGTATGGTTTAAAATACTCTTCATTCACCATGGGAAGATGACATCACCTTATCATTAATACGATAGAGGGGGACAGTGAACTATACAAAGGAGGTTGGGATAATATAGGGGAGACTGAAGGGAGGTAGGTGGTGTGTGTAGAATAAAAGTATTCTTTGTGCTCACATTGTTAGACTGCTATGTGGGATTACATTTAAAAAAACGAATTTCAGGGACATCATGAAAATGTATGGAAAATGTACAGATTTTCGGTGTGGTTTTATGCGTATAGATGAACGACCAGAATATATTTTCACCCACGTGTAATGTAAATTATTACAATTGTTGCTCTGATCTTTGCTGTACGAATTAAAGAGAAATGTGCTAGTGTGTATTGCATTAGATGTGTTGTGCTCCAGTTAGAAATATTTATTAGTAGTGTTATCTATCACACAACTGTTCATGACAGGAAAGTTCAATTTTGCAAGTTGCACTACAGTATTTCTTTACTATCACACATGTACCGCATATGATAAACCATATTTTACTCTTATTTCTGTGTGTGACAGAATAAAACACATTTTGGCTAAAGATAGCCATTAATGTGAATGCACGAGAAATGAAAAGGTAAACATGATTTGTTCAACCATGCAGCAGCATTTGATCGGGGAATGAAAACAAATATGGCAGACACGTTTCTGTTTATTGTTTTCAAATGTTTTCCATTCTTTTCTCTTATTATCACTTGTCAGTATTTTTTTGCCAAGCCTCTATGCGGGTAGAACTAGGCAAAGACACACACACACAAAGCCCCTGGTTTCTGCCTTTTTTTTCATCGATAAACGGTCAGGCTGTCAGCCACAGGTTCTTTTCACCTCCATGTTTCCCTTGCCATGCAAGACGTGCGTTACGGCACGCAAGCAATGACATTTCGTACAAAGACAATAAAATAAAGGGAGTTTTTTTTTTGTGTCACGGCTTAATGTCTCGAGGTCTCATCCGTGGGCCACGGCACGGTGGAAACAGCCAGCATACAGGTACCGTAAGTTCAGTGGCAGGGCACAAGATGGGCCCCCCATAGAGGCAAGGGGAAATGTATTTTCTGCATCCTTGACTTCACCTCCCCCCACCCACCCACTCGCGTGGTCCCGATAAGCTCCCCGCACATCAGCTCCTGCCACCCCTCACATTAAATGGCGTTAAATGACCCTTTATGTATCAACTCTCTTACCTTAGTGCTCACTTAAATCTGTTTGCTCTTGCTGATCTAATGTGGGCCACAACATTGAAGCCTGCAGGCAACGGAAATTGTCAGCGTACCCTTAATGCACAGTTGTTGTGGCGAGGAGTGCCATCGGGGAATGTGGCGATGTGGGCCGCACATGTACGCATTGTTCTACGTAGAGCAATATGTCAGAACACGTGCATCATGTTGCGCAACTGAAGGCACTTAAAAATGTGTGCGACGTCGCAAGTGAATGTGTTTCATTGACACACATGCTGTTGATGTCAAGTGTTTTCAAACATTTCAATACGATCATCACAGCAGCTCTCTGATCCTTTAATAATTAAATTCACTCGTTTGTTGATAATTATTCCCAATAGAGATTGTCTTTACAAAACTACAATGTTTATATGTTAATAATTTGTGAAAACACAAACATTTTAAAGGGTGCTGTAAATTAAATTGTTTAATTACCATGTACACCACCTACAAAACGCCACGTATTGTTTGCATAATTGAAAAGGGTCACATTTCTATTAGGTTTAACAGCAAGTTAGCTGTAACATTTTATCTTTTATTCCATTAAAAGTAATGCAAAATCGAGCATTACATAAAAACATGCTAACACAGGCTGTTAAATTTACAACATTTAATGAAAATGGAAATCCTCTTTAATATAATATTAGCAGCTCTGAGTTACAAATCTTATTAAAGCATATGAATATTATTAACCGGACCAAATTCAAACAAAAAATAATTGAACACAATGGATTCCCATTATATTCAATTATCAGCGTAATATATTCAACGAAAAAAAAAATGAAAATTGCATGATTAGTTTTGCACAGAAAAAAATATATAGCACGAGGCAATTAATACACGTATATGATTAAAAAGGGCTAGAACAAAAAATACATTTGTAATGCTTACAAGTGTAACACACCACTCATACAAAATGTTGTAAAAAGTAGGCTAAATACACTTAGCTTATATTTTTTGTCAGAGGAAAATAAGCATCTTGCATACATGATATCGATTACAGATGATATTCCAGTCATGTGCATCATGTAAAACGTTTATAAATAACATCTGCGACTCATGTAGGTGTGCCATGCTCCATTGTAGACAACTACAGTAAGTTCACGTCTCACATCACCCAGCCCATTACGACAATTCGGAGGTGCTCATCTCCACCACACTGCCCGGTATTCAAGTACAATTCAGAAAATGCACGATGCCTGCTTACTTATGCAGTATCAGTGCACTTTGGGTTGTCCTGTGCAGGACTCTGGGCAGAGAGAACTGGACGCGAAGCAGTCGCCACATCCCTCCAGGAGCTCCCGGAGGAGTAGATTGGGCGCCGAGTGATTGGAAGGCGCTTGGTCTTCTCTCCTGACTCCCAGGCAGAGAACGGACGAACCGTTGGAGGTTGTTTGAGCGGCTGGAGGTGGGAGTCTCTGTTCACCCGGGAATGCGTCCCCTTCCACGGCAGCCTCTCCTTTGCCTCCACCGTGCCATAACAAACAGACGTCTTTTAGAATTCTGCAAATGATGTGCGTTGTATTACGGTAACGTTACCAACCGTGGCCTATTCTTGCCAGAAGTGGGAGTATCCACCCTTTACTCCAACACACGCGAGCTGCCGATTGACTGACTGCAGGTTACCCATTTATACAGGATAACCTACTGGACATCTGTGTGAAAAAAAAAGCTGTATAGCTCATTTAATTCCTCCAGTTGTAGCAAATATGTGATTATGACACTGCTCGGTGAACAGAGGCAGAGGAATTTAAGAAACTTGCCCGATTGTTTCAGCTGCCACATGGGCAGATAAAACCTGCGAACTCTGGATTGCAAACCCAATTGTGCTGTTACACCAAGGTCGTAGTATCCCGTGTGTTGAGTATATTGTCAGAACTTTGAATAGCCAACAAAACCCTTTGAAAGTCAACATATTAATAAAGTAAAATAATTAATCAAAGGTAATTAAAGAACTGCATCATGGGAAGGCCAATTAGAGCAATGGACATTGTTATGTTAATAGCGCTACCTCCTGGGTGAAGTCATACTGACAACAGATTGTTAGCATTTGACTAGGCTAAAACCAAGCTATTCTTCGGCAAGTATAAAAGCTTTCACAGTTCATGCAAAAAAACAACGTAATACATGTGCAAGCTTACGTATTCAAATAAGTTACATAAACAAAAACAGGAATAGGGGATGTTTATAGAGGAATCGGTTTTATGCACACCTTGTTAAGCAAGAAGTGGTTAATTGAGTACAACAAATGTGGGCTCCGATCTGGCAATTAATGACATAACTGGGTTTTCCACTATTATAATCTTCAGACTCATTTGATACTTTTCAATCATGATTTAGTTTGTTATCCTTTCCCTGTACCTCCGATTAACACGTTTGGCTACTACGGTGCGAAAGAAGTTCAACATACATGTATGGTATCCATACAGTGATTTTACTTCTTGAAAGTTTGTTCGCTACTCAATGTCTACGAATGGAAAACTCGGAATATTGTGTTGTCATTCAAGACTGTCCGTTTGTCAACTTCATTAAAATGTCCGTTTTCCATCTGCACCTTGTGTAAAGTGTCACCTCTCACTCTAAGTTAGTCTTCCTTTTCCATAACCCTGCCTCCGAGTTGACATAATTTTCCATGCCCTATCAGGCAACAGCGCCTGGAATAAAATGCAAAGCCAAATCCAAATTTTTTGCAACATAATCATAATTTGGTGTGTATGCAAATTGAATTAAGCATGTAGATAAAAAAAGTGACTCTACACAGTCATAAATCACTTTATAATATGACACTGTGATTTGAGAGAATTAGATATACTCAATGAAAACTAGACTATATAAAAAAATAAATACGAAAAGAGTAACCGCAGTTTAATACCAATTAATTTGGAAAGACAGTGACAGCTTACGGACCCAAATGAAACGCAGCTGCATTGTCTAAATAGGTAAGCGTTCTTACCAAGGGTGGCTGCATGTCTGAAGCCTTTGTTGAAAGTCCACGGCGGACACCTGGAGCTGCACTCTTGGATCTGGTGGTTGGTGGTGTCTCGTTGCCCTTGAGGGCTCTTGTGGTTGCAAGCAGCTGCTGAGGTAATCTTTTGCCGGCCAACCCTGCATATGTCCTACCTCCAACTTTCTCTCCGGTTGATGGTTGGCCCGGCAATGCAGTATCGTTGCGAGTGATCGCGGTGTTTGAATGATTCACGTGCTTACGCGAATCTTGCGACAGCACTGAGGTGTCTGCTTGAATTTGAAATGTTTCAGTCGAATTAAGTTTCTCTTCTGATTCAGTTTTATCTGTACAATCCAAATTAATGCCAGTTTTAAGAGAATTAATTGAACTGTCTTTAGATGTCTCATCATTCTCTATGAAAAAGCCAAAATCTGAAGAGTAATTCCTTAATGTCTTCTTTTCAGGCTCTTTGAGCATCTGTCAAAGAAAAAAAGATGTGAAGAGAACACTTAAGTTTAGCAATAATTATGTTAGAATGAACATATATTTGCATATAAACGTTCTAGTAATTTTACATCTTCAACATACAACTCATGTGTGAGTTCATGATATGTTGGGACATATGGAAGCCATTTGGAGTAGGAATTTTTTTTTTTAAGGAAATGCCCACAATTCACTAAATTACTTCAAATGGAGCAAAAGTGTACATGTCTTTTTTTAAGTAACATGACGTCAACTTTACAAGGGCTGCCCAAGATCATGCAATGTTCTGCAATATAAACCAAGAACAAACTGCACCGTGACGCATGCCATCACTTGCTTTGAATGTGGGGAGAAAAAAATATTTTTCCAGGTGAGGAAGGTAAGGTGTTTTCCAGCAGTGTCACCTGACCATCACAAACAAATACTTACCAGGCTGTGAGTGAGAGGCAAGCCTTCTCGTTGCTTCACCTGCGTTTGTTTCGGTTCATATTCCACCACCTTGGAATTAAGCCACTCTAGGGGAAACATTACACATAATTGCATGACATTAACATTATGTTTATCCTATCACGAGTATATGTGCCGTATATCATTTAATGTCATTATTATAATGATGCCCGGATGAACCAAGAGTAATATGTATTCTTTGACAGTGCTTTCCATTGACATTCCATCTGTTCTGTTGCTAGGATGAACCAAGAGTAATATGTATTCTTTGACAGTGCTTTCCATTGACATTGCATCTGTTCTGTTGCTAAAATGTCAGATTGCTCTTGGGAATCCATCCTACTTCAAACATATATTATCGGAATCGGCAGACTCTCTCATAACATAAAACAATAAGAACTCTCTTTGTAGATAACACTGCAATGTCTAAAGCACAGCAGACGCAAATTTCAAAAAGAATTGCTTCATGCCGCATCTACCATTCATAACACGATCAAAAACAAAAAATGGTACTAACCACAACAAAGATAAACCCTGCCCTGCAATTACATTGTAGACCGAGTTCTGTGTGGCAGATCCTGTAAATCTGAGATGCAGCAATGGTCTCAGCTTGACCGGAGAGAGATATTCTTATCATCGTGATCAGTGGTGAAGATGGCATGCTGAACCGCATTTTCCAGCAAAAGCGCCTTTGCTCCCTCCATACCTCCCTCCCGAACACTGCACCCACAAACCAGCCGCTTACCTGGCCATGCCAAGCACACCTGTGTCGGAAGGTAATACACACACACACACATACGGCACTCGATGCAACCGTGGTCACGAGGCGTTTGAGAGAAACGTCTCACCAGAAGGGCCCTCAGCCGTCAGTGCCACTGCGTGCCAGGAACCACAGGTCACCGCTCTCACGGGCCTCCCCGCCAGGTCGACTCGGCGCGCCACCCACTCTCGCCGCTCCGCTGGGCTCCCAGCGCCCATCACGTGGCTGCTCCTTCCCCACATGAACAGCTCGCCTTTGGCTAGAAAACAAGTTGCCTTAGTGTCACGTTGGTCTCGTGTTAGGTGCGTAGCACACTTTTATAAAAGTATAAAACTACAGCTCGATTCTAAATTCTGCTGGTGCTGCGAGAATTTTCTGTTGGAGGAAATTTAGCACTTTTTGAATTTCAGGTGTGGTTCAGAGGGCCTAGTGAACGATTATCAAATCATCAGTGATTATGAGAACGAACATATTTAATGCATATGATGTTAGTGATATCAAGCATGGGCAATTGTTACAGACATTTATTTATATATTACTATATTTCGTGGATTGATTAATTACATTTCAACCCAGGTTGACGAAATTGAGCATTCATTTAATAACATGGTAATACAATGTAATACATTAAATCAAGTAGTAATTGAAATGGTTCATTGATGATAAAGGGTGTCCATGAAGTTATACAATTTTAAATTATTATAATTAGCCATTTGAGCCAGCTCTATAAAACTATACTGACACACACACACATTTGGTAGGGTGAAGATAATATTGTAAACATTTTATCCCTATAAACTTCCACATATCTGCCATGGTGTTGGCAATGCACATCGTATCAAAAAATGACAGTCCCACATGTTGTGCAACCTCTTCGATGGGATTTTTTCAAATTCTTCAAGCATGTACTGGTGAAGATCTCTAAGTTTTTCAGTAAAAAAAATGGGTTTTGCAGTAAAAAATACAAAGTTACATGCATAAGAAACATGTTGCAAACATTGCCACCACACAGTTCAAACTGACATTTGTAATCCTATAATAAGGGATGATACCTTTATGGACATAGTGGATATTCCAGAACACACCAGAGAATAAGCTGATCCAACATAAATTGTGTAATAAATGGTGACTATATGGGATACTGAAATTTACATTGGAAGGGTTTTAACGGCTTTAGACGTGAGTGATAAGAATGCATATATGCACACAATATATATTTATTGTATAGTAAACTATGCATTCCTCCACTTTTTATATTGCTAAAAAGATATTAAATAAAAAATCAGACTCTTATGTCAGCATAGTATTAGGCTGCTGCATTTTTGTTGCATATATTCCTAAAACTTTTTTTGCCAGCTCTATAATTATATGTAAGCAGTTTACAATAATAAAAAATAAGGTTATCACTATACATGTTATGTACCACTATTCATGAGCCCAGGCAGGAGTTTTATGCATTTAAAATAATTAAAGTAAAGTGCAAAGACATTAGAATTGTATGCAGCCCAAAACTATTTTTTGCAATTAATCCTTTGCATCCCAAGATCCAAAAAGCCAAGATAAATTAGAAGCATTAGGTAGATTATTGGAATAACTATATACTCTAACGGAATAGTTGCAAAGAGAGGAGCAAAATAAGGTGTGTTTCTATTGCTACTCTGTTGTAGCTAAAGTTCTTAAGTGGGTGGCATAAGAGAACCATTGAAACGCCATCAAATTGGCACTTAAAGGCTTGTTGTGTGAACTCCGTGCCTTTGCATTGCAATTATGTGTGGCTCCCTGTGTAAAGCTATGTGACATGCATACAAGCAGTGTGGAGCGATGCCAATTAACATCATTTGAAAGGGGATTAAAATCCCCATAGAGTCCTATAGGATTGAAATGGGAATGAAACAGCCCTGCCCTCACATAAAACATGTGTTAAGGGTGCAAACCACCACTGTGGTGCGTACTGAGTCACCCAAGCTTGACCAAATAAGCCTCATCAACGCTCTTGTTTTTCAGCGATTGTTGCGTATTAATAAAACAGGGCAAGCTCGCCTAAAGATCATTGCACAGCTTGCTGGTGATGGAAAAAAATGGCTAATTTCTTCACGGTAAGGCTGCGTTGGTGGAACTCACACTGCATATAGAACTGCCGGGCAGTGATTCCTACAGGACTTGTGTTTCTTTAAATCTAGTAAATGTGCCAATTAAGTTATAACTTAACATAATGGGGGCAACCAGAGTACTTGCTGACTGCAAATACCACATGGATGACTCCTGCCTCCCTCCCCTCTACTGCCTCCCCATTTTCCTTTTGCCGTCCCTCCTTCTGCAACGCTTGGAAACCACCCGGAGTGTTTTGACCAACAAGTATTTTGGTCACGTGATCACTGTTGAAAATACTCTGCCCTAAGATTGTAATCAAATCCCAACAGTTGTGCATACGTGTAAATGTATTATTAAATTATTAAGTGTGTTTTTTTCTTTTCACATCGACTACGTGATGTGTATGATGTACTTCCATTTATAAGAAACCTTAAAGAATATTATCATGCAAACAACGTGCCTTATCTTTACAGTGCAATTGCCCACGTTATGACATTCAGGGTATCGGCTATATTCATACGATGCGACCCACGTCTGATTTACACACGATGCAGGAAACCGTGTAAGGTTATTGACGGATACTTGTATAGTGCATACAAGTCCATACAAGTGGAAAGCATAACTAACTACATTACACCTGTCCCTTCTTCACCCCTGCACAAATACTGCGGGATTAAGGGCTGTGTGTGTGAGACTCTGTGAAGCTGCCCACAGTGCTGACACACAGCTGTGATGGAGTTATGCATCGAGTGTTCCATTTTATGTAGAAGTGACACACGGCTGGAACCCATCACTCCCTCTGCCCCTGCCACGCAGAGAAGTGTAGAGTGGCATGAGTTGGGGCTGGGGGAGGCCGAGGGTTTGGAGGGAGATCATCACCAGTTACAGCAGCACTGTAGGCATCCCCAGCTGTGATTTGCACGGTCCGGCCATCCAGGGGAGGGCACGCCAGTCGCCGCGGCACAACTAAGAACGGCACCCGCTGACCGTGGCCCAGCTGTCCCTAGAGCCGCAAGAGATGGACGGAGACTTGAAGAACTGGGGACGCCGTGTGTCAATGTGGCTGGACATTCAACACCGAGTATCCAACATTAATTAGTTCAGTGAGCAGCTACATTGTGAGCCAGAACAGGCAAAGGCGCAGCCTTGCAATTGCTTGCTCACGCCACTGCTGGCGGGAAGGGCCTCCACTCGAGAAAGCCCTAGAGAGCCCCTCTGTAGGGTATTTGGCCTACTCTTCCACGCTTGAATGTCCCTCGATGAACAGAGGACATTGGAACTCTCGATAATACATTCAAGGACCATTTTTCTTGTTGAGTAATAATTGCCATGAACAAAGCAAATGTGCATAACACTCATGAGAATAAATAAATAGATAGATATACCTAAACATGAAATGTACTCAATATAACTTTCAATGCTCTGAACTCGAAGTGTTATAGCACGCCGATTCACTTAACTAATGTTTGAATATTGCACCACAATATAAATGGTCTCTGTGCAGCCTTAATGCATTAAATTGAATACGTGATAATATACATATTAAAAGCATAGAATACTGTGCTTGTATAGCCAAATCGTGCTTACCTCTTGACCTGAGCCCCAGGAGTATACATTTCCACTGTCTGCAAAACAGACATATCTGGATTAAGCTTTGTCTTGTCAATACAAAAGCTTGACATTGTAACTACTGATTTAAAGCTTTCGTGACTGCAGGGATTCATATTATTGGTTCTTTATTATTGTATTGTTTCCCTTCTACGTGACTTTACCGAAAGAACCAAGAAAATATTGTCACTACTGTTAAGCAACGCAAAGCTAACTACCATAAACAGTATGTTAATTTACAAAATGTAACAATGTTTACTTAATTTACAAATGTAACAATGTTTACTTGAAGCTTTTACAGATGTGCAAAGTTAAAAAGGATCACATTCTCAAAATCGTTTCACTGGCTCTCTCATATCTATCGAGTATATATGTTTCCATACACTCTACAATATCATAATACATTGTAATCTTACAATTTATCATTTGCATTTATATAGATGCTGAATAGTGTCTGTAATAAATGTATGTATGGTAAACTTGAACGTTTTGGTGAACAGATATTGTTCCAATACTCTTTTCAACGACTGGATTTGCTCATAATTAATATTTTTTCATTGTGAATATTGCATGTCCGTGGCTTCTCTAGAAACTATTAGCCTCGTTAAATGTATTTATTTATTTTCGGAGAACATATTCATTTATTTGCATATATACAGTTTTTTTGTGAAAATAATCAAAGAGGGGTGTTATATATTCAGTATAATATTAATAATTATGTGATGCTGTTCACTGCCTGTCTATTTTAATAGGTGACTCACCCCATACGCACTCACACAACATGAATATGTATGGTCACAAAGGTCACTCTCCAGTCATTAATAATCCTGTCATCTTGCTGTATGAAAAAAGAGCTCACGCCTTTAAAAAAAAAGGGGGTCACGGTGGAATTTACAGAAGACCGCGTGTATGGACAAGTGTCCAGAGCGTGGCACACACCCATTGGCAAATTAAAAGGGTGCCTGCCTTCCACTGGCCCGGTGCCATGGGCAGGCAGCGTATTGTCCTGGCACATTGGGGTGTTCAACTTCACATGGCAAAGCCAAGGCCCTCGCCGTAGGCTTTGGTTACAGGCCTGCAAACATTTATCATCTTTCTGGGCCACCGTGACAGCGATGCAGGAGGGGTCAGCCGATCCCGGCAGCTGTACGAGGCATGGCTAATGGTGGAGAGAGACGCGCCGTCCGTAACTAGATGCTAATGCATAATCCTATAAATTACCCGCACCTCTTTAGCAAAGTGCTCGCCTGTCTCCTCATGCGTGTGATTTGCACAATACGCCGAACGACTGACTGAAAAAATGAAACATTGTGATGCTAAATATTACTATCATCTATATCAAACACTCATCACCGAAACGGGCACACTTTATGGCGTTGCATTAGCTTTAGGTGAAAATTAAAATGCGTCAATAATTTACCTGAAACTGCATAAACAATAGCACCGTTATATATTGGGTGTGTGAGTAACCTTCACAAAGACAACAAAAATGTTTGCATCCTACAAGCTTGTTTTAAAAAGAATATATGCATTTTAAGTTCCAACCGATTTGATCAAAACCATTTTAAATTTGAACCATTCTTATGCAGCGTATAGCAAAATCTTTCGTAAGATTCCGTATAAATACAGCAGACATGCAAGGAAGATTAGGGTTAAAGGTGAAAAGCTTCAATATATTGCAGGAAGGGAGTGGACAGAAATAACTAGGGCCAGAATTGGAGTCGTGCAAACGCGATTCAGCGGGCTACAGGGAGGAAGCGTCCCTGGTTATTAAGATGTCAAAAGCCACGAGGAATAAAATTGAAATGTCAAGCGGAAGGTGCTGCAATATTTAGGGGCTTTTTGGCAGAAGGTGAAAAATCTTTCACAAAACCCAAATACGTTCTTGTCTGTGGTGCTGGACGTATTTGCTGTTTACAGTGCATCTCAACAGAATAATATATATAAAAACAAAGACAAAGATCCTCCATATAGCCTTTAACAGACTTTTGGGGCAAGTGATGTTAGTGAGCACCTATTATGGAGGTCGGCATGGCACACGAGGAGGTGGGTGGCTAACACCACGTCCGGCCGCCTTTGTCTCTTCAGTGCTGATGTTTACACACTGCATCAGGTGCTAATTTAAGGCTGATTCAACCTAGGGGAGACCCAGGACCAGTTTAGATATTCGTCATTGATGTTGGTCGTGAGCAGGAATCAAACTCGGGTGACCGGATTCGTAGTGCTGGTGTGCACTAACCACTACACCGGTCCCCACATATACATATATAAAACAAACAAAACAAAGATACCCCATATAGCCTTTACAGACTGTTGGGAGAAGTGCTGTTAGCTAGCACCTATGAAGACCAGGCCATACCGGCCTTCATAGGTGGTGATTCGCGACGATAAATTGAGTGTATACATCCATTTAACCAGCTTGCTGTGTTTCTTCTATAGTTTAAAACCTCCCTCTATTCAGCAATCAGCGACGGCATGAAAAAAAACTCCACTTTTAGCGCAAAGAAGCTCACACAGCTCTATCTGCAAATACATCTGTAAATATTTACTAGCAAACAAACCAACACCACATGACGCAAGAGCACCAGAACATGTCACTCGAGTCCGTTTAGCTCTGCTAAAGCTGCAGGAACTTAATCGGAGCCAGCCAGTCAGCCGGGTGATGTAAAGGTCAATTTCATGGCTGATTTCAGCGTACATAAATATACACAGGTCATTTCAAGTTTACCGAGTTCATCAAAGTAGTTTGTCCTTTTTCGATCGTGTTTTGGAAGCCTCCCAGTGTCTCCAATGATCTCACATTTATATCGAGCAGTCAAGAGATGTTTTGAAATAATATATTTTAGAATAGGCTGTCTCATAAGCATTTCATTGACAATGTTGTAAGATGATACAGAGTACTCAATTATCCATTGATAAATGCAGCATATAAACGTAAATGAGTCAACAAAACAAAGTTATGTTATACACATTTTTAAACAATTGCTAAACAAGGGGCATTTATATTATTAGCCAAAACCACTACTTTATCAATCCAATATCCCTTTTATCACGTGGTGTGTCAATCAAGAACTACTGAGAGGAGAAAAAGGACACAGCTTGCATTTGCGAGCTCATCCATACATTGCCATGTTCTGCCCTTGTTGGTAGAGTTAATCCAGTCTTTTGGGTCCACTTATGTGTGGCAGAACAGCTCAACCACTGGCCAGTGCATTTTAGGGCATTGGTGCTAACGTTTTATCAGCCTATGGCATGTGTTCCACAAGTCACTGAGCTCTTTAATATACTGTTGGAAATACAGCATGAACATGGTAACAAGAAAAACTTGCACTCATGCATATTCGTGTTATAGCAAACCGATAAACACTTGATTAAGAACGTGCAACTGGTTTTCTGCTTTGGGGCACAGTGGCGACATAGTGATTCGCGCACTAAACTGAGTTCTATTCTCCACTGTGACTCATGTCAGTGGTGTGTGCTCTCTAAACCGGCACTGGGCCCCCACCTTCACTAACCCATGGACCAGCGTGGTTAAATATGGTCAAACAACCCAATGACTAACACAGCATGGGGAGGGAGGCCTTTGAGCAACAGTGGATACACAAAGGACTGTAAATAGTCAGTTATTAATTATCCTTATAAAATAAAAATAGTAAAATAATTAAACACATGAATAGTTAGGAGCGAGAGGCTTGTAGTGAGGCCCCTTCACAATTAGCCTTTTTGAAAAGGCCCAATGGTGTATTTGGCACAGCTGCCCATCGCAACGTGAATGATGTGATATCGTTCCAAAGAAATGGCCATCATGCAAAGGCAATTAAAACTAAATTCCAAACTTCAACAATCGCCGCAAACTAAACAACGTGACATAAGTAATGTGTATTTCCTTTACATATATCTAAGACTCTTTTTGCAAATGCAATAAATATAACGGGAATGCATATCACCTGAATAAATAAACAACTTAATTGGAATTTCCAACTTTTTGCAAATTACAAATGTACATTTTACTACCAGCAGATGATAATGAGTATAAAGCAATATAATATTCTTAAATATTGATGTAGAACGTGTTACTATCAATTAATCAATGCAGCGATTAAGAACAAAGATAATCATATGCTGGAGTTTTCAACTCTAAAACTCTAAAATAGACTTGAAGTGGTATAATAAATGGAGACATTAGGTCACACGAGCAATATTTTACAACAACACAAAAATCCATGTTTTCAAGAAGATGAGTAATATTGATGAGCTCCGGTGTAATCATCACACTCCGGACACTCGACCACACCGTGATGGAGAGGGGGAGAAACTGACCTGTCATGGCCAGACTGTGGGCGCCCCCTCCTGCAACAGCCATCACTTTGCCACAGCGCTCCATCATCATGGTCTCGGGGTTTAGCAGGTCCTGAGTCAAGCAGCCGCATGCGCGTCCATACCCCCACGCATACAGCCTTCCACTCGCTGTTAGCACAACAGAGGATTAAAAAAATATATATACTTGAAATAATATTGTAAACAGTGCTGTGAGGTACCAACATGTCCAGAAGCAATGCTTAACTCATCCGTGATCAAAGGATGAGATAGGCGCCAAAGTGGAGAGATGTTAACTACCTTGCCTGGTGTATAAGGTGTCGTGGGTTCGATTCCGACCCTAATGCCTGCTGTATATTTGGAGTTTGCATGACTTTATCCCCGTGGTCGCGTGGATTTTTCTCTGGGTCCTTCACATTTCTCCGAGTCCTACACGGGTTTTCCCTTCCACATTTACAAACGTGCATTTACAGTATTTGGCTGCTATAAAATGTCCACGTGAAAAGCCACTCTCTTGGGCTACGATTTATTTTTGGCCAGATTGCTTCTGAAAAAAAGAGCTGGAAAGCTCAATGGGCCTTACCTGGTAAAATACAAATAGTTTTAGTAGTATTTTATTATTTCAAGATAAAGGTGCAGCCCTGCAATATTTTGCTCGCACCACCGCGGGCAGAAGGGCCACAACTGGAGGGAGTTCTAGACAGCCCCTCTAAAAGGTATTTGGCCTTCTCTTCCACATTGGCCAGACATCTTGGAAGATATATTCAAATACAAATTGGTTTAATTTGACTTATATAACACTATTTCACAGACATCTTATCCAGCTCAACACATATTCTCTATGCGAACACTGAACAAAAATATCATTTGAATAATTCATGTGATAATATTCACACGGATAAAGTCACAATGGTCTTATTTAAGTGATATAACAATGCAATGTTTGGATCTATCTCTTTGAATATGGATAACTACATTTCTCAAAGTTTACAAATTGTGGAAATTATAAGCCTGAAGATAAGCCAGGAGCAAACTGCTTTCAGTGTTTTAACATAGCGTATATCCTCTGTGTTCTGACATACTTGGTGCCTTGATGATGTTACAAATCTTGACTGCTGAAAACAATGAAAGTTATATAAAAAGCGCTCGGTAGTTTACTTGTACTCTCAAGCTAGCTTATAGCTTGAACTCAGTGAGGCTGAAGACAATTCAAAAGAGTATCTCGATATGAGGAAAATCTCCCAAGGAAGAAATGCGCAACACTCGTCCAAATGAATTGTATTCTTCAATAGTACTGTTAGCACCGAATCAAGGCTGTAGGTTTCTGAGAAAAGGAAAGAAAACACTTCTCAGCTGGGTAAGGGCCATTCACCAAATCACCTACTTCTTACCAGTTATATTACATGATAGGGTGGGTGAAAAACTGATAGTTTAAAGAACTCGTCAGTGTGTGGAGTTTCAGCTCGAATACAACAGCCTCATAATTGGTGAACGTCAAGAAATTGATGGTATGAGCCTCATCCGAATATATGATGTTGAGGCTTTGTCAGCTTGTAAGGTTGGAGTCCAAGAGGAGGTTGATATCCTGTGTGAATGTGTGACCTCACGGCAAGTGACCTTGCAGGTCAACAAATGCCTTGAAGTGGAGCACTCGTGGTGACTGCCGGAAGCATGTAATCATGGCTGTTTAAGTCCCCTATGACTGAGAATGGTGACAAACCAGAGGGTAATTCAGATGTATCGTGAAATTTACTTGAAATATCTACCACTGTTCTTATATATTTTATTATATATATAGAAATAATGCCTGTGAAACATCAATCCGTCTTCCAGTGTGTGTAAATGTAAGGATAAATGTATAGATTGGAAGTGTATATTCTGACATTGTTTTCAATTACCCTTTCTGACATTTAACACTACAGTACATTAACTGTCATCGTCATCAGTACCAATTGTCTATCCACTGTTAGATGAAGGGCTCCCCCACATAATTGCCATTCATCGCGTTCTTGTGATTACACTATCCATCTTGCTCATGAGTGCACATGAACTAATCTCAAGGTTCCATCTCCTCGGTGATTGTCCTCTCTGGCATGTTCCTCAATTGTGGCTGCTATTCCATTATTAGCCTTGTCCTTCACCCTTCCACGCAATGTGCATTGTCCAAGCCCACCGCTAACTTGAAAGTCAACGCGATGTCTCAAATAGGTGCGCTGTTATGTGATACTTGTGTTATGTCTTCTCAGCGTAATTCTCAGCATGCGCATCTTCCACGCTCCTCTGTGTACTTTAACGCTTTTATTCCACTTTCTTTGTCAGTTTCCGATCCATATTTCATATCAGGAAAATGTTTAATCGTTAAAAGCGTTCTTCTTTTGGCACACTGCTAAGTTTTCACTTTCAATTTCGGTTTGGTCAATGACCCCAACCTGTTTTTGCTTGCCTCTTTACGTAATCAGTTTTAACCAAATCCATCTTCAATGAGTGCTATAGGTATAAGTATGCCATTGGGTTTTCCATTCCATTTGCATCCCACCCCCAATGTTCTTCTCATGTGTAACCTTTTTCACTCATTCTTCTTGAGCCCATTTTTATAGCCGTATTTGTCAATTAATTCTATAATCTCCTACACTTAATTGCTATGGGTTGTTATAATGAATATATTACCATTTCTGTTAATGCCTTAATTTTTACAATACAATTTAAAAAAAATATCCTAATGTTGTGAAAGCAATTGGTGATATACACACATCTTTGCCTGACTTCTTTTATGAGTTGTATTTAGTTACTTTCTGCATGCAGTTTAAGAGTAGCTGTTCCACCTCTATAAATGGTTTTGATCATTCAGATATTTTGTCTAAGGCCTTTTTATTGCGAAAGCGTGGGTGATTTAGTCAAACGCCGAGAAAAGTCAGAAACTGATGCCGATAATCTTATTGATGGAATAGAATGCTGATATTATAAAATATGAGTAATAATGTTTAGCCTGTTGTCTATGTACTATTGACGTCCCCACACTGTATTGGCTATGGGGGTTATTTGCTCACACATCATCGCGCTGGTTATTGCGGGTCGGTGAAGGGAGAGCGGAATTGGCTTTTGACGTCGTTCACAATTGACGTTTGCTGTGGCTCGGAATGTAACTCATGTTGCCGGGTTCATAGTGCAGTGCACTTTCCGCTGTTCCGCAGCACCACCGTCTGTGCATACCTCCTCACGCAACAGAAATGTGGGCTTATTCACTGAACAACAGGAAACGTGTACGTCTAAAGTCTATAAATTAATAAAAAAAAGTAATTCATTGCTCATCATCTGTGCAGTGGCACTTGCTCAAGAGTGATGAAACGAGTGTGTGGAGGTGTGGGCGGGGGGGGTATGGAAAACTAACTTCCCTTTGTTCACGGTGTGCAATAGTGACACGTTCCAAGGGAGGAAACAAAACATTGAAAGGGTAAGGCTACATTGTACCTTGCGGTCCTACAGTCACTCTATTTCAAACTGAAGCCAACATTGCCCCCTACTGATGCGTTTCTTGCTATTTCACTGCAACGGAAATAATACCATGTTATCAAATGCAAAAGCGCTCGAGATTCACCGATATTGTCATTATATGCTTTTGTCATTTTTTGGTTTACATGAAATAAAGACAATATAAATGTATTTATTTAGATTTTTCAGGCCTTCGTTAATCTACTGCTGGATGGAATGAGGCCCTCACCACGCTATGTCAGTCACAACAGTTGTTTGGACCATACCTCACCAAGCTAGCCAGCCAAAGGGGCCGAGGACATGTTCAGATATCACGCCCCTGGTAGTAACTATGGCCATGACTCGAACATAGGGTGCCAGGTTCGTAGTGTAGCATGGGACCACTGCACTTACACTCCACCAGAAATATGATATCACAACTTTCAGAAAGCTCCTGTAACTACTGGGTTCTAGAGAACTCATTTTGGCAGCCGTATCCATCATACATAAATGACGTAATAACTACAAATCACACTTTTCTTTCGATATCAATTCATGGCCTATTTCAGGTTATAGCGCAGTCACAACAACTGTTTCAATGCAAACGATTGTTTTACGTAAAATTATGTAATATTAGTGACATTCTGCTCTATAATGGTATCATGTTAGCCTGGTATAAAAGACATGTGAAATCATTTCATATATAAAAAAAATCACTACCCATTGAAGTTTTCTTCAAAACAGTCGTTAGTCGGATTATATAACGCTTACTTAGTGGCTCAGTCTTGTTTGTGTGAGTGCGTGTTCTAAACAAGATGATGCATGATGGCAGCCCTAAGTATGCCATTATTTTTTCCAGAATAAAAAAAGCTTCAACCAAGGCTCTTTACAGATGCCACGGTTGCCGACCGACCACCTCTGACTCATTTTAGCCCCCCACAATTTCCACCTCGCTCCCCCATCCTGACAGCAACAAAGACAAAGATCCCCCGTATAGCCTCAACAGGCTGTAGGGGCAAGTGCTGTTAGCGAGCAGCACCTATGAAGGACGGCACGGCACACAAAGGGGTAGGTAGCCAGCACTACGTCTGGCCACCTTTGTCTCCCTAATGTCTATGTTTACACACCACACTTGGCACTCATTTCAGGCTGACTCGACCAAGGGGAGGCCCAGAGCCGGTTCATATTATTGTCACTGGTGTTGCCCGTGATTGGGAATCGAACTCGGGTCACTGGATTCTTAGCGCGGCGCGTTAACCACTGCACCACCGGCTCCCCATCCTGACAGTGCACACACATACAAACACACACATACACCACCACAGTTAAGACTCTCCACATCCTACCCACCCAGCTAAAAATATCAGTCTCCTTCACAGTCCAATGGCTGCCGGAACAAATGTCCAAGAGACACCTTAGAGCCATCGGTGCGGCGGCAGAGAATCAGGTCCACTACATTGTCCTCGTTACCTCCGTGTAATGGACCTGTCAGAAATCATCCCGAGCCGTCAGCAGGCCCAGCCTCTGGTAATTACACGCAGCCCCACCGCGCACATTTCCCCGCCAACAATGTACAACAGAGAGAAGCTGTCATAATAGAATGGCGCTATCACAGCTCACTCAGCCGTCACGTAATACGTCATTTAGCCAGGCAGAGGCTAACGTACACCATAATTTTCTGCTTTCACCTATTAGGAAATCATGAACAGGTGGCCAGGTACAGGGCAAGAGATTGCTTTTGATAAGGTTATTACACCAGTGTCCAGAAATATTATTAATAATAAAAATTGAATTCGAAGAACTCTAGACATCCCAAATTAAATACAATATTGTACACGAAGGCTGCCCACTTTTTTCAGGAGTGATATGTTTCAAATAATGTATTTATATGGTGACTTAATTCTATCAATGTTAAATAAGTTAATGAAGGGTGAAGTTAATTGTTTTATTAACACCATCCAAGGATAAAAATGTCTTGAACGTGACCAGATTATGGTGTTCTATTGAACCGATTAAGAAAAATCTGACAATATTATTGTTGCGGATTAGTCGTGCTTGCAAGGAAAAACAAAACATTCGTACTGGAGTGCTGGCTTCATTATGATTTGCTCCTCACTCGTTGAGAGTCAGTGACTCACTCCCCACGTGGCCAGAAATAAAGTTGGAAAATAAACTGATTACTTTAAGAAACAATAAAGGCAGATGACACCTTCTCTCGGGCTTCATCACCCATTCTAGACAGGCCGTTGCATCGCCAGACCGTATGATGGGAACGGCTTGTGGAGGCCTCTATTCCGCAGCGGATAGGTCATGGCTCACAATGAGCAACAGCTACACGTGTTCCCCTTAAACACGTGACATTCTCCGTGGTTCTAAACTTCCGTGAGTAATAACTAACAATAATAATACGCCCGTCAGAAGACTTGCGCGCAATACATTGTATGTGCCCTACAAATATTTAAAAGGCATACAGCACAGAGCAGTATGGGCATTTAATCGCATTGCAGCATGTGGCCAGCAGCAGTTGGTGCTGGTGTCTGGCTCACGAAGATGTTAGAGGAGCAGTACTCACTGCCATGTGTAGATTTGCCATATTTTTTTAGATGAAGCCAGTGCCATTGATTACGAGGGCGGTTAGATGGAGGGCATCGAGGCCTCCTTTAAACACGGAGTTCTGACATGTTATTATGATTCATGGAGTCTATTTCATGACGAAAATAATGTTTATCAAGGGGTGTTTGCACCCGCTAGAACGCTTGCTGTTTATCCCACTATTGGAATTACCTGAACACATTTTCATACCTTTACTGGAGTTAGTGGCCATCGTTAACCCAGTTTTAATTATAGTAAAAATTATTATTCCAATTATTTACCCAGAAAAGTCTCACTGAGTCTCAAAACCATTTTTTTCAGTTTGGTCCTGCAATTGGATGTTTAACCAATAGCACAAAAGAATGTTTGACACTTGATAATAAAGGCAATTAACTGAACTGTACTCAGAGAAAACCCGTGCACGTGATGGGATAACAACTGAGGTTTCACACTGATAGTTTCAATTCACAAACACATGCATTCAATAAATATGTAGATTGAGTCTATTTCCGTACTTAAATCTCATGGTGACTTCACAAACTGCAGCCCCATGCAGCCCCACACTTGATAACCTCTGGTTTGACCCTCTTTAGTTTCTGAGCTCCATCTAGGTTGGGCACAAATGACCACATTTATGGTGACTTGGCATAGCTGAAGGCCATGAATTTGTCTAGGACAATCATGTTGAGTTGCAACAAACAAATGTTATCTTATATCATGTGTAAATACAAACAGGGATGAACTCAACTAAGTCAAGCTGTGGGGGAAAATGTTGGTTTGGGCTTGTGTGATCAGGTTATTTCCACAATTTATATGAGAAATCCAGACAGGGATTTGAAATCACAACTCTTTCAATTGCGAATAAAGGCACTTTGCCACAGCTATACTCAGCCAAAAGTTTTATGAACTATCAAATAATTGTAATAAAATATCACGCGTTTATTTTCAGAAAGAACATGTACCCTTAAATATTGACTTAAAGCTTTCGTGACTGCAGGAATTCATATTATTTGGGTCTTTTGGTAAAGACACGTAGATAGGTTCAAAGAAAATGACAAAAAAACTACGACGTTTCGATCGCAACGCAAGCGGTCATTATCAAGAGGGGAAAAAAAATGACGATCGCTTGTGTTGCGATCGAAACGTCGTAGTTTTTTGTTATTTTTTTCCTATTTTCTTTAAACCTATCTATGTACCTTTGCTGAAAGACCCAAAGAATAACATGTACCTCGTCTTGAGACACAGTTGTGTCCCATACTTACGTGCGACTGCCAGACTGTGGTTGGCTCCACAAGCCACCTGGATGACCTCCTCCAGGTCCTCAATAACGCGTGCCACCACTGCCTCGTCTCTGCTTCCCACTCCCAGCTGTCCAAAGGTGTTGCCACTTTGAAGACAAATTGTTCAGAAAATGTACCTCGTTTTCTTCTTTCGTATACAGTATATACATATAACACGGCCAACATCAAATACACGTGGCTAAGGTTATTTTTCTTATAAGGCTTTCATTTTTGTTTGAAGTTATCTATATGTTTTAAAAACATGTTTTCATTGTCATCATCGTCATCAAGACATAGAATCCAGAATTAATTGTCATAAATGCTACATGTAGGATTTTTGATAAATAACACAAGTCAGCATCTGTCATTTTAATGAAATTCTCTTTGCGAATATTTCAGATGTAAGCAGAGGAGGATTCAAACGGTCCAACATAAAAGCTCTTATTGCACCTCCAAGGAATGAATTGATCAGAAAAAGAATCCTCCGTCATATCAAACGTGAAAATCAAAACAGCGTATGCTAACAAAAAAAATGTAAAATGTTATTGACACTCCCAGCATGTCACATAAAAGGAGATATAGTGTCAATAGGACACACTTTACGCTAAGGCTGACACTTTCATGTCACGGTACACTTCAATGTACCAAATGCAAATGCGTGGCTTTCACGAAGCCAATACAGGCAGCAATATAGCCAATACCAAAAAGCCTGTTCCATTAATGCAGCCCACGGGCTTCTAAGCTGAATGTGATAAAAACAGGTGTGAGCCAAAGTAATTTGAAATGTAACTTTTAAAATATCTTTATTATGCACAGATATGAACAACGTCAAGCACACTTTTACTTTAACAATGGTTTCATGTTTCATAATTATATCTACAATTTTAGGAACAAATATTATTACAATTTGACACTGCATTTGTCCAAATGTAAAACACAAAAACACATTATAGGTTACATATATACATTGCACTACTATATTTCACTACTTACTTACATTGTTTACGTCAATTCACACATATTGAGTCGACCAACAAAAATCGTCAGAGACCAGAGGCCTTATTTGAAAGGCATCATGAATTTGAGAAATCAAGGAGATCAAGTGTGCAGCTCTGCCTTAACCTTGCATAGCTGTAAAAGCCACCAGCCATGCAAATGAATTAGCCTTGAACCTCCTGCAGAATTTTCACAAACATTAGTCAGAGCCTCCCATGGTCTCGGACATATAGCACAATAAACAAAAAAACTGTCAAACTTCTGGAAAACGTATTAATTATTGCATATGATATACGTGTGAGAAAGTGGCTCTGTGTCAGATCAGCAGATATAACCGAAAAGCACCAGCCTTGAAAAGGAACAAATCAAAGTCTGATGTCATGCTTAGCACTGTGCTTTTATGACCTTTATAAACACACCCATGTTCAGCCCGTAATTACTGCAGGGGGCATGAAGCTCAAGCATGCTTATAATGATAGTTATGAATGTAAATAAACCAAATACAACGTTGACAGCATAAGTATTCAAATATATTTAAAGGCTGGTTTCTTTGTGAGCTAAAATGTTGCATGCATGTGCACATTGATAACGCAACCCTAAAAGTTAAAAAAATATATATACAATAAGCCATGTCACATTCATCCTCTCCTTATTGCCCCTTGAGAATGGTTGTGTTGAGTTTTTGTTATTTGTGCGTTTTGTGCACCAACGCAGTATCATCACAAACGCATTTTGTAGATTTAAAGTTCATTTCAGAGCGTTGAAATTAGCAAGTAAGAAAGGGGGGAACAATTTGGTTAAGGTTGGCTCGATGGCAGACTTAAAGGGTCGGGTCTCACAACCCAGTACAAAATGTTAATATTGCACTGTGGTACCGTTGTGAAACAACAGTTATTTTCCACAGACGGTTTTTTTTGTGTGGAAAATTCTCGATCCTTTTCTGTGGCTCGGACTTAAAAGGCCCCATTCGCTGCAGACCTGCAATAGCAATATTAGCTGCCAAACACCGTTATGTACCAGTGCTCGTGTGGTATAACATTGCACCTGAATATTATATTCTTCGCATATTGGGTTGTCCCTCCAAGCAGATGCCATTAGCTACCACCAAATTGGTACAGCCGTCATCTGTCTGTAAACCACCGCACGAACAACGGTAGGCAGAATTATTTAGAAATTGTGGAAACATACCCTATTGAGGTTAAAGTAGTGGAGCGGTTGGACAGTGGTTAGCGACCTGAGATTGGGTCCCAGCCACGACGAGCAGAAGTGGCAGGTGAAATCAGTACCGGTCCTGACCGTAATCCCCTTCATCAACCGGCACTGACCAGTGTGGTCAAAAAAACCCTCACGACCAACAGGGCATGGAAAGGCCTTCATCCAATGGTTGATTGAGAATGGCTGGAATGTAATTTATTCGCATTTTAGTCAAACTAATGTGTCATAACAAGTCAATTTTTGTTATGCTGAGAACCGTCATAAATAGAATCTCATCAATCATTGCATACATTTACAAAGCCGGAAATGTGAGTGATTTAGTTTGATGATGAAGAGAATATATGGCATAAAAAACAAATAGGCTGTGGTTCCTTTGATAAAATACATTGGTAGACATTACAAGAATGGGTTCTCCACTGACGTGACACTTGTGAGCAATGCATTTCATTCACATCTGTTCAAGATCGTTTTATTCGTAGCGTTATTTCATTAATTTATTCCGCGTAATGTACCGTCTTGAGTCCCCTCTGGGTTGGGTACTCACCAAGGGGTTCACTTTACCACATCTGTTTTTTTCCCCCACACTCCCACATGCCGAGCGTGACAGAGCAACAATGCGCACTCAAGCTGCTTTGGCAATCTCTCCCAGACTGTGGCTCTGTTCCAGCCCTTAATAGCAGTACATCAATTTCCAACTAAAATCATCACATGACAAAGCAGCGTCGCTGCACTATTTGTAAACATTTTATTTCCAAGTGTGAGCCAAATAAACATACAAACCGAACTGCATTCCCACACAAGCCCTGTGGCAGCCTGAATAAATGTTAAATATTTGAATAATTTACGATATCCCTCTGAAAACATGTCAAATATGTTTTGCGAAATCCATTTCCAGTTCATCTTAATTAAGTGTCACATTGGGGCTTGTAAAATTGTTATAAAATAGCTTATTTTACAAAATACCTTTTGCTTTTTTTTACAATTTGGAAATCTCCAAGCAGTATCCTGGCAAACTAAACAGGCAGCGAGTGGGAAGCACGTTAAAATACCTCGGGAATTATGCTAACCTAAAAAAAACACACGATTGCCTCAATAGATACTGATCGACAGATGCAACAAGCTTTGTAAATTTTATATTCTTAAACTATGATCCATCTCTTGACATACGACGGAAAAATACGTTCCAAAAGTTCGTCCGAAAAGTGAAAACTCCATACATCGAACCCTATGTTCTCATTCACTTCAATTATATCATTGGAGATGCATTCCCATGGGGAAAAAAAAACGAGGCCCCAAGACGAAATAAAATCTCATTTAAGAATGCAGCAAAGCTTTTGTTAAACACATATTTAATGGACAATCGATAATTTTAGAAAATGTGAATAAAACTCCTCAAAATAAGTAGCGAAATTAAAAAAAAAATACGTTAGAGTACCTACCAGAAACATTGACGATAGTCGCGTGAGGCAGCATGAGTAACAGAAAGGGCAGAAACCAAAACGAGCCAACCTTGGGCACCGCAAAGAGTGCGGGGAAACCATTACAGTGCCAAAAGTGTGCCACGCAAAAACTATTTACAAACCACTGAACTATTTTTTTTTCCTTTTTTTACAACCTGGAGCAGCATGAAATTCATGCAAGGATAAACCACAGACCGGGCGGTGTTCGATTTTTGCAAAAAAAAATCGTCCCAGATTTTTCTTTGATAGTTGAGAGATTTAAAATTCTTAGAAATGAGAATTTAACGTAACCTACATGGAATTCGTTCCCTCATTTTACCTTACGTTATGGCTAAAATCCGAATATTTAGTTGGCCATATAACGAGGGATGACAGTACCCGCTAGAAAAGATCTTAAACAGAACGTATATTTATGATATTCAGGTATAACTATGTCATAATGTATAAAATCATTATGAATTGACAACGCTTTGTTAATCCATTGCTAGATGAAGGCTTCATGAGGTTGTTTGACCATACTTCACCACACTGGTCAGTGCAGCTTACCGAAGGCGGTGATGCAGAACCATTTAAGATATCACTGCCATACTCTTTGGTTCTATTCGGTAAAGTCACGTAGGTAAAAAATAAAACAAAAAATCACGACGTTTCAGCCACAACACAAGTGGCCTTCATCAGGTGAAGGGGCCGGACTGTCTGTGTTTGTAAATCTGACACAATTTCAACCGAGAGGATGGCTTCAAATTAAGCAATCACTGGAAAGATGTTCTAAATCAAACCAAACATTACACTAATTTTCAATGGTACAGTATATTTTTTCAAGTAGTGGTATCCCAAACTTTCACAGCTGGTTATTTTCCCTTCACACCAACATTATGTAAACTCCCCCCCCTCCCGCGCCGGTCCATCATGTACCTCCTACGTACATCATGTTCATTTTTATGCTAATTCCTTCGTCAAGGCGCTTTTGTTTCCTCCCACACAGCTTAAAGGACGCGACCTGGGCTTGGCTGTTTTCACTCCAACGCTGTCCTCTGGACAGTCCGGTCCCTTCACCTGATGAATGCCACTTGTGTTGTGGCCGAAACGTCGTGATTTTTTGTTGTTTTATTTTTTTACCTACGTGACTTTACCGAATAGAACCAAAGAGTATGGATCCTTGCAGTCACGAAAGCTTCAAATCTAGAATATCACTGCCACTGATGTTTTCTGTGGCTAGGCATTAAAAACGAAGTTTCTAGGCTCGCAGCGTAGTGCACTAAATAGTGTGCCACTGATCTTCATGGGAAATGCATGAATGTACCTCGTTATAGATTTACTCACTCGCTTCTTTAATTGCCAATTGTAAACTTTCCGAATGGGAGTTTTTTTTCATCCGTTTGCCGTAAGATTTCACAAACGCACTGTACATGAATTGTGCTTGTATGTGATTGTGCATAGGTTTTTTTCGCGAAAATAAATATTTCATCCGCAGAAGTGTTTGCCCAATTCAACCCCTTCTGTGGTAAGCTTTAATCAACAGTTTCTCTCACCAACTACCAAAGCAACACTTAAATCCACTTTTGCTCAGCAAACGTGTATGTGTTTCCAGTTTGACGCCAACAGTTCCCTAAACAAAGCCCTAGACTCCCAACAAAAATGCATTACCGCTCATTAAAATAGCCTGAGCATAGCGATGTATAATTTTCAGTTTTTGGGGAAAATCATTGATATCGTTTTAGGGAATAAATGATAGCATTCAATTTGCTTTGCCCAAAGGCATTCCAACTAATAACCTGTGGTAAGACTTTTATTTCGTGCAGTAAAGAGAACAAAAGATGTGGCCTAATTTATATTTTTTATCATCACTTATTATTGGGCCCTGTTCTCCTCCCGGCCACAAGGTGCAATGCTTTTGAGTGTAAAGTTGGCACCACTGCCACAGCTACCTACTGCTACCTTCAAATATTAGGGATGGTACCTTGAATAATTGTTAAGAGCAATTGTTTCAATATATATTTAGAATTTTACATTAATAATACAAAAGTACAGTGTTCAGTATTACATTACAATCGTATGGTGGAGCAAAACTTGGTGATATTTAGACAATTCGTATATTACAGCTGAATAGTACAATCCTATTCATCATATATGACTATTTCGCACCTCCAATAAGCAGAGTTAGCGACATACGGTGCGAAAGTGCAATATGCATCCATCTGAAATTATTATTTTATATGAAGGATAATAGTAACATAATTAATTATCGTGCTTTGTCAATCCACTGCTGATTTGAAGGCCTCCCCCATGCTGTTTGTGAAGTGGGGGATCAAGACCAATTAAGAAATCACTTGCCAGTAATGTTTACCGTGACCAGCAATGAAACTTAAGTTACCATTTTCTGCGCATTGACCGCAGAGCCTTAACAGACTGTTGGGGCAAGTGCTGTTAGCGAGCATCTATGAAAGCCGACATGTCACACGAGGGGGTGGGGATTGCCAGCAACACGCCCGGGTTGCCTTTGTCTCCCCAGTGGCGACGGTTTACGCACTGCACAAGGTACTCATTTGAGGCTGAGTAGACCTAGGGAAGGCCCAGGATCAGTTCAAATATTCGCCACTGTTATTTGATCGTGAGCAGGAATCAAGCTCGGCCCGCTGGGTTCGTCGCGCAGCGCGCTAACCGCTACACTACCGCTACACACGATAGTGTAGCGCTAACCGCTACACTACCGCTCCACACGGTAGTGTAGCGCTAACCGCTACACTACCGCTCCACACGGTAGTGTAGCGCTAACCGCTACACTAGCGCTACACACGGTAGTGTAGCGCTAACCGCTACACTACCGCTACACACGTATATATGGACACACGTGCTTTTATCTTCTTTGGTTCTTTCAGTAAAAGCACGTAGAATGAGAATAAAACAATAAAATAAAATAACACAATAAAATTCTCACGACGTTTCGGCCACAACACAAGTGGCCTTCTTCAGGTGAAAGGAACAAACCTGTCGGGACGACAGAGCTTCATTGAACGTTGTTAAGATTCGTATCGTCTTTTAAGCTGGTTGAGAGAAGTGAGGCACCTCTCTAAACCAGCTTAAAAGACGACAGAGCTTCGATGAACGTTGTTAAGATTCGTAGCGTCTTTTAAGCTGGTTTAGAGAGGTGGTTTAGAGAAGTGAGGCACCTTTCTAAACCAGCTTAAAAGACGCTACGAATCTTAACAACGTTCATTGAAGCTCTGTCGTCCCGACAGGTTTGTTCCTTTCATCTGAAGAAGGCCACTTGTGTTGTGGCCGAAACGTCGTGAGATTTTTATTGTGTTATATTATTTTATTATTTTATTCTCATTCTACGTGCCTTTACCGAAAGAACCAAAGAAGATGAATCCTTGCAGTCACGAAAGCTTTAAATCGACACATGCTTTTACTCAAGTGCAATATTTACTGGAGGGAAATTAATTACATTCTTCAGTATACAACAATGTATATGCTGCATATGTGCAACATGATCACATGTTGATAAAGACCATACGTAGATATCTACCGCATATATTATCAGAGTATGTTTTTTTTGTTTGCATTCTGACCACAAGCATTGTGGTTAATGCATACATGATTCCTTGTAAAAGGTTTCTGTTTGGTGTTTTAACATCTTAACACCTATTCTTAGTTTTTTCGGTAAAGTCACGTTGAAGAGAAACAACAGAATAACAAAATGTATATATGAAACAATAAAAAAATCTCACGACGTTTCGACCATAACTCAAACGGTCATCATCAGGTGTGTCGGTTTGCAAACCTGATGATGACCGTTTGAGTTATGGTCGAAACGTCGTGAGAATTTTTTATTGTTTTATATATATTTTGTTATTCTGTTGTTTCTCTTCAACGTGACTTTACCGAAAAAACTAAGAATATGAATTACTGCAGTCACGAAAGCTTTAAATCAAAATCTTAACACCTGTTTTTTTTTGTTTCCAGAAAAAAGGGGAAAAACCTATTGTCATATTTTGGTACTGCCAACGGAGGTCCCATGATGTAGATATCTACCATCAACCACATCATACATTTCAATCAGGGTAGCAGTTGGATGCGTTACAGGACCGCGCTGTCGACATGTCAATAGCTAAACACTTTAAAACTGAGATATTTTACGTTTGTCAAGTGGGAAGCAGATTGTTTCACACTGCATTGCTGCACTGATTAATTCATGCTGTGTCAGTTCTGTTGCTAAACAGCCACTATCTCCAGAGAGCATGGTGTTGTCACGCATATGTTGGCCTCACGCAAGCAGCTTGAAAAGTTCTATAATGCCTCACTTTGTCAGTCATAATCGGTGCTTCAATGCATGCTGCCACTCTCATGAACCGTCTACTTCTGGCACCTATGATGGCATATCCAGGTTTCACGCCATCAGGAAAGAAATGGGAATACGGACAGGTATGCAATTAGGCCAACACAGAAGTATGCAATAAGTAAGACATAACCACATGTATCCATGAAAACAGAGGCCGCAGCAAATGTAAAAGGTGCACTTAAGCAGCACAAGTGTAGCACATTGTATTTGTAACACTGTCGGAAGGTTGTGAGTTCAGATCCTGGTATGGGGTGTTGACTCAGCCTGACCTCCGGTGTTGATAAAATTACTACCACTTTGTGTGAAAGTTTAACAGTGGTTGTCCTGTAAATTGACTCATCCCTGCCATAGGAACGTGGAATTTCCACTACTGGCTGAGGGCTGTAAATGGGAGATGAGCAATACCTATATTTATTCATATTAAAGTTATCTGAATCTTTATTTAGATTGGAGGAATTCGAAGAGCTATGAAGCTCTTTTTCACAGATGTCCAGCAGATACAAGGAACACAGTATTTTGTTTAATATGTGAAAAATAAAGAAAGAAATGTCTATTAATATTTTATAATTAGGTTCAAAGGAAAATAATACATTTAACAGTCAGTGCTCGCAAACTTTCTGGATCAAATGGAAGTTGGCAACATACCTAGGCAAGAACATTCTCAAGCCCCCTCACCGACATTTGACTGCCTCAGCACGGGATAATTTACATAACACCACACTCAGGGTACACATTTGGATAAGTGACTTAAACTAACTCACTTTAATTCATTAGATTGTTTACAATGGGTTTCTTATTTCCAATCACGTTTCGAATCCCGTAGTCGGGCGCTTTTTGTGCCGCTTGTCACAAGATGACGGCAACACAATTCCTAAAAAAAAAAATTGCCGAAGTTTTCCTTTCCTTTTCTTTCAGGTCTGTGTGTGTGTGTGCGTGTCTGCCGAAAGTTCCCCACCCCCCGCTGCCACGGCGTAATGTATCATTTTGCGAGTCGCTCACCCACACGCGGCGATCCTGCGATCTTCAAAGAGGAAGAGAGAGTGGCGCTCACCGCATGAGACCCACTCCACCCTGCGGCCCATCAGGCTCATGTTGAGCGGATATGGCACACACTGTGGTGCAGCAGGAGGTTGGCATGAGGGATAACAAAATGAGCCACAACAAAAAGGAAGGATTCCTTCAAAAAATGCGATGCATCAAAAAGGGACCATGCACGCACGCCATCGGGGGACACTTTACAAATATCGACCAAAGGTATCCGAAGAGTACAAAGGCAATCTGTTACGGGAAAAATCCGGTGGTTATACATTCGTTGTAACTGAAAAACGTTCAAGCATATAATCAATTATTAAGAAGGGGAAAAAAATGAAACTTTACGATTTCTTCATATGCCCCGTTATACGAAGCAATCTACAAAACTGCTCTGTGATTTATTCTATGGGAAACCCGTGTAAACAGGTTATGGATTTTGAGTCATGGCATGTCACATGCATATACGCCGCCTCGTAGGCTTACAAAGAACATGCCAGTCAAGCGGCAGGGGGGAGGTGTACAAATGTGTCACCGGCGTCCGCACACGTGAAGAGAGATTAATGGACTGCCAGTTACAAACAGAAACTCTGACCATCAGCCCCGGTCTGGAGCTCGCAGTGAAATATCACCGCTCGTTTCACCACTGACGTGATATTCAGGTGATTTATAACCGGCAACAAAGAATAATGGGCTTAACTCAACCTCCAAAATTTATTCATAAAACCTACAATTCCAATACAAACCTAGGCATGGTTATGACAATATGTTTCGCTAAGAAACCGGTGACTTTTAAAATGCATCTTACGTATTGTCTTACGCTTTCTGCAAGAGTTGTACTTTTCAGAAAGGTAAAGCAAATTGTTTTTTTTTCTCCCCTCTAATAAACTAGGATGTTTAAAGTCATATTCATATATATATATTTTTTAAATAAAACATAACAGGCACGCGGGAGATGTTTGTTTTTTTTCGAAACCACCTCAATAGTCTGTTGCCTTTACACGGCTGTTACAAACCTGGGTACTGAAGCTCGATGCTTGGCCATGGCTAACAGCAGCGGTGAGAGATTGCTGATCTATTCCTCGCCACCTCCCCACTTTGCCAACACGCACTGACCGGTGTGCTAAAGTACGGTAACAAAAATAAACCCCAATTACCAATCCAGTATGGGGGGAGCCCTAAATCAAACAGTGAATTGGCAAAGGGCAGTACGTTATGACTTTATTTTTACTTTTTGATTGACTGTTACCAATCAATTAATGAATGCACTTGATCATGATAAGGAGTTTCTCATACGTGTAATTCTAGACTGTTTACAATAAAAAAATAAATTAGGATAAATGTCACACTGCATTCAGATGCGGCAAGCAAGGGGAGCAGAGCGTGCACCTGATTGGCCTTGTAGTCCCTCTTCTGAAAATCATAGCCCAGCTGCGCGTAGAAGTTGTTTCCGAAGCTGAAACAGCGGCCCGATCGCGTCCACACAAAGGAGTGGCGACTCCCGCACGCGACCCCAGCCACCTCCATGTCACCGCGGCAGCCCGAAGGCGCCAGTTGCACCTCCACAGGCTCGCCGCGGATGCTGCTATCACCGCAGCCCAGCCTGCGGTGAATCGAGCCCACACGCGCACGACAAATGAACCGCAAGACCTTGCTGAACTCTGGTCATCCTCGCAGCGGCGGCTTTTTGGCCTGCCGCCAAACAAAGGCAGTTTATATACTCTTTGGTTCTATTCGGTAAAGTCACGTAGGTAAAAAATAAAACAACAAAAATCACGACGTTTCGGCCACAACACAAGCGGCCTTCATCAGGTGAAGGGATCAGGCTGTCTCGAGGACAGCGCTGGAGTGAAACGCAGCCAAGCTCAGACCGCGGACCTTTAAGCTGTGCGAGCAAACAAGGTGCCTTGACAAAGGAATTAGCATAAAAATTAGCATTTGATTGGCCGACTTTAGAAAAGAGGTGGTGTACGTGCAGGTGGACTTGCCGTTTGGCGCGGGGTGGGGGGGGAGTTTACCTATTGATGGTGTGAAAAGGGAATTTATAAGAGCTGCGAAAGTTTGGGGTACCACTACTTGAAAAATATACTGTACCATTGAAATTAGTTTAATGTTTAGTTCGATTTAGAACATCTTTCCAATGGTTGCTTAATTTGAAACCACCCCAAACTTTCGCAGCTCTTATAAATTCCCTTTTCACACCATCAATAGGTAAACTCCCCCCTCCCCCCCGCGCCAAACGGCAAGTCCACCGGCACGTACACCACCTCTTTTCTAAAGTCGGCCAATCAAATGCTATTTTTTATGCTAATTCCTTTGTCAAGGCACCTTGTTTGCTCGCACACAGCTTAAAGGTCCGCGGTCTGAGCGTGGCTGTGTTTCACTCCAGCGCTGTCCTCGAGACAGCCTGGTCCCTTCACCTGATGAAGGCCGCTTGTGTTGTGGCCGAAACGTCGTGATTTTTGTTGTTTTATTTTTTACCTACGTGACTTTACCGAATAGAACCAAAGAGTATGGATCCTTGCAGTCACGAAAGCTTCAAATCTAGGAAGGCAGTTTAACTGCATCGTGCGCTTTCAGATGCGCTTCTGCGGCCGTCTGGAACGCACTTCCTTCCGATATTAGGAAGCCACTTAGAGCTATGCACTTTTAAATATAGGTTGAAATCTAATTTCTTTAGAACTGCTTTTTTGTGTTGAGTTCCTTGTCTTTACCTCGCGCGACTCCAATGAGCACGCTTGGCTACGCTGCGAAATAAGTTCAACATACGTCCACACAGCACTCGCACATATACCATGGGTTTATCTAAATGAAAAGTTACAGAAGTCTATATTAATGTGTCCATTGACCAGCTGACAATATTAACATGATTCACTTAATTTCAATGTTAAGGTTAACATTAAACACCTGGAAATTTGTCAACATGAGCTTGAACACGAGCTGCTCTCTATATTTTTTTTTAAATGCGAACAATTATATTTTGAGCAACATGTCAAAATTAGAGATCTAACTGATATGAACAGAGCATATACATATCTAAAAAAATCTGTAATTTGAATATTATCTTGGTCAATTCACTGTTGGATGAAGGCAGCTCTAAGCCACACATTATTGTAATGTAATGATCCACCTCATATCCCCAAATGAGCTCGTTTCAATTCTCGTGGTTGTACATAAGCTCGTTGAGTCAATTATTTTGACAGTAATTTTGTACGTGAAAATACGTAAATAACATTACATCGAGTATTTTTTTTAAGAATTACATTTTACTTGTTAATCTGTGTTGGCATGTTACTTTGTTTTGTATATGCAGAACACTTACTGTCCACTGTGACCATGCCCCCAGCTGAAAATCCTGTTTGTTTCTGGAAGAAAGGAGACATTTTTGTTTATTTACAACGAGAGTTGATCGTCATCTTTGACACCGTTAATTTAATGTTATATTCATCACGATAAATATTTCATTGGAGCAAAACACCATAAACTCTGCAAATTATGTTTGGCAATAGCACAGACTGTTATAAAATAAGCTTTGATGAAGTTAAGGCTGGTGGTTCATGTTTGAACAATTTAGTGTGTACGTGTTTCTTTACACAGGTCTCTGTATTATGAAGCTATAAAGTCTGCATGCATCCAATGAAATAAACATGAGTTCAATAACAAAAAAATTTAGTTGAGATATATTAGTTTGACTCCACTGGCACAGATGAAAATGTTAAGATTCTCAAACTATTCATAATTTCTGCACAGCTGTTCCACACATGTTACTGCTAACCCTACTGAATAAGGAGAAACAGAACAGACACATTACTGACCAATATCTACTCTGACTTAAAACATACCTTGAACCTCAAGCAACGGTTACAACCCAGCCAGTAATAGATGCTTTCGATATAAGCAGCAGATGGTAAAATAATAAAATACGAAATATAAACCACGCAAACATTAGAGATCATAAGGCAATGTTTGCCACAATAGAATGGTTAACTTCTGGTTTCACTCAAAATCTTAGCTCATTTGCAGGACACTTTCATTAGATGGGTACAATGTGAGTGTCTTGGTGAATGCAAGGAATTATCAAATACGTTGAGCTTAAATCCATGGTAATGTAATTGATTTCCTCGCAGTTCAAGGAAAACATGTTTCACAATATCCAGCAAAAGTTAAATCACTGTTTTGCTTCCCTTTCTTGACCTCAAGGCCTTCTTCAAAAGATTGTATTTTACAACGACTGCATTTCAATGTGTTGTCATCTAATTGAAATAAAGGCACCAATTGAAAATAACACGCACACACTTATTCCATGTGATTCACAAACGAATTCTAAAACATCATGAAGGAAAATCGCCTGAATCCACTTTGCCAACTTCGTTGCTTGTACTCAATCAAGTGTAACCACTGTAGTTTTTTGCAGAATTATGTAAATCAGTTTTCGCACGAGAACATCTACAATGATGCTGCTTGGATGCTATCCGCACCATCAGGAAATACATCTTGGGAGTCCCCCCAGTGGGAAAAAAGAAACACAAAACCAAAAAAACACAATGAAGAGCACGTGGATATATTCCAGCCCACATAACTGTTATCAGTAACCGACCCAGTGGCTCACCTGTTATTATGGGTCAGACTATCGATTTAATAAGACAAAATGCCATTGTTCTTATCAGTGATTTAACAGAAATTGGCGTTGAGTATTCTATTAGGATTCAGCTGTGCATCACTTAAATGACCAATATAGTACCATAATCTCCGCATCATATGTGAACAAATGTGGTCACAATTCTTTCCCGTGTGCATTCTCCACCCCCTCCCCCAACCGAGTCTCGTGTTTTTCTCAGACACAAGAAGGCTGCAGCCAAGTAGGCTTGTTGTGACCTTTTAAAAATGCAAATGAGCTTTGGAATAACACGTGCTCGATGATGGACTGTATGCTATAAGGCAACTCTTTGCACAGCACAATTGCAGGTAAGCATTTATATGCACTATCTTGCTGGTGCTTGGTACCATTATTTTTCAAGGGGAATTTTGTTTTTGTAAACATTTTGAACGTTAGTTTTTTTCGTGTATTACTTATTTCATTCAAATGCAAAAAAGTAAAATTTTCTGAATATGTTATACGATACTAATGGATTATATAACAATAAAAAACGCTTTATAGCCTGCAGGTATTATTGTATGAGCTTGTAATGTCATTGTGCAATGATTGTATGCAAGACAAACACTGTAAGAATTAAAGTTACAGTGTGGTGCAGGTACATTGTTTTGAAGATTACAAATATGTGCATTGTTTAAAACATTTTCACAAAATCTGGGTGGGAGAAACTTCATTTGGCCGATATATTAGTGCAGTATTGTTACAACTATCATAGAAAAAGTTATGTATTTGTATCCATCAATCATTCATAGTTTCTGAACAGAAATCATACACCGTATAATTAAGAACTACAGCATAATAGTTTATTTTTTGTAAATAGAGAGGCGGCTTATGATTAAACAATATTTCTTGATTTTTTAAAGATTAGCCAAATTAAAATTCCTATTCCTATTAACAGCAACTATGAAATATTAGCTACAAAATGGCAAAAAAAAAAAATTCCTGCTCATAGTAATTATGAGCAACGTGAAACCAGGAGCTGAAACCCAACGCCTATCTGTTGTCCAGTGCTTGTGTTTGTAGCGTGTATCCACGGCTTACAGAAACGCACACACACAGGTAACGGGTTTGACAGATTTTCATTAACGATTCCGTGCCGTCCGTCAGGACCCCTCGGGCAGCCTGACTCTACTTCTGTCGTCGCCTGTGGAATAGGGTGCGTGAAACAAGAGCGCTTGATGAAAAGGTAGAGTGAGCACAGAGGGAGGAGGCACGAGAGGGGGGGAGGAGGAGATGGGAGGGAGAGAGAAAAGCGTGGACTGGAGGGGGCGGGAAGAGGTCTAACAAAGAGGGGACGAGCGGCCATAGTTCACCTGCCAGCCCTCCAGGAACCTTCACAAAGCCTGAGGTCATGCGCATAAACAGGGCCTCACACGGGACAACAAGAGCAGATGACAGTTCGCCACACCACCCCAGCACAGATCGCCACGGTGGCGAAATGTTAACTACCTCGCTCGGTATACAGAAGGTCGTGGGTTCGACCATTGACCCTAACGCCTGTTGTATATTTGGAGTTTGTATGTTCTCTCTCTCTCTCCCCGTGGTCGCGTGGATTTTTTTACGTTTCCTTCGATTTTTCCCTCCAGGTTTAAAATCGAAATGAGTTCATAAAGAACTTGGCTGCCTATAGATTTCCACGTGATAAGCCACTTCGGTGAGCTTTCATTTGTGGACAGGTTGCTTCTGAAAAAGAGTTATATCGTTCTGTGGGCCTTACCTGGTAAAAATAAATAAGAATAGGAACAGATGGACCCAACAGCTACTTCTTCAACATTGGCAAAATAACTGCTGCTCCACCAATAGGTTCAAATATGCATATGAATTACACCCCCGTCAAAACAAAAAGCTGGCACTACTAATTACAAATGTGTCTTTCTTGATTGTCAGTGCTCCTTTTTTTCCAAATGTACGACTTTAAACATTACTGATCAAAAGTATGAAAAAGCTCAAATTTAATTTAAAGTATACATCTCTGCTGTGAATCCCGTGCAGTGTTTTATTGCTACGTATTTTAATATAAATGCATCAGGGAAATTTATATTTGCGAGGTTGTATGCATTATTTAGAATACTCTTGAGGGTTTCTTTTTTTTTAATCCAAGCATAAAATGAATGATTGATGAGATATGAATGTTTGACAAGTGGAAATGATAAAAGAGGCAACTTTGTGCAATACAGCATCAGAATAAAAACCTTTTTTTGGGATTAAACAATGGCCTTAAGTGCCATCTACTGGCCTCTGGCCTCTTGTGCAGACAATAATGACAGGTTCAGCACGTGGGCAGTCCTTGGAGCATGCGTCATATGGGTTATTATAACGTTGTCTTATTAATCTAATAGGTTTTGACACTTTAGTTATATTATTGATATTGTTGCTCCGTATAAGTACGTATAACACAACTTATACATTCATGCATTCATTTTCATTTTCCTCCCTTTTATGTATGAATGAATCAATAATCCAATACATATACGCTACAAATGCGATGGACAATTTCCAGAAGAAAAAAAAATTACCAACAATTGATGCTCCAATTGTGACAATTTTTAAAACAGGCCAGTGAAAAAAAACAGTTCCACAATCGAAAATCACCTGTGACCACGAGGGTGTGTGTGGCACCGCACGCTAGCAGGTGCACGGCTCCCAAATGCTCCGTGCTGAACTGGGGAAGCCACCCTTGGTGTGACTCCACGTTGGCTCCCTGACCATGTCCATGCTGTCCAAACTCGCCGCAGCCCCACGCAAACAACCGCCGGCCCTCCAGTCTCTCGCCAGACTTCGCAGAGCTCACATTCTCAGAGGTCCACATCTTCATGCCGTTTATTACAGTGTCCCCCATTTTCATCATAAATCATGCCCTGAAATACAGACATCTGATGGATTGGTTTTCTTGGTCAATAGATATATTTTAACACAGGGTTTGTTGTTGTTGTTGTAACTAATGATTCAAAATAAGACTCTTGGGCCAAATTTGTGTCAAGGCCCTCAACCAAGATATGTTGACTTTTTAAAAGCTATTAAAATAACTTTTTTTTTAATTAGAAGCTGCATCCCTGCAATTACGAAGCACCACAGTGATGAGATGTTAACTACCTCACCTGGTATACAAGAGGTCGTGGGTTCGATCCCGACCCTGACGCCTATATATTTGGAGTTATCATGTCTCTCTCCCCATGGTTATGTGAATTTGTCTCTGGGACCTCCGGTTTTCCTTCCACATTTCGAATCGACATGCTTTTAAATGTCCACGTGATAAGCCACTTCGTTCACCTTTCACTTGTGGCCAGGTGGCTTCTGAAAAAGAGCTGTATAGCTCAGTGGGCCTTACCTGCTTAAATGAATAAATAGTTCAGTTTCATTACTTTTCATGCAACTGTTTGTGGAAGGGCCTTAGCCTAGGGGACATTCAAGAGGCCCCCTCTCGAAGATTATTGGGCTGAACATTAAAAAAACAATCACTATGAATTTCACGTGTACATTTTCAGCAGTCGTAATATACATTAAAATTACTTCACATTACTTAATATGAAGAAATATTAAAATGACAAAATATTTCCCATCAAAAAGAGTCTGAAAATTAATCTATGATCGTACATTGATAACAAATCCTCTCCTGATTAATATTTTTCTTACGTCATGTTATAGTGCATGTGAAATTGTTGGCATCGCAAAAATATGCATATAGGATTATAAAGGGATACATGTTATTGCTTTAGATATTATAACCACTGCTAAGTAAAAATTGGGTTCATAATATCCATAGTATCCGTTCTGAACTCTAAAATCACATTACACGTGTGTGGCCTTCTGCATTAAAACAACGTCACTTTTAACAGTCACATATGAACTGGCGTCACACTCAGAGCATGTATTAAGCATGCTGTGTGTACATGTTCATACATTTCCGTGCACTGCACAAATATTACCACAAAACACCATAATATTACAAGCCCACTCATGACAACATTCAAAGCCGACAGCACTCCACACTGTACCTCATCGGATAATTTAACTGTGGGACATTTTAGTGCACAATCATGACTTACCGGAACACTCGAGGGTTATCTCGGATTGCTAATTGTTATAAGCATATTCAATAGCCTATCTCACTTGACAGGGCCCTCTAATCTCACGACGGCCGCGAGCGTTTGTAACCTAAGCCACTGCTTGTTGTACCACCGAATACAGTGCGTGGACACAGGCTAAGCATAGTTTCAGGCACACAAGAACACATCCTAGCAACAGATTGCCGTGCCTTTTTTTCCTCTAAGTGCAAACTTTGGCAGCTTTCGTCGAGCCTTCAGGTACAATGAAGGCTTGTTTGTGTCCCTGTGTACACACACACACACTGCTCTTTAGCCTTGTACTCTTGGACGTTAAACACTGTCAGGGGGGAAAAACAGCACGAATATGTTGTCATTCTGCAGTAGATAAAACAAGAACGCCTTTTTTTTTACACGAATGGAATAATTATCAAGTGGAGTTTTTAATTATCGACAGACGGAACAGTGGCTCGTGTGAACCTCTAGCTCGTTGTAGCCAATGTGTAAGTGGACTGATCACAGCCAGGAAACATTGTTTCTGAGATTCCTTGCAGGAAAACAGATATTTTATATTTCGATAACGCCGACTGTAACATGGGACATTACATGAAAACTGTGCAAGACCCTTTGACATGTGATAATTAGGATCTAGATATATGACCAAGGTAGCAGATTTTCTTGTGAAATCACTTCACTTTACAACATTGCACTGCTTTTTATTCAATGATATTTTCCTAAATCATGTCCAATGTTCACCCACTGAAAATAGTTAACATTTTTACATAAAACATTGAAATGCCCTAAGTGGCAATAATATGTATGTGGTGTGATTAATTATTGCAACTCAAAACATATTGTGGATGATTGCTCCCAGAAAATATTGCATTAGAAAATCAAGTTCGTGACTTTGCTACGGACTGAGGTTTTGTTTGTATGGGTGCGGCAACACCATTAGCTTATAATCCATAAATGACTCAATACATATTAAAACAAAAACACCTTCCTTCAAAGCTGCTCACACACAGCTGTAGTCAAGGGTTTTTCTCATGACTAATAATGCAACATTTTTTAAGTTATAAAACCTTCCACACTCGTAAATGAACTTCGTCATACTTTCTGTTGAAGTAAAAAAAATGTGTTTTTTGCTTGGTACTCAACATATTTCTTTATATGCGGCTGAAGTTATTGAACGTGAACAAATTCTCGAAGTGCAAAACAAATGTGAGAGAGAACAAAAGCATTCAAATGCCATGCAACACATCAATAATAAAAAACCCCATCTATACCTGAAAAACATTCGCCATTCGCTCACGCGTCTTGAAAAGGCACTTCAAAAAGACCCACTTCTCCACTCTTTTGTACAGGATGTCCAGAGAAATGAAACGCACCACTCTGTCATGCCATAATGCAATCAAGGGCGCTTTATGTAATGCGTATCATTACTACATTTAAAAGCTAAACAGATATCCCGTGTCTACGTGTGGAGAACATTACTGCACTGTTTCTGCAACCAGGGTGTTGTTTATAACTCACCAAAAATCAGCCGACTGCCCCACTGCTCCGTAGTTGTCTTCTCTTTTGGTGTTTACCGAAATTTTATTCTGAAATTATGACTTCGGCTTATTCTATAGCCTACATCTATTCATATTACTCGTAGCAAAGAATAACAGTTCGTGGGAGGATGGTTTGCTGTTTTAAATCTTCAAAAGTGTTCTCCACTTCGCGTTGTTTGTTCAGGGCTGAGAAATGTGTGTTGGTAACGCAAGGTTTGGTGTTTTTATCGATCCAGGCAACTGCTTTTTATTGCGTGGAACTGCATAACAAAACACTTTTCCCGCTTGCTTTTGCTGGCCACTTAAATACTGAACACAGCTAAGTGACATTTCACGGTAAACCTTTATGATGTTTGTTCTGTACCCTTATTTCAATGCACAATGGCTTTGCAGTTGCTCCCTCATTTCACACTTTTTTTTTCTCTTTAAATATTACTTGCCATATTTGCAATGCGTATTAACTGTTCTGTGGTTATGTAACCGAACTACGTATTTAATGGGTATCTCCATTTCTAAAGTAAACACGGACAGCTCACGAAATTAACGAACTTGTGACAACCCAATAATTTGTCCGGGAGTTACATACTCGAACATTTAAATCCAATTGAATAACTGAGATAATTTAAATTCGAATATTAATTCACCAAGAAACAACCAACACTCATCCTACTAAACTATTTTTTTTACCAAGTAAGGCCCACTGAGCTACATATCTCTTTTTCAGAAGCAGTCTGGCCACAAATGATAGCTTAACGAAGTGGCTTATCACGTGGAAATGTATAGCAGCCAAACACTCCCAACGCGTGTTTCCAAATGTGGAGAGAAAGACCGACCGGGTGACCAGGAGAAACATCCACGCGCAGACAAAGATGCAAAATCCAAATATACAGGCGTCAAGAGTTTGGATCGAACCCACGACCTCCTGCATAACAGGTGAGGTAGTTAACATCTCGCGAACGCAGCGCTAAACTTAACCGTGGATGTAATGATTTTGTGTAATGTTGACATAAAATACATTGATCTCGATGAACACTCAAATAATACGAACAAATCGACCACAAAGTTATTCCTAAGTCAATACGCCTGAGCTAAAGCATTTTCTTTACCAGTCGGTTCACTTCGTATTGCAAACCAAGTTTCTAAATGTAGTTGTACACAACGTACCAACAGCAGAGACTTGCGCAATGCGGTTGCCATGAGAGGGAATGCCTCTAGATATGAACCACAAAACTATTCGTAAAGCAACTTTTGATGAACTGCAAACTGTAGCAAACACAGGATTTAGAAAATGTTGCTTCGCCGTGCCAGACATAGATTCTCATCCATTCCACAATTATAATGATGCGCCGATTCAATAATGAAAGTTATAAACAGTTGCTTTATTGTTACTTGACAGCGGTGAGTACAATGAAGACTGACTACAATACATTATAATGGCATGTCAGCAGCGGAAGCTTAAGTGGTCTTACGAGAGCACAAACAACATTCTACAAGAATGCTAAATTCACTCATAGATGTGTCTTTCATGTTGAAGGAAATAAACATAACCTTGGCAAAATGACATTAAGTAAACATGTACAGTTTCCTTTAATTCATTATAAGTCTTTCGTCATGTAACACGTAAATTGTCCACCTCCCATCCTAAAATTTCATTTACTACTGCTTTCAGTCAAGCAAAAAGATGGTTATTTCAATGTGTCACGTAGTACCTTATATAAATGCTGGATGATGACTGCATGGTAACAACGCTTCCAATGAATATTCTATGTTTGTATTATTAATTAAAATGTGGTCTTACCTTATTAATTTAAATATATACCGTACATAGTGTCATATATTTCCACATATATTAATATATAAGCAACTTTGTTTAGTCGCACTGCTTGGGAAACTCATGCAGTTATTGCTGTTTAATGAGGCCAATTGGAATAAATATGGATACACTTTTACAGGACCTACGTAAATCTACCACCAAAATGTCCTGCTCTTCGAATATATCACTTATCGTTGCACCAAAGAACAAAACAAAATTAACAATAAAATACTGTTACTAGCTTTAAAAAGGCATACTAATTTAAATGTGACTAATTTGGAGCATAGTTCTGGGTAAAAAAAATGCTAATGCACGTAATAACATCAAATGTAAAAACAACAAAACACCACCCTTTTCATTCCTGTATTGAAATTGCGCACGAACAGCCAACACCGCATTGTTAATTACTTGTTATTAAATTATCTATGTTATGTATGTCAAAAGCAAAACCACATCATTAACCAGCTGGTCTTTCCACAGACAAACAGGTTTTGTGGGTGAAAATCTTATCTTCTATCGATATACTTTGAAAAGAAAATATAAAATTACACTAATGAGTTATACTTAGCTATTGTTTTCAGTAAAGAGTGTCGGGAAACCGCACGTTGCGTTACAAGTGGGTGTCTGCTATTGGAATCCGTTTCAGTTCCACGATTTGGGAGTTCCTTATGCTCCCGCCATCCTGGCTGTCTCTGTAGGAGCCATCCTCACTCACACTCAGTCCAGCGCCTGAATAAACAAAAATTAAATGAACATCAAAACAAGTTTATCAAAGGACATTGCAGCAAATTACATCGCGAGTTAATCAATTAAATGGGATAATCTCTTGAAAACGTTAAATGATTTACACCGGGATGTGATAAACACCGGTTATAAATATAAATTCCCATAAATTATTTAGATGATTCTTGGCATATTTTCAATAGCTCTTTGGAACATACCTGCAGTGAGACATTTTAGAGAAAAATATCTTATCAAACATAATTGCTTAATCTATCATTCTAATACAACATATTCAAGTGTTAATGGTATGAATACAATCCTTCAAATAGATTTATGTATAATTTTTTTCACGAAATTACATGTACGTAATAGTCTGATACATTTGATTTTAAACATGCAAATACTGTATCATAACAATAGCGTACAACATCCTTGCATTGTTGAATGTTCCACGTAAAATATAACCAACAAAAGTAAATTAATGAAAAATAAACACATAAATCAGTCACAGGTGGCCGGATATTTACTCTTTGTAAAGCAAAATATGTTACGCTCATGCCCCCGAGATTTTATTATCATTTCAGAAATAACCTCGATACACCAAAAAGTTATGTATTCATGGTCATGTAAGGTCAACACAATACTCTTGATGTATGCATGGTGAGACCTGGGAGAGGTGAAAAGAGGCACATTGGGTGCTCGTGTTACCGAGGGTCCCCACAGACTCCTGTTTACTATGACCAGGCAGAGACCGCCACGTCTCAGTTTCCACGGACCTTACACTAATTATGCAAATACCAAAATTAACATATGCGCAATGCATATCTGTTACCATTTAATGGTTGCCAATGCGCTCAATTCAATTTCTCAGATTTCATTCTTTGAAGTCTTTTTTCACATAAGAGAAAACTGATTCATGTAATTGTAGTGTAAACATTCACTACCAGAATTTCCCTGCACAAGTAAGTGGAGAGCTGCTGAGATAACCCTTGCTTTACTGTCACTGCAAGCGTAGCAGCCTTACTCACACCTGCCGGTTAATTCATTCACCCCTGAAATGGCTCTCTCGGTAGACTCACCCGCTTTGAGTGCAAAAATTAGGTCATCAAAGTCCTGCGAGTCTTCGTCTGGAAGCAGTCCGTTGTTGACGTACGCGTACGTGGGGTCATAGCGGAGGCCCCTTTGAGGGCTCTCCTCGGGAAGGATTTGGGCACGGCTCGCTTGGCGTACGGAGCGGCCAGGCCAGTCCACTTGGGTCTTGAGCAGAATTCAAAAGGGACAGTCAGCTGAGCACCACTGAATCACAAGGCTGTGCAGAGATTTCACGCATGTTTTCATCAAATACCGCTTGACGTTTAACTCCGTGCACTATAACTATGTAACAATTTTTTTAAAATATATATAACCAAGTAAGGCCCACTGAGCTATATAGCTCTTTTTCAGAAGCAACCTAGCCATAAATGATAGCTCAACGAAGTGGCTTATTACTTGGAAATTTCTAGCAGCCAAATACTCTAAACGCGCGTTTATAAATGTGGAGGTAAAAACCGGAGAAAAATCCACGTGACTACAGGGAGAACATGCAAACTCCAAACATACAGGGGACCTCCTGTAAATCAGGCAAGGTAGTTAACATCTCACCACCACGGCACCCCACTATAAGCAGTGTCGTACAACTATTCATAATACAGGTTTCATGGGTTAGACCGAGTAAATATATAAATGTGTCATTAATGTGTCATTAACCACTACCTGACACAGCCAATTAGTAAGGTTGTTACGTAAACAGAACACGCCAATTCATTACCAGTACAGCACACCAGTGTGTTGGAGAGCAAAGACACATCATTTACAACCTGAGTACTGTGGCTTTGCTCTCTAACACACCGGTGTGCTGTACTAGTAACGAATTGGCATGTTCTGTTTACATGACAAACCTTACTAATTGGCTGTGTAGAGTGGTGACGACTTTAACGACACATATTTACATGATCTAACCCAATAAAACCTGTATTCTGGATGACATTGGTCGCGAAACCCTACGTGTTCAACTGTCTTACAACTATTGTATTCACATTTAAATAAAATTCAATCTCAGCTGATATTGTTTCCTGTCTAAAGCCACACTTAAAATAAACAAGCCAGGTTATTAATACATTTGTATATTCCACCACAATAAACAAATATACTTTTTTCACTTAATTTCAATAGAAAATCCAGTAGCCATAGGCAAAATTGTGAATCACCTTCTGGAAAAGCCCAGTGATCTATTTGCTCTTTTTCATCGGCGACATGGCCACACATAACTCACCGAAGTGGTTTATCAAATGTGTAGCCACATAATCTGAATACATGTGTCTAAAAGTGGTGAACCAAACTGAAGGAACTGGAGGAAATCCACACGACCACGGGGTGAGAACACGCAAAATCCAAACAACACACACAGACGTCAGGGTTCGATTGAACCCACGATCTCCTGCATACCAATCGAGGCAGATAACATCTCGCCACCACGAGATCCCATGACAGTAGGTGTATCTACCATAAAATACACACCGTCTGCTTCGCAGTGGATGACATTCACAATAGTAGGCCATTGTCTGCCGGCGTCATGGTCCACATTTTCCAAATTTGAAAAATTACCAGCAAATTACTCAATTGGGATTATACACAGCAATAATCCCCACACCCCCTCCTGCAAAAACTTGGCAAGACCCTCCTGAAACACAATCATGAGTGTCAGTGAGGATTTCCTGAGGAAGTAAGCATTCTAATAAATAATGCTAATCACCCACTGCTTCCATAGCAACATGTAATTTTATTTTTAATATTTCCATATTTTCCATATTTCCATGTTGCTACATTTCAATCCATTGTATTTTTAGTTGCGGTCTGCATCAAGTGCTAGAGACACAATATCTGAAGTAACCTCAAATTGTACACATTATATACAGCACTGCGAATACAACCCTTGTTTACATTTTACATGTACAATGCAGGAGCCCAAAAATATCCCAAGAAAGTACAGAATTGGATTCAGTCCATTTGTGAGAATCTTTCAGTTTTATTCACTCGTAGCCATGGGGTTACTCCAGGTTAACTCTGGTTTCATCCACTTGCCAAATACTAAATATAATGGAAATGGTCATACAGCCCATTCCAGGGCCTTCTTGAAAAAGAACATCTCAGGCTTTCCTAGATAAAGGGAATTATTATTAAATTACAGTGTAATAAAGTAATGACTTACGGTGCAAGGAAGAGTGGTTGTTGTGGACAGGTTATTACCTCCTCAAGAGCAGTGATGAGGTTCTGGGTGCTTTTGTTGATGTCTCCAATGTCCTCAGGATACGTACTGCCAGGCAAGGGGTGAGTTGCCCTCCCAGACGCCTCTCTGCTTGCATTTAAATTGTAGCTGGTTTTCACTGGCCAGCACAGCTGATTCCGCAGCACTGCATAGACCACCAGCGTGTACAGGCCCTGGAATGGCAGTGGCACATTTCCAAAATTGCATTGATAACTGAAACGCATTTTTCAGTGAAACGCTTGATGTAAAATAAGTCTGGAAAACCAACTGTGGAATTTAACTCGGGTTAGCAGGTTCATATGCCGTGCTACTAACTATTGCACCACGAGTCCACCAATGACTTTCAATATCAATAGGAAATACAAACAATTGCAGTTTATGCATGGTTGCTTTATATTGATCAAAAGCAGCAGACGCTCTTTTATCTCTCAGACTTTGTTGCAATTAAAGAAACTGACAATCCAGAATTAGAAATGTGGATAAACAAGAGTCAAAACTAGCAAAAAATATAGAATACACACAAAAACCTACCTGCAGACTATTGCAGATCACAAACAGAATAAGCATCCACAGTCTCCGATATGCCAAGTGCAGTCCTCCCCAGAGCCAGCTCAATGTGATTAGCACAAACAAGTACAGGATAAGTGGGACCTCTGGGAAAACACACACACAGAAACATGCATGTACAATGTCAAACGTAGAAATGTTTGATAAGCAATGTGTGCACAGTGGAATATTTCATAATATTTCAGTTGTCACCAGGCCAATAATATGGTTTGCATAGGGTTCAGCAATTTTTTTTTTTATCAAATGCATGTGAAAGGCTCTTAACATGTGCAGCCCATTGTATGTGCCCATTCAAAAGTAACCACTATTGTCATAATTTATTTTTATGACACAGAAGACTAATACCAGACATAAGGACGTTGGTGCTCCAGCTGATGTATATATTCACCCACCACATAATCCATTTATCTACGTATTAATAACTAACCAACCAAAAGCGTGACTAGGGCTCAACGAGTCTCATTGACTTAGTCCCGCACGTGGCTCACACCTGAGGAGTTTGGCTTGCCCCTGAAAACGTCATCGTAGCTGCGCCACTGCTCAGCCAGCTGGTAGGCATGCAAGAGGGTGACCGTTGAAGCCAGCAGGCACACGAGTGGTCCAAGTACGGCCGACACCAGCGCCACGTACTGCTCACGGACAAAGCAGCTACACAGCAACGCGCACGGCCCGTGGCACAACGCAAAAACACGCCGTCAAAGGGGTTGCTATTTGTAAATGGCAATAGTAAAAGTGTCGCCCTGCATTGCTTTCTTATGCCACTGCTGGCAGAAGGGAGTCCACAAGAGGGAGCTCTAGAAAGCCCCACTCGAAGGTAATGTTGGGCCTACTCTTCCACGCTGGTCAGACTTCTTGGAAGAGGAGGGCAGAGGAGGGGGTATTTGATAATATTGCACCATTGCTTCAACTGCCACGCCTGAAAGACCCAACCAGTGACCTCAGGATTGCAGTGGCCAATGTTCTAACCATCACACCATGGCAGCACCTCTGATTTATATGTAAACAATCCTGTTTACTATGAAATACATTTATAGTCTATTTTATATCTAATAACATAGGGCATAACAAAAGTAATGAGACATTCTCAAATCCTTTTAATTAAAATAATTCATCATGGTACAAAAAGGATAAATATTTATTTGCATTTATGGTTCCTCTTTCATTTGATTTGAGAAATGTTATTCGTGTATCCTCATATTACACGTCCTATTTTCTACGTAATAAATTGTGAAACGTAAGATATATTAATGGCTTTCAGTTGCTTTGCAGGTGAATATATTTAGAGCAATGCTCTTTTGTCAATTAAATTAAGGAAATACACACGTAAAAAATAGTCTCTTTTAAACGGCATGCTGACAGGTCTGATAATTAAATCCCCCCCCCCCCCACCCAAAAAAACACAGTTCAGTGATAGAATTGAATAAAGTACTGCAAATAATACACCCTTTATCCTTTTGAAAAATGATTTAATTTAACAATCTTCTCAATTGTGACCTCGTAGTAATTGCGAGGCATTGCTTGTGCTGGGTGGACTTACAGATCACCATGAATGGCGCCGTAAATGTTTCGTGACTCCCAGCCGAGCGCAGCCAAGAGGACAATCAACAACAGGACAAGCAGGGCCACGGGCAGCCCCCAACCCAGGATTACAAAGAGTGGGAAACGCCGGTCTGTGTGTTCGTCATTCAGCACCAGCACCTGCCACAGATTGATGGACTAAAAGCAATGGGGAACGGGGAAGGTGAAACAATATCAAGAGACAATGAGTTAATATGGGTAATGATACAAATCGGGAGACAATGGGTTTAACATTTAAATGTGAGCATTTTAGGGGGTTTTCTGTATTGAATACAATCAGTGTGAATTAAGATGAATGCGTTTTGCATGTTTATGAATTCAACCCAACGTCACCCCAAACGCATTGGGCAAGCGGCACTTTGTATGGTTGTGAAAAATTAGGCTGCCGAAATTTGCTTTTTTGGCATTGTCAGGTGGTATACAGCTTTGCGGATGTCATAGAGACCTCCACTTGAAGATTGATTTAGAAGTTTGTTGGTAACAAAAAAATATATATGCTCAGTCGCAAACAATGTGCATTTGCGGTGTCTTTATAGCTAAATTTGTAGTAGACCCCTGTGAAGAAATCTGTATCTATTTAGATTTGCCCACATTAAATGGAACACATGTAGAGTGAGCACAATGACAACTGGACTTGCACAAAATGTAGGTAATTCCAAATGTGCAAGAACTCTTGAAAGGGTTTCATTTCATCTTCATGCATTCATGGACGAGATAATATGAAAAGAGTCAAATCAATTTGTTGTAATTGAGAGCATACATTCAGCAAGTAGCGCTTGTAAACATCATTTTGTATAACATCTGATTCATAATCCAGGTTTTTATTCTCTGGATTATCCAGGAAAATTCAAATTCAATACCCCTGCATGAAATAAATTAAATCCTCATGACGTGCTTATTTAGTTCTCAATAATCCACTAAAACAATTATTTGATATGTTTCATAAAAGAAAGTCCAAGTCGCTTATACATTTAACATATGAAAGGAATCTAACGTTTTGTATTTTAAAATACTCTGCAAACATTTTCATGCATTACACTACAGTATGACGTAGCAATGAGATTCTATTAACACTCCTTTTTGTTAATTTGTATTATATAATAATATAATATGTAAAAAAAAAATTGCAACGGTTGGTGCACGTTACGTTTTCGAAAATTTTAAGAATTAAATACGGTGTGCCAAAGCACCAGATTTCACGTGCGATTGGAAGCACAGAGTCCTTGTGAATTACAATGCAATGCTCGTGAAGCGTCGACTTTAACCGAGGCTGACACTTACCTGCACCAGTATCCAGGTGAACTGCGCCAGGAAGAAGTAGTGCACGATCAGTCCCACTGCAAAACAGCTCTCATCTGACACCTGGCCACTTACATAGGCGGCGATTAGAAAGACCACCTGTTGGCAGAGACAAATGTTAATCGGTAGCATTAGTGCAGTCAACGGTGAGCATGACAGCCTGTCACATGTGCACCCCGCCGCGTTGGTCATAAAAGCCCTTTTCAATTACCCATCATTAAGGTAAACATGCCAAGGAGAATTTGCGCCTCCGTATGTTAGCTCTGCAGATATGTTCTACGTCGTGAAAACAAAAGCACTTCTCGTGACGTTAAGCATGCTGTATCATTTTTTATGCTACTGGCTTGGAGAACGATATATTTATGTTTTATATAAATAATATTGCTCCAAATAATGAATTATGTCAATATCAATGGAGAGATATGTATTTAATCACGTGGAGTCCAGAATCTTAGTGTGCCATATTTAATTTAGAAAATACACGATGATGGTATTTAGCATTTTCATTCAAAATAATGGGAAGGATTCATTTTTGTTGCAACAATAAAACAGGCAGCTTCAATAAATGTCTTCAGCAACCACTATAAGCAACCACTGAGCAAGCAACATTTAGAAAAGGTTTTCCTACTTTTGACCACTGACATACTATCAATCAATTTCTGGAAAAGACAAATACATGGTAAATACCATTAAGATTCACCTTTGTAGACTATACAAGGGCATTTGACTCAGTGAAAAATTAATGCAGTCATCCAAGCACTCACAAACCGAGGCATAAACGAAAACATATTTAGAACTGATAAAAAAAAACATTTGAAAGAAATGAACAGCTACAATGAGACTGCATGAAGTAACAAAATACATTTCAGAGTCGGGCCAGCGCATGTGCTCTCGCCAAAGTTACTTGCAAGGCTCTTTACGTTTCGTGGAGAATAACACCCACCGATAATATAGCGTTCATTTGTACGGACACAAAAGAAATCAATGGTTCAGGCGATTAAGCCACCAAATTACCTGCGTGGCAAAACATGCAAACAGCATGTGCATGAGCAGCTTGGCTGCAAACATGGAGAGACGGGAGCAGAGAAGATGTGCAAGGAGCGCCAGGGCTAGGCCTGACCACAAATACACACACACACACACCAGCTGTCAAAACCACGTGTGCATTCGCACGATTGCGTATAAAGTACAGGTTAAAGGGAGAGCGCTGCAAATTCTTGCTTACACCACAGCTGACAGAAGGGCCTTCACTTAGAGGGAGCCTTCACTACAGAGAGCCCCGCCAAAGCGTATTTTGCCTGCGCTTCCACGCTGGCCAGGTGTCGTGTAGGTAGAACCTTTTTTAAAAAGAGTATTTATTTTTACTCATTTAACAGTATTCCACGGAAAACATCTCAACACTTTATCCCACCGCGCACGACGTGCTGATCTGGCAAACCGCGGCGGACACCGTTTCAACTGCCGGGCGAACGGAGGCGGCGGAGATTTCGGAGACTTTGCACCGTTCTGTCGACTGCCGTGGCCCGGGAGATGGAACGGACGACAGTGGATCACGGCAGGCACCCCCACAGTAATAGCCACACGCAAGTGCACGAAGGCATCATTGATGCATTTAAAGCTCAACTGCTCTCGCCACTTTGTTTATTTGTTTAAAGCAGATGTGGCTTTTTTTTTCTCACCAGCACATGCGTCCATCGTTCTGCACCAGGTCTATTGGACTTCATAATAATGGGGTACTTTTATTTGGGGCGGGGGGGGAGGTTTGTTTACGCACAAATTGAGACCTCTATTTCATCATATTTTTGTAACAAACCGTAAAATTAACTTCCAAGCATTTACACATGAGAAATGACCAACTGACAGAAGCCGTTAAATAATAACTCTCGCTTACTTTTGGAACAAAAATAGCCATGCTAAAGATAGGGAATACAATCTATTCTGTGAATTGTTCAGCTATTACTTCATCTTAATATGTACTGTCGTCTAGCTGTTTGCCCATTTGGTATTTTTGTTATAACAAATATAATTGAAGTGTGCCTGCCATACACAGGAGGGGGTTCATGTACGGTGCCTTACCAGTCATGCATATGATACAGGATATGTAGACAGCTAAATTGTAAGATGTCAGGTTGTCCGTTTTACCATAAACGGCATATGTCGACATGTGAGAACAGGCGCATTCAACAAAGTTGAAAGAGTCTTCTACAACCCGGCAGTATTTGCTGTCCGCCAACCAACTGTAGAGAGATGACACACAATATTTCTATATATATATATGGTGAAGGATGGGTTTTGAATTAAGAAAATTACAGGTTTTTATATTTTTAGGAACAATTTCAGATTTCTTAAAGATTTTCGGATCATTGACATTGCGTATAATTTAACGTAACTTCGTGCTAACACTGTCACTCGATATCAAGTGACACTACTTTTGGTGGGAAATCACAAAAGTGATGTAACATGTGATGCCATTTACCGTGACATCATACTTTCAGATAAATCCGAAATAAAACATTTGTCAGAAAAAAAAAAATGTAAAATCAAGGCCTGCTTTTATATTTTATCCTAAAATGTGGAACATTTCCCTGAAATACATATAACACAAACCAAGTCAAATCCCAAGTAGTAAAGCAGCCTCCATAGAAACGATGTTGACACGTATACATCTGGCTCGGTAAATGATACCCACGGAGGTGTTTAATGCATTGCTCTGACTAAAACTCGTTAATATTTGGGGATTTTTTTTTTAGTGGAAGTCATGCATTTTTTGTACCCCTCATCAGCAGGGTTCCAGAGAAGACAAGCAGACTTATGTGGCACCACCCTTCTGTCTGTGGCGTGTATCCTGTACGTGACTTCTCCTTCCTGTGTAAGTGGCCTTGATGGGATGCCCTTCACGCCAACCGACAATACCTGAATGCACGTACGTGGCACAGGTTATGAATTAAACTCCATACAACCTTGCACAGGAAAAAAAAATTGCCAATGGCAAAGTGAGACCAAATTACTTCAATGAAAGGCCCATAAGAGGCAATTTTACTTGCTCAATGTAACTTACTGGTTATAACTGAGAACTGAAAAAAACGTAAAACCCCATTTGGCCCCTCTAACAAGAAATTAGAGTGCATTTTAACCATAAAACAGCTTGCAAAAAGTAGAATCACCACAGCAGGGATAACGAGTAGGGTGCTGCTCACTGCAACCACGTAAAGACTGCAGTCGTATTCATGATAAATATCCCTCATTCACCACAGCTGTCAAATGTATTTTTAGAAAGCACTTCCTTGGGTGGGGTCAGTCAGTAAGTGATGTACCTTGCTTATCCTGGTTGTCAATTATATCCCAATAAAGCAATTTAATTGGAAATTTTAAAAAAAGTTTTACCAAAGCTCAGAAATCATATCTGCATTACAAAAAGCTGAACACAATGCAGCATAAATACAAACCAGTATCAATAACAGCAGTTCAGCTGGTTGCCTCAAGCCAAAAGTTGTTTATGATCCCTTTAAATGAACCGTAAGTATAATTGATCTACAGATCATCATTTTATCAAATCATTACAGACACACACACAGTGAATGTATGGGCTTGGAATAGCATATGGCTCAACATAATGTGTATGGTTTCGATTTAAAGCTTTCGTGACTGCAAGGATTCATCTTCTTTGGTTCTTTCGGTAAAGTCACGTAGAATGAGAAATAAAATAATAAAATAACACAATAAAATTCTCACGACGTTTCGGCCACCACAACACAAGTGGCCTTCTTCAGGTGAAAGGAACAAACCTGTCAGGACGACAGAGCTTCAATGAACGCTGCTAAGATGCGCAGCCTCACTTCTCTCAACCAGCTTAAAAGACGCTGCGAATCTTAGCAGCATTCACTGTAGCTCTGTCGTCCCGACAGGTTTGTTCCTTTCACCTGAAGAAGGCCACTTGTGTTGTGGCCGAAACGTCGTGAGAATTTTATTGTTTTATTTTATTATTTTATTCTCATTCTACGTGACTTTACCGAAAGAACCAAAGAAAATGTGTATGGTATTAATTCAATGTATTTTTTCATCATCAGGGATCCAAAATGTTAATTAAGACATCCTTTTAAAAACAAAATATACCAGTAACTGTATTTCACAACTTTACAAATATACGGGAATTCTTAATACTTTTTTTCTTCAAACATATATGCCACCCTCACCGTGCCTGCCATCACAGATGGCTGGTCTTTTGGTTGGTACCACTGCTGGCTCCGGTACTCAACGAAGAGAACATCATAACACTCCTGCAGGCTGGGGCCAGTCACAGGCAGCAGTCGTTCTGGTAGAGCCAAGGAATCTGCGGCTCGGCCCACAAAGTGATGTCCATTTATTTGTTGAGGGTACCAACGGGCAGACAGCACCATCAGACGCCCACATGAATCCAGCATGGTCTTGCCTCTGTTGTGTGCAAAGGGAAATGCCCATGGTTAGTTTCACTAAAATAAAAAAATACATTTGTATCTAATTATATAGAGCCCTTTGTCAATGCACTGCTGGATCACAGACTCCCCATTGTGTGTCGGGGAGTGTTGGTGAATGAGGGCCCCAGGATCGGTTTAGATATAATTCGCCGCTGATGTTAGCCATGGTCAGGGATTGCACACATCTCACTGGGTTCGTACCAGTGTGCCGAGCACTGCGCTACTTCTCGCCTAACAAAGAATGGTGTAAATTTTACTCTTGAATAACCCTGTTGGGATTTCACATAGATGCCACCATGGGAAATCTAAAGTGTGCATTAAATCACAAAGAAAACAATAAATGTAGATTTGGCTGTGCAATTCTAGAGGGCATCTCACATTACAGTTAATCCATGGTAGTTAAAGATTGCTTCTGTGGCTTCATTGTAATCACCTGGACAAATTGGTATAACACCCTGCACAAAAATTCAAACCAGAATCAACACAAAAACGCACCTATTATTCGAACGTCAATTGTTCATATATATTAATATTAGAAACAAACATCTGTGACACCCATAACATTAATTTTCTCAATAGTGGATTAAACTTAAGGCATAAATAGATTCCAATAGAAACAAAAAGAGGATGACTTAAGAGACCATGCTGTCCAAATGAATGGTTTACCTGATTGGGGCAGAGTCACATTGGATGCCTGTAAGCAGGGAGAAGGCAAAACGTTCCGTCACCTCCCCAAGAAGCGTATATCCACGCGTATCGAGCCGGCTTGGGTCCACCAGGTGACACAAGATGTTGTAGATCACCTTATTAATCGACTCATTGAGAGCTCGCTTCTCTCCTTCACTAATTATCTACAGAAGGGGAGAATAAACAAAGCAGCCATTGCAGATGTTTTACACTCGTTGCCTTACTGCACCTTCTACAATATTGATTTTTTTTTACACATTTGCATAGGTGTGATGTGTAAGCTCTCTAGCCCGTGTTTGTTTTACCGTATGCTGTTTGGAAAAGATGTCAGACGTTTCACTCGATCTGCTGGGAGCTACTTCAGGAATTTAATGTAAGCTCCCAGCACGTGGAGCAAAATTCCAGACACCATGGGGAATAATACACAGTACAACCCGAAAACTCATTGGAGAGCATACACATGTGTTAGTTCCATGCCGATGATTGAAATTTCAGCTGTTGCAGGTCGCTGTAAGATGGCCCTCAGGGTGGTGTGATATGTATTGTTGCTTTACGATCTCTTTTCATTACCGCCGCTGTAGAATTTCACGTCTCAGCAGACCCGCCGCGAAACAATGTCAACAATGAAGAGCTCCATTTGTATTTAATTATCAATAACAATGTTTAACAGCCTTGTGATGTTCGAAAACATTTGCTGTGACTCCCATCAGTCGCCATCCAGGTGTGTCCAACTCTACCTCCATACAGTAGCTCTCTCACAACACATCTTAATTACTGACACCTCTCCACACATTCTCTCCAAGCCTCTGCCTCCCTCCCGTACAGCTTGCCAGCCATCTCAGTTCTCTTCTTCCAAGGTCTCCATCAATGCTAACACCATTGTGCTATCTCTCTTATGTATGTCTTTTCGGGTTGCACTGTGTGTTGCTTCTGCATCCTGTCCGACTTTTTTCTCCAAGTGTTCAGCAGTGCATGCTGGGTAGTGTTTGGTGCAAAATGTCAGGACATCACACCAAGTTACGTGTGATAAATCAGAAATCACATCAAAGAGCTGTAAACATATTCCTGTTGTCCACAAAACTCCGCCCACTCACTCCTCTGGTCCTTCCCGTCCAATTAATTATTTCTGATTAATCAATCTCTCAGTCAGACGTTTAATTCATTTTAAATGACCATTATCTTCCTGCCGGTCTTTTCTGTTTTACCAGACAGCAATTAATCTGCCTATAGGACAGCCCTAAGCCCTCAGCCTGTCTACCATTCTAATTAACGGAGCTCACATTCATCTGTGTTACACAACGTGATTTTTTTTCCTCTGAAAAATCCAAGCAGGTAAACGAACCCATTGCGCTCAGTTCACCAGGTGATTCCATACCTGATGCAGCACCTGCAGGCAGGCGCTAAGCTGCTCGGGCGATGCCTCTTGCTCCCGCCCCACTTTGCTTTCCAGAGTCTGCAGGATGCGCTTGATGGTAGCCTCCTCCACAGGCTGCTGAAGAGGATCCAGGAGACTCCAGTAGAACTGCGTGTCTGCGTCCGTCACGACTGTAACATTGGCCAGGTTGTACTGCTCATCCAGCCCCACGCCCCCTGTCGGGGAGCTCAGCAGCACTTGGAAGCGCTTGGGGACGGGATTGGGAGATGCACTCTCGGGCGTGAGCGTGATGTCGAGTGACACCTCACGCTGGCCTGGCTGGAATTCCAGATGCCCCTCAGATGGAACAAAATCTTGGTTTGCAATAGCTGGGTAAATCATCACGCCGCCAATCTCCATCTCTGCACGACGCAGCTCCTGCAGAAAAAAATAATAATTATAGAATTTTAATTTGAGAATGCATGCAACCTAACTGACCAGCGTGGTGAAGTATTGTCAAATAACCCCTCTAACCATCATAGTATGGGGAGGCCTTCATCCTAAGGTGGATTGACAAAGGACTGTAATCATTACAATGCATACAGTATATATTTTAATTTGTTAATTTTCATTACTTTTCCTGTATTTACCTTCAACAAAAAGTTGAGCAGCATGAATATATGACAAAATTAGGTTAATCAGAGTTTCACATTAATGAGATTTAAAGACAAAAACGTGTTATTTGAATCAATAACACTTTAAAGTTGGACTGATTTTTTTCTTCTTTCATTTTGAGCAAAAAAAAATATAACAGGAAATTTAATTAAAATTCTAGACATGTCATCATGAAATGTCTGGCACCATATGCGTCATGATAGAATATATATTTATCTGTACACTTGCACTTCTTAATAATTTAATTACGCACCTCCGACTAGCACGGTTGGCTACGTACCGTGTGAAAGAAGTTCAACATACATACAGTGGCTATTGCAACTACCCTGTCATCACACAAAGACAGCAGAAGGGGCTATACTACGGGCTAATGATTTGGAAAAAGATGAAACACAATCCAGAGAAGACAACATCTTAAAAGGTTGTCACTGAACGAATAAAGTTCAGTTAATTTTTTTCTAAATTCATGAAAGCTATCATGTAATTTTAGACACGAGCATTTTAAATTCATACGGTTATAAGAATTTATTTTTTTAATAAAACATAAACATTTTAATTGTCCATCGGCTATTATTCCTAATCTTAATGTGTCCTGCCCAAGTTAAAATATCTCTGAGAACTGCTGAGAACCTGAGTTCCAATCCGGATAGCAAATCATGATCCGGGTTCTCAAGTGAAGCGAGTTAATGGTCTCAACCTCGTCACTGATGACTGCACACAAACACATGTTACATACAATTAGTTTTTTTTACTTAATATGACAAAATTCCATCCTTGAAAATGAAAAATGTTGGTTTTACTGCCAGTCTGAAATTTGTTTCTCTGTGGCAGGGCATGTGGGTAAGCACAGCACCCCTGGTGTATATATCAGAGGTCAGTTGAAAGGATCTGTGAATACATTGTGATATATCCTCACATGAGCCATTCTCTAATGTGGGGGGGGTGCCCTACACTGGCCTCTAAGAGTTCTGAATGAACACTTATTCTGATGATACATTGGGAAAACATAAACTTGGATAAAATTTGACAAATTGTAAACATAAATATGATAAACCAAGTCGATGAAGTATCATTCATTAATTCATCGCGCATAGTCAGCGAAAAGTGTGACCTCTTGCGACAACATTTGCATAAACTACTCTGTCTCGAGTAATTTGGCATTGAATAGATTAATTTTATTTACAAAAACAATGTAAATAGATTGTAGACAATTTCCAAATGTGTTTTTTTTCAATCATAACCGAATAAGTAGGTCTGCTTGGGCACAAGACTGACTGCAAGATGAGAAGCGCGGCAATCCATATTGGGAGGCCTTATGCAGCAGTGGATTTTCAAACGGATGATGACAATAATGACGATGACGACGATGATGATCATCATCATCATCATGATGATAATGGGCAGCCTTGTACCAGAATCCTGTAGTGCACGGCGACGGGTGTGGAAATTCCGTATTCGCGCACGACACGCAAGGTGACGACGCTGGACTTCTGGTGCGTGACCATCAGCCTGGAGCCCACGGCGAAGAGGACGAGGCCGTGAGGGTGGTCGCTGCTCTCCACGGTCACGTTGGCAAAACGGCTCGTGCTGTTGATAGCCGCACCCTCACCGACCCAGTAGATCTCAAGCAGGAACCAAGCTTGGATTTCGGGCACCTTGAAAACAACCGTGGATTAATTGCGGTTCATGCGTACACCGCAGGGTGCAAAGGCCATTGCCAACGAGAAGCTTAACGTCGCAGCGTCTTGCGACAATCACATCGCTTTGAAAATAATCAAACATCGATACGTTTAACCTTTTTAAGAGTATGTAAAAGCCCACATATATATGTCAACACTACTGATCGCCGCAAATTAATAATCATGTTTATTTTTTTTTATAACGACGACATATTTTTTCACGTATATTAATCACCATGAGCGTCATTAACCCGCATCTTAGTGTATTCACATTACTGTTCCAATGGATACCTTATCAGGCCTGAGGCCCACACGAATTGGACAGCTGAAATGTCCCGCTTGACACACAGTCTCCCCAGTCACCGCCTCCAGCTCCTTCTCTAGGCTCACACCCTCTCTGTGTAACTGCACTGTGTCCTTGTCAAAGGTCGCCCTCCAGGCCACACGTACATCATCAAAGACCCTGTTGTCGACACAAAGCACGTGCAAGCATCATTCGACAGCACAAACACGAAAAGGCGATTTATGCCAGCAAGCACCGATTAAGGTAGGTGTGGTGCACATGGAGGTGGTATTGCATGCACCATGCCCAGCGAGCCACCTTTTGTCTATCCCAGTGCTGATGTTTATACGCCGCACCAGGCACCAAGCACTCATTTAATGCAGGCGTGTCTCGCTTAACGAGCAAGATATGGGACCCGAAAATTGCTCGTTGAGCAAAAAAAAAAATTGTTAAATGATCGTCGTTTTGCCATTGAGTCCCATGTTACAAGCTGAGTTATGTTTCATCCCCCCCCAAAAATGTTCCACTCTTGAACAACTTTTTCACTCGACAAATAAAAATTGTGATTTTAAAATAAAGTAATGAACATCAAATGTAACACTGACCACGCATGAAGAACCACAGTGCTTGCAGGTGCCTGTCCTCAGCGTCTGCGATTAACCCCCCCCCCCCACCACTGCTCGCCCACCCATTACAGTGCAACCACGAGCCCCCCCCTCTTACACATGGCAAATCACACAACACGGCACAACTGGTAAACAAAGAGCTGCGGTTCGCCCCCTGCCGCCTCACCGTACGCACTCGATAGTTTTCGAAGAAAGAACGCTCGGAGAGCAAGACACGCCTGCACGGAGTTAACCAAAGGGAGGCCCAGGAAAGGCTTCAATATACTTGCCACTAACTGTATGAAAATAACAATAAACCTTTCTTTCTGCCGTATTATTATGAGCTCTGCAGAGCGGCTTTCTTCCGAATCTTCATCCAGCACCACTCCCAACAGGAAATGTGGAGAAAATCCCAACATTCCATTCTGCAGATCATTTCCTAGGGCGAGTAACAAACAGCTTGTGGTAAATTAGCGACAAAACCAGACAAAGCATTCCTCCCAGCTGTAATATGATTGGATTGAATATTTCACCAAGATTTGGAAATAAGCTGTGGCATTTTTGGCCAAAACGGCTGCAATGTGGAAATTAACACAATAAATATATTAATACCAATGAAATGTTTTTTTTATTACATTTACTGGTCACAAATAGCACCACATGATATATTTTTAAAACAACCTCTTGTTAGACTCAATTCTTTAGCCTACACCTGGTTTTGAATAGTATATTGAAATAATTGCCCGTGCACATTTTATTTGCTTAACAAATGGTGAAATAATAATCCTAAGCTCATGTATTTTTACAGCATGTAAATTTATCTTGGGGTAAAAAAGTAAAAAAAAATGTTTACGTAATATTTGAGCAAACAACAAATATATAGGTCAGGCAAAAATAAAAATTTGTGTGCACTTGCATATTAATCTATAACGCCAAGTTGTTCCTGAGGTTAACAAGCATGATTAGAGTGAAACTTCCCACCAGCCTGGGATAGAGTATTTGTAAATCTGCCAAGGAAATGTTCGTATAGAATTCAAATAAAAATCCTTCATGCAAGGTACACCTCACAATGTATATGCTTATAGCAGTTACACTTAAACCGCGCATTTTATACGTATGTACACACACAGGGGCGGAGCCAGGGGGTTGACAGGGTAGACAATTGTCACCCCCGAAAAAAAATAAAAAATCGAAAATCTGAAACATTCTGCCGTTATAAGTGTACGACACTCGGTCTGGCGGACTCCGTGCAACTGCATTGTCAGAGTGTGTCGCCAACCGATGGCGTCTAGTTCAACAGCCTGACTCTCTAATCATTCTTGAAATTAAAATTTGTTGAATGTCACCCCGGGCTGAAAATCCTGGTTCCGCCCCTGTACACACACACACACACCCATGCATGCACACACAATGGAAACAGTCGTATTACCTAGAATGATTACTTTAGCATATCCTCTCAGTCCAGAGTCATTTGTTGCTATTGAGGCCCCTCCAATGGGATCAGTCAAGTATACAAAGAAAGCCTCCTTGCCCTCCGTGACATCGTCATCGAGGATCGTGAGTGTGACTAAAGCCTCCGGCACTCCCTCGTGCAGGCTCACGTTCGCATCCAATGACTCAAAGTCTTCTCCTTCTGTCGCCAGTGGTAACGTATTGTTGGCCAGAGCGTGTTGCAACTCAACGGAGGCCAATAGAGAAGGAACAAATCGGCTTCCTGCAGCTCTGACAGTCACGCCAACTGTTCCAAAAAGCCCTCGAACTCGACGGACAATCAACTTTACAATATGTACCTTGTCTTCCACAACAAGCATTTCCCTGGGACTCAAACCGAGTACCCCGTGGGGGTCATCATTTGCTACAATAGTAATGGCCTCAGAGCTGCCATCCGGGTTTAGTCGGGGACTATGCTCTGGGTCATCAGGCTCAGGCCAAGCAGACAATCCAGTAAGGTTAACGAAAAACACCTCGTCCGGTTCAGGTATGTCATCATCAAGCACAGACATTTCTATCAGGGCCTCAATTTGTCCCCTTTGGAAAATCACTTCTGCCTCGAGCACAGGAACAAAGTCTAAGTTTGGCGTAGCTGAACCACTGATGGTTTGGTATGTCAGTCGAGTTCCATTGCCTTCATAGCCATACAGTCTCTGGATCTTCAGCACGGCATAGCCATTGGCTTCTTGTATCCTCAGGGGCTGCATGGCTTGGTCAAACTGGAAGACTCCAAATGGCTCGATTTTGGCAAACGACTGATTCTGCCTTTTGAGACAAATATCAGGGGAAAAAAGTGTGAAGTCAGCGAAAAATATTTTTTTCCATCAAAGCAAGACTATTTTTATCGTGAACAAGTATCACAGTATTATTTATACCGTATTATGTGCTTACAGTAATACACTTATTTACAGACACATGGTATGTTTTTTTCTTCTCTCCTGGAAATAAAACATTGCCCCCAGCTCTATACTTGCACATGGCATTAAACCCACTGTGCACAGCTGCACCTAGCTGATTTGTCATGAACAGCAAAAATGTGTGTCCATAGCTTGCGATTTAGGAATTTTTTTAAAAAAAATCCCTTAATCCTATTGCAAAGCTGTTTATGTCCCAACCCACTAACTGTGGTGAATGTCTCTCTGCCAGTTTTAAATCAGTATCCCTTTCTGAAGGTATATAAATATAATCCCACTTAAACCTCATTCTGATTATGCATTACGTACATATCTTTTCATGTTTGTACATTTATGCAGAAAAACAAATTCATTAAATACGATAAGCACACAGCAAACATAACTATTTTATGACTGAATATTGTTTTAGGCATGAACTGTTAAATACAAACCAACAAGCACATAATGCACCAAAGGTTGATCACATCCCTAATTAGCCACACATCGTTCTGTTTATCAAAATCTCTGAGTTAAAGTCGAAGGGGAAATGGCATCATCTACCTTATCTTGGCCCCACCATTTACACTGCTGTATACCTCTGTGATATGAACAGCAAATGATTCAAGCTGCTTGCTACGTGGCATCAGCAGAAGGTCTACAGAATGGTGTTGTTGTCCATGGGCAAAATGAATCAAACCTGCAGGAAAACACAATGACAATTCAATCAACTTATATACCTGGATGCTGTAACATTTGTTGTAATTTTCGGTTTATAATTGATTGCAGATTGTTTTTATTATTACACACATTTTGTGATTATACACCCAATACTAATCATTATGTCGCATATAAAGCATAGTACCCACTTGAAACAACCAGTTAAAAAAAATTCAACCACTTTGTTATTGAAAAGTTAAGTAAATTGTTACCCTATTTAATGAATAACAAATTAGGTTAAACTAAATGACTCATACATAAATTAACTTATATTATTTAGTTAATGCTGTCTATGCTATATGTAGTTTCTTGTTATTTGAACATCTACGCACAGAGCGGAGCTATTAATGAAGAGAAAGGTTGTTAAAAGAAAACTTTGTTCCACTCCCTGCTGGTGAATTTGGAGCTTCAAAGGCAAATTATGCTTTCAAAATGGCCATGACACGGACACATAATTATCTGCTGTTGTGCAAAGCATCATGAGATCCATTTACTGCCACAATGAAGCAAACAGAAATAATTGGCCTAATGTCTCTTCTTGCAAGGGCGCAATGTTTACTAATAATACTCCCAGGCACGGAAAAAGGTAAAAGGCAGTGCACGGCCAAGGCTGCAATTGTGCCAGTATTAGATGAACATGGCTCACCTGGGATAATAACAAATAAAGCAGCTAACATGTATTTTGATTTAAAAACAAAACGGTGGCTTGATCCTCATTACAATTTTGTACGCACCGGCTGGTGGAATAATTATGCCCGCTGAGAAGGCATTTGCGCTGCTTCCCTTTGGAAACCCACTGCTCCAGCGCACGGTGACATCCCCGAATTTCCCGTAGCGGGAGACCACAGCCTCACACTCGCCGGAGCTTACGTTGCTCACCCTAAGAACAGTCTTATCAAAACCCACCTGGGCACACACATCAAAAACATTGGAGACATTGGCATATGATTTTTTCAGAAATCATATTTGATAACCTTACATAGTGTACTGGCTGTGACAATTATTATTATTATTGTAAATTAATGCATTGTTTCAAACTTGGCATGTGCTGATCGTTCAACGCTAACCGATGAAACATTATGTACATGTGCATACGAATAATACATCTTCATGCTTTAATATGTGGGGGGTTTTCGCCCAAAAGCGTGCAACTCTTTCATTACACACTTGGTACAGTTTAACACTCTGAAAATTAAATGTATCACACCTATGCAATCACACCAAGACTTCTGGAGTTACTCAGTTAGAGGTGTTGGACATATAATTATCAAATGTTCAAAGTTGTGTTGGTTGACATCAGAGATTGAACACCTTTCGAGCATGGGCCTGACACCAGAGTCAAAAATATTAATCATAATATTAAAATATATATACAAATAATGTGCTCAAGCAGGTCCTCACCATGGCATTTGCAGCTTCAGCAGTAACTGTAATTATCACGGAGTTTTGATCACTGTGGACTCTGGGAGGCCGGGGGGAGGTGCCAGATGCCAGGCGGACATTTGTGAGAGTCGCCACGAATGTGAAGCCGACAGGTAAAAACTCCTGTTACACACACACGTACATTTGAATCCTCAAATATAAAGAATTTATCCTCCATAAAACTTATTTTCTTTAGCAATAGTTTCAACATGCCGTAGAACATAACAGTCAAGAGTATGATAACATGACAAACGGAAAAAAAGTATCATCATAATTAAGTATTATAAAGGGGTATAATAATTACCTCTATTAAAATAGGAATGAATGCTAAGCCATAGAAGGCCCCATCTTGTATTGTTATGCTCCCAAAGCCAATATCCTGGCCTGTTGATGCACGGACGTGGTATGACACCACCACATCATCATGGGCTCCCGCCAGCCTGCTCATGTTTAGCTTGATTGCTCGGGTCACATTCTGGCTGCTGACCACTGCTTGCCAATTGGGCAGCAGTGCAAAAATACCATGTGGATCTCCGTTGGCAGGAACGGTGAGTAGGGTGCTGTTCCTGCCAGGTTCTATCTCGGCCCCTCCCTCCACCCGAGTGATGGAGACGCGAAAAGTCTCATCAAGCTCTGCCACATCATCCGGCAGGAGCCAAAGAATGATTGCAGCATCTCTCTCCATGTCAGGGATTGTCACCACTCCGTGACTTGTTTCAAAATCCTCTTCAACCCCAGCGTCACTTTGAACCTCCCAGTAAACCTGCAAATGAAATGATATTCATGAAGGTCGTTTAAAAAGTAATAAAACTAGGTCCTCAACTGTTATTCATGGCATGTCTTCCTAGCTTATTTTTCATATGTCACTTCTTGTCTAGTGTAAATATTCATGAGAGTTTTTAATTCGTATTTTTTTCCCAGAAGACTCTCAGCTAAGTCTCAAGAATGTTTAATGAGGATCCTGCTGAGGATGTTTGGCCAATTCCTTATTGAGAAATGTCTTATTTAGTACATTTATGGAACGTATGTTTTTGATATTAAGTGAACAATGTGGTGCTACATTTCCTTTTACTTTAACCAACAGGTGTATACGGGGATCATGCAGTTAATTGCATGTTAGTATTGCTTATCACGTGGCTTTGAAAAATGAAAGGAATATTCTGTACTTTAAAACTGATTAAAGTTTTGTCATGTCATTCGATCGTGCAGCAAGCCTTTACCAAATCTCGCGAAAAGTGTCCACGTCACAAGCAGTACTCAAAATCGGACGCGATTAACATAAAGTACCACGACATTTGATTACGTGACAAGACAGCAACCAGCAGGGTCCAGGATGGAAGGCAGAAATGTCAAGAGATGAACTCGCGAGACAAAGCGTGCTACTTCTGAGACGGGTTAAAAAACAAATGTTACACCAGAGAAGAACATGTAACAGAAGAATATTAGGAATTTTCTTTAGCATAATTTTCTTTCAGAAACGCATTTAAGAGTTAGTTTTGAGATGTATTAAATATATGACATACCCATTACATTCCAAGAATATCTGTCTGAACGTGGACAATATAACTCTACTTGAAAATTATGCTTACAAGTACGGTAATAAAACATAAGAGATAACAATGCTTCATGTAACTTGTGTTATCAATCTGATCTACATTTTCTTGAATATCAACAGTACAGAAAATAAAATACGTTATATATGCTTAGCAAATTGCTCATTTAAAAACTAAAATACGATCATCTACAACGTATATTAAATATTTTGTTAAGTAAGAATCTCTACTTTTTAATGGGAAAAAAATATTTTAGGCAAGCATCTCAAATATAACTGCAGTTGTATGAAGTCTTTGTCTACCTGTCCAAGTGCTCACTTGGAATGGAAAAGTACTTTTAATAAACACACGGTACTTTTTATAACCTCAAGACAAAGGGTGTTCCAAGTGTCTGAAAATAGAAACTTGCCTGTTATGTTTCCTTCCCAGGCATGCCAGTTTATGTATCAAATTCATCACCAAATATTTGGCATGCATACTTTTCAGTAAGTAACCCTTAAAACGCTACGGGGGGAAATAAATGAGCTAAACACACACTTTATCTGCCTCTTGGTCATTTTAAAATTACCGACTTAGGACCAAAGGTATCGCGTAACAAAATTTCACCATTCTTCACATTTATCACCCTAAATACTCGCAGGACACATCTCAGATATCACGCACAAATACATCACTTCATTAACCTCCTGTAAGCGCACAACAGGGGCACAACGACACGAGGATTAATGGGGCCGCAACGGCCCCGGCCCTTAATTACCCCGGGCCCGGCCGGCGTGACAAGCCAGAGCGATGAGTCTATCTCCGCACCCCAGACACGCGCATAATGGAGCGTGGTGCGCGCTGCTCTGCCCGCATGAATTTAGATGAGCCGGGATCTCGCGCTGGATTCGCCTCATTATACGGGGGGGGGGGGGGGGAGCCGTGGTTCTCCGGAGGTGGCGATGGTGCTCGAAAATGTTGGGACCACTAACAGATGACGCACGGTGTCCTGAGCGCTGTACCGGCGAAGACAGTGCTAATTAAGTTCAGCAAAGCCACTTTGATCAATGGCACCATTAAAAATACATTCCTGTTTGTATTTGTTATTCTCTAAAAGGGGATCATTAGCATGCTGTAGAGCAAGATGATTAATAGTTGTATCACTGCAAGCTCAACAAAACAACAGGAATGCAATTTATTTTCTAAGAACTTTTTTTTTACCCACTTTCAGCCCATGGGTAATAGAATTATTCAGTTATACAGCAAAAGTAAGCCTTTATATTTTACCTTATTTTGTTGCAAATATAGATTTTACTTTGATTTTTACACGATTATAATGACAATACAAAGTGAGTGATAATTTTTAAAACCTGGTAATCCCCTTGCACCATGTCCTATTCGTAAAACTTCAATACAACAGGGATTGCTATTTTTTGTTATAACGTCATTCCCAGTAATTTGTGTGCACTGAATATTTTTCTTTAAACAGTCATCACTGTTAAATGTAATGTGCACGGAATTTTAAAAAAGTTAAACAAAACTTACAAACATAAACCATCTCGACAACATTACCATTATGTGCATCAAATAGCCCAACGTCCCGCATGTAAAACAACATATAATGGCCAACAAAACACTTATAGTCAATGTTGAGGTAGCCACTTTATATGCAATGAGCATGCTGTTCCAATCGAAAGTTGTGAGGTCCAGAAGAGGTATCGCAATAAAATGGCGTACCTTAATGTCTCCCATAGTTCCCTTGCTTCTGGTGATCGGGAAGGTAAGTGCGAGAGGGCCTTCTTTCACCGTGGGCTCCACAATTGTTTTATGCATTAAATACTGATCAGTGAACTGTACTACTCCATTAGGGTCTCCATGCTTGAGAATCTGCAGAAAATGTTAATCCATATTTAATGGCTTATTCAATAAACACCGACAAATGTTCAAAAAAAAGTTACAAAAAAGATACGTATATATTTTTTTTAAACCCTGCATCTCTTACATTGACCACACCTGTGGCGCCCTCTGGTCATCCTAGTATGATGGAGAGATGTTCCAATTTTTGTACCGTATATTAAGGAACATTTATTTTAAAAACATTTCACAAAATGCAACCATTACCTACCCTGTACATTTGCCTTGGCCACTACTAGCATCATTTCCCACCGCATTAATGTTGTATAAATTGCACAGGGAATTTTTTTAAAGTGGAGTCACGCTAAGTCAACCATGAAGTCCAAGCCGTAGAGCCCAAAATCTATGCTGGATCTACACAGCAGCCTCGAGTTTATTGACATTTTTTGAAATGGTGTGTAAAAAGCCCTCATTGTGGGGCAGACACACAGCTGTGTCAGGTGTGTAAATCTACCGATATGCCCACTATACACGAACACAGGCAAAGCTGTTCTGGTGTCAAAATATTAAAACTTAGCACGGCTTTTAGAATCAATGGGGCAGAATGCGGCCGATAAGGAAGTGCAAGAAAAAACCTAAGGTGTGCACATTTGACAACTTGTTGGCTTGTCAATCTTTGTAAAAGAGCATGCCCACATATTGGAGGGCGGAAAACAAAACCCCACCAAAACATTTCAACAGGAATGTCAGCAACCTACTTATCGTACTGCCTTCTTCAAGAGTTGCTCACAGCCCAGAAGATGCGAACGTCACACAAAGCGTCTGTTTGATTCGACAACACCCCCCCCCCCCCAAACGTACAAAATGCTGGATTACAAACAATGCTCTACCAACCCAAGCTAAATAACGATAATGGACCCCTGATGGTGATCAATTGCATTTCACTTCTACGTACGGTGAGAGACACTTCCCAAGACTCGGGCTGTCGGTCGGCTCCTCCTACCACTCTGTGCAGTCGAATAAAAAAGGTCTCTGTCACTTCCGCCCCAACGTGCGGCAGGACTTGTAACCTCAAGTATTTTTCTCCACCCTCGCCATCATCAAACACCACAAGCCCTTGCACTGGAGGCAGCAGGTCTTGGTTCTCTTCTGGCAAGGCCTGCTCACCGTTGGGACCTAAAATGTTCCAGTGTACCTGCAGGGATGAGACAAACGGTCACCATCACGAACATTGATTTCCGTTAATGTGATATTTCATGCATGCATGTATGTTGTTGAACTTCTTTCCCAGCGTACGCAACTAACTGTGCTAATCGGTGGTGTGGGGGTAGAACAACAAATGAAACCAAAGAATATTGCAAATGCTTGGGTTTAGAACACGTTTACAGGTACACATCTGACCAGTTAAACCACCCATGTCCCGTGCAATATATCTGCATATATTGTAACTGTCATTTTATACAGATCTTCACACATCCAATGTTTTAGCATGCCCACCTACTCCTCAGTCCCCAGCAAGTCGGATATGCGACATTGCTCTGTATGACTTTTGTAATTATTATTTTACTTCACGCTATTGTCTTCCGTATTTGTTTTTTTATCCATCAATTATTACAAATACATATTTTACTAAACCTGTTTGTTTTCACTGAGTAAAAAAGTTACGAGAATTTAGCAGTTTTGCATTTTAAAGATAATCGTTATACACCGCCTTACACATATTCACACATTCATATAATATATTTGGACTATATCTAGTATGAGCAAACCTATACCCGGTTGTATTATAATATATCAAATCTTTAAAGTAAAAAGGTTACTGAACCAATAACCAAAACAAAAACGTAGAAAAAAAGTACTCTATTACTCTTATCACTAGTCGCCAATTTTATATTGCATTTAAATGAATACTAGTCATCAACATAGTTCAAGAAATTACTTGTTCTCCTTTCTATTTGAGGATATTGTCAGTCATTAACTTGGGGCTAAACCCAATATATTTGCTGCAATGGAAGAAGTTCGCGCACTTTCAATTTCCCCCACATACTCCGGTCCTCGGTACAATCAGATTTTAATGAAGTACATGAAAATCTGTGGTTACTGTCTACTGCTTTAAATTAGATTGACCTTTTATATGCACAAATACTACCAGGCAATTTTAAAGGGCAGATTATTTGAAAACGGCCTGTCCGGTATGTAATGGTGTCACTCAGGAGGGTAATCTGCACCCAGCCATGTTTGCCGAGCTTATGCATGAAATGAAATAGTGCAGACATTTCTATTAGTTTTGGAATGTGGTGCTTATAACATTTGTGATGTCTTCATTTCCCTACTGACAGCTGTACTTATTCCAGCGTTTGCCGTGCCTGCGCTTATCAGGCGTGTGCAGGGATTTACCGGGCGAGATTGCAGAAGCACAGCCTTCATTGTTTGCTGGGCTGCAGGGGAAAAAATCTGCTTATACGTCAGGCTGAACATCCCTAGCCCTCTTGAAGGAAAACATTTGAAATGAGACAGCTGCCGCACACTGCCAATGTAGGTACTTCGAATTCGAGTAATATGTTGGGATAAACACCTCCTTTTCAAGCGATTTTAAAAATGGATTTCTTGTGAACCTGGCGACGTTAGCTGCATACCTATATAGTGGCATTCATGAAATATAGAAAAAAAAAACAGATATGATTCGAAAACAAACCATTTACCAATTGAGAAAAAGACCAGTCCGAAAATATGTTCACGGAAAACTGCGAGATATATTTTCCTTTAAAATAATGCTATTTGCTGAAGCATGGACATATTTTGTTTCAATACAAAATGTACATATTTAATGTGGATGGATATTTTAAAACTGCCATGGTCATATACAATTATATAAATCATGCATAATGGGAGAAATGAATATATAAAGTTATTTTGTCCACAACACTATTCTGTCCATAAATCCTCAATAAGTAAACCACTAATCACCAAGCACAAAGAAAATCAAACTCACTACCTTCATCGTGAAAACTTCTTAGGGCAAAAATATAAACGAGGTGAATATTTTGGGGGAAGGGACCCTTATTGCTATGCACTAACATATAAAGTAATCTCAGAGCCATTCATTTTCACGGACAGCACAGTTTTGAATAATATACAGTTTCAAACAAGTGGGATGTAAGCTCCGATTACTCTCACAAATACCTGTTTTGGTTACATAGCGTTTTATTTAAACAGACTTGCTGATCTTTGCAGGTGCAGTTGAAATATTTGCAAAAAAAAAAACGCAAGCATTCAGTACCTGCTGTTCACCAATAAGGCCTGCACTCCTCCTGATGGGCAGCACCAGCTGGTGAGTAACATTGGGGTTGGGAACAATCAGCCGCGTACCTCCCAGGAAGCCTATGAGGCCATTGGGAGCATCACTCTTGGCTATGGTGATGGTGGCGATGAGACGTGAGCCCAGCACTGCACCGCCCGTTGTTGAAACCAGTTGAATTTCAAAGGTTTCCTCAAACTCTCTGTCCAGGCAAGAGAAATATAGGCATGAGAAAATCCTGATCTCTTACTCCCGAATCCTGAGCTGCTAACGTGTGACAAATGGAATATTTCACGCTGCATCTGATACTTTAAAGTCCTTGATATTTCATCGATGTCTGCACAAGTTTTATGACGCTCACTTAAAATCAAAAGGAGCAGAATTTATTTACAAACTTGCAAAAGGAAAACATTAGTTAGTTGAATGCTTTGTTAACATAGTGCCAATTAGAAGAACAAGACTAAACGCATGTTTTTTTTTTAAAGAATGCATATATTTACATCACATCCATAAATACTTTCCATAAGTAACACCGGTATATATGTATTTCGTTCAACCAAACACCTTCACAGCTCAAAGCAAGCTGCTGCATTGGTGGCAAGTCAAGCCGGTGCACTTTGCTGAGCTGCACACCTTTCGTCATCATCGGTGATGGATACGTTGATGAAGCTGACATTCTGTCCATCCATGAAGAGGGCCGCACCATCCGGAAGGAGGTAATCTTCACCCCCAGGTTGAGCTGTGACACCCCTCGACACGTAAAGGACCATGACTGACCCATACGTGCCCTTGTGCCTTGCCAGTGGCACGAGCAAAACACCATCCTCCTCCGCAACTGCAGCACGCGGGAAGATTAGGCACACGTATGCGTGAACGCACGCACAAGTATGAGCACACGCTAAGTGAGTTGAGTGACAAAGTCAAAACTTTTCTGAGATTGCTTTGTGTAGCATTTTTTTTTTGTTACTAGGAATCTCTTAATTCATCTTAATTTCAAGTGAGTGCTACATGAGATTACTTGGCCAATTTATTTCTGTTGTATTTTGTAGGGTGAAGGATGCTGGAGGGCCTGGAGAAAATCCGAACTATTGAAATAAAGTTTTAAGCCATAGCTCGATGACAGTGTTCAGGTCAAAGTGCATTATCAGACTTGCAGACATGTCAATATTGGCACTTAAGATAGAGACAATATTTAACTTTTAAATCTTAAAATAATCCGATTATTCCTATTGATGTGACATCTTACTCAAGTATAATGTTTTTTTTTTTAGAAACTTGCATTTGCACTTCATTCTTTGGTAATTTTGCATAACATCGTTTAATATTGCACTTCATATTTTACTTATCAGACTTTTTCTTGAGTAATCAACGTTATTAAAAAAAAGAATATAAAAAAAACACTCGGGTGATTGATAGTGCGCGGTTGGTGGTGTTAGTGGAAGGCACTCTGCCTCACCAGACATGCCAGATGCAGAGTCAAACTCTATGACCCCTTCAGCGCCATCATCCTTCTCTATCAGCACCCGCAGGGAGAAGGGAACACCCAGAGCAGGCGGCTCCTCGGCTCCCGAGCCGTGCTCTCTCTCCGCAGAATACCTCTCACTGCACACGCCGTGCAAAGCACAAATTGCCACTTGCTGCGTGTGCCAGACAACTTAATGCAAATGCGTCACATGAAGCTGGGGATTAGCTTCAGAGTACTCACTTGCGGAGTTTGCAAAAAAGATTTTAAAAGAGTGTGCGCTGCTTCTGTATGAAATTCTAAATTGTATTTTGCTCATGCTTTTATAATAGTGCTTAGCGCTACTTTTTTTAGATGTCTGCAAATGTACTTTTTTTACATTTAAAATAAAACGGATTAATGTTCAATTAATTTCTGAACACGAGTCTAATTAAACAGTGTAAAATGTTAACGGTGTCTTAACAAAAGTCCCGCATCATTTATTGAAAAGCGTATTCTTATTATCTTTATAAAAAAATGTGACGTTCCAAAACGTTTCTCAAATTGGGATATTAAAAATGTGGTAGGCACATTTTCAAATGATTGCTTTTTTATTTTAATGCATTAAACCTAAGTTTAATGCAATGATTTGATTACATTATGAGTGAAAATTGTACAGAAATCTTATACAGATAATGCTGCCTAAAAACTTGCTGGAAATGGCAGTTGAAATATCCGCATCAATGTTTCAATTAGTGTAGCTCACAAATGTAGAAAAAAACATATTTGTGTATTTACAAATAATGTCACACGAACAAAAACTGGATAACAAAAATGCTACTGTGGTCCTTTTGAGAAAGCAAACGTATTTAGGATTGGTTGGCAAATAAAACATATATAAACTCTAATCATTTAACTGCTAAATGGGTGATAAATGTAATAATTTGAAACCAAATTCATTGTTGGAGAGGTATCCTGCCAAACTGATGGGCACAAAGGTTACAGGGACCGTAATATTTCATTTTATGAGTGCATCTATCAAATTACCCATCGGAGATCAGCTGAACTTGGGTGATATTGAGGTAGAAGTCCTCTGGCCCCTCCGATATCTCATCGTTCAGAATCTTCAGTCCGAGAAGCTTTAGCCGCTCTCCCTCCTCAAACACCAAATCCCCATGCAGCCGCTCATAGTCACGGCCTTCCGTGGCCGTGCCAGGCACGGTGAGGTACAGCAGTCGCACATAACCCAGGCTGCCGCCGTCACGTACTACAGACGCGTTCGCCTTCACACAAATACACCGAGTGAAGCGACGGAGGCTGTAGAGAAATGGCTCAAAGCGTGCAAGTCACATTCGTTCTGAATTTACATATTCATTATCGGGTTGAGTGGCCGTTTGGTAAGAGCACTCGACTTGCAGTCGTTTTCAGCTTTTAAATGCTAATCTGTGCTTGGCTGGGCCTACGATTAACCTTCTGAGGTGACTAAAATAGGTACCACTTTGTGGGAAGCCAACAAATTTCAACCACTATCTCAGGACTGCCAATATTTTTAGAAAGCACATCCAACTCTTTGACTAAATTAAATGTGGCAATAAATATCTAACAATACACTTAAAAAGCATTCCCATTACATTTCATGAGCCTTAAATACTTTATTTCTGACAGCTTCATGTCGACAAAGTATTCATCGGAGAAGTGATCTAGAGCATTGTAGTTGGTGCACTTCAGCCAGTGGGTAATATTTGCATGTGCTGTAATAATTCTGTGGGCTGTATGATTGTAAAACGTGAATAGGAATGCACCACCGCTTGCAGAGGAAACTTGATCTAATTGCCACAGCTTTCTGCTAATATAATTATTACCCTTGCCTTCAAGAAGACATATACAATCGGATACAACTGACTTTCAGTTTCTATCTGGTGTCATGAAATATACATATTTAAACAATAGGGCCATGGTTGAATACCAATCTGAGTTTGATAGTCCATAACTGAAACATAATCTCCAAATAATTATATCCCGAGATTTGCTGTTCTCAGTCCTTACACGAAGAATTCTGCTTAACATCAACAATTCTCTCACTTAGCGGGACACATACACACTGGGCCTATTGCTTTCATGTTGCTGCCACCCTATCCCTAAACGGGATTAAGCCACTCGGAGCTGCACTTACAAAGAACCTAAAAGGCAGTGCTGTATCAACCCCAGATTACCGAGGGAATATAAGTGAGCAATTGTTTAGCAATGTTCTGCAGATCAAAGCACGGGGCTGCAGGGAATGCAGCGATTCTGTAAGCACTGTGCATCTCCATGAAAGCCGCAGACTCTAGTGGGCATGGAGCCGCATGCCACCATGCTTCCACAGCTACATCTGCATTCCCAAAAGGACAAAACAAAAGAAGCAAAATTGGCAAGTCTCCAATTGATCAACTCTGAATTCCACCCGCCCCATATAATCGTCTTTCATGCATTGTGCATGTTACCTTTTTCGGTAATGCTATGCTGAACGTTATGTTTACTATCTGTATATATATAGATTTGAATACGAAAATGCTCATTTGTTGCGTAATTTTTCGCGTTGATTTTCATTCTTGTTACGGCTATGGTATGATCCACGATGCAAAAGAACGTGCCGAAGAGCCACCGCTGGATGAGGGCCTCCAAACACAATGGGGGGTTGTGAAGGTTATTTGACCACACATCACTGTGCTGGTCAGTGTGGAACATAGTAGTGCAGTACAACTACCATAGTGATTTTTGCACTGCCCTCTGCACAGCCCCGACAGCATCTGCTTGCATGGTGGTCAGCCATCCAAGAAGTATCCAGGCTCATAAATCTGATGGAATGTGCATTATGGGTAATTAATTAAGTCATCATTTTTATTTTATTAGCCATATCATGATATTATGACAAGCATAGACAATGGATTTGCAGATTCTCTTTCATTGCCCCCAGTGAAGCAAGCAGGAGTTTCTACTAACAAAACCACCTGCAGTGGGAAAGGATTTTCAGTTTTGTCACAGATGTGAGTTGATACTTATGTTTGTTCAAAATGTAACGCATCCGACAATCTTTAGAACATCACCATGACTGCTGTTTTCCAATTAAATCTGCATATCCCTTTGGATCATGTGGCAATGCGGTTCCATTTTCGATTTAGGAATTGGCAGGTATAGCGACGATGTTTCTTTCCACACAGTAGCATGCAACCCCCAATTGCATAAGTAGATAAAGAGGCAACTGCAGCATCGACTGCTAAATAAATAGATGAGATGTTGTTTGTAGTGTCACAATCGGTAGAGTTTGATGATTAAATTATGATGGCTTGGGGTATAATGCAGATTATGTCTATACTTATTTATATTAAAGCTTATTAATGCATGTTCTAAATGTTGTTCGCGTTTGCTTATACAAGTATGTGGCCTTTTGAATAAGGTCTCATTTTCCCCATTCATTAAAAATTGCCTGGGCATGTTTTTAATCTAACGGCTGTTATGAATAAATTATTATTAATGACTAAATTCTTGTCTAGTCAACTACGCTATGCCTTCCCTTTATGTAGACAAAAGCTATGTTTTATATAATAGCTCTGGTTTTAACAATACTAGTTTTTGGGTGTGGATTCTCGGTTTGGATCAGAAGATTGCATTGAACAAGCATGGATCGGAACGTGGCCCCGGTCAAGGTAATGAATGATTTACTGGATCCTGATGTTCAACGTAACCGAGATCCAGCGCCACTGGAGAGTCGGGTGCTTGATGTCCCCTGCTGGATTACAAATTTCTGGGTTCAATGACCAATTTGGAGATGATTTTCCTTTACGTAAGAACCTTCCAAATCATGTAAATAATAGCAGCGACTTATATCCACATGAGTTATCTGCAAAATATAACAGGTGCCATTCAGACAGACCACGAACCAAATAAATCCATGAGTGGTACCACCACCTTACACGCGTAAGTAGCCGGCTCCATGGTGTAGTGGAAGCGGTGGATTGGACGCATGCAGGGGCGGAGCCAGGATTTCAGGCTAGGGTGACAGTCAACACATTTTAATTTCAAGAATGATTAGAGAGTCAGGCTGTTGAACTAGACGCCATCGGTTGGCGACACACTCTGACAATGCAGTTGCACGGAGTCCGCCAGACCGAGTTTCGTACACTTATAACGCAGAATGTCACCTCCCCTGTCACCCCCCCTGGCTCCGCCCCTGGACGCATGGTTAGAGGCGATATTGTGCATCGTTAGGTAACTTTAGATAGTAAAATAGCAGCAACATTAAAATAGCAGTATCTATCAGCGGGCAGCAGCTGATGTCTCCTTGCCGGCGCTGTTGGAGATGCAGAGCGCGTGCGTTCGATTCCCCGGCGAAGATTACACGTGACTTATTTTAACATGCCAAAATCACTTTTAATTATAGATACTCATTAACTAATGTGTGAAGAGTAATCCGTACAAACACGACATTTCTGTAACTCTACATAAAATGTTAAGAGAAAAGTAAAGTATCCTTCATTTCCAGAATTGTCCCCTAGTCCCGAGCATCCCACCTCTGCCACGGCAGAGTTTCTCCGCTCTCCCAATGTGTTTCAGGTTGTACCACGCATTGTCCGGCATGCTTGGAGCTTCGGTTCCTGAAGAAGCCCCCAGGTTGTGCAACCCTAATCTGCCCGAGCCCATTAGCGCTGCAGATAATTTAATATTTAATTTCGATTTCATGTTGACGTGCAATATTTTTGATTCCCCCATTGTGGACGTGTTTTTTCGTATTCTGATCGCTTTACTTCATCACTAATTACTGTGTTTTGATTGGTTTAGCTTTTTGGTCATTTTTGGTCACCCAGGTCACCCTTGCAAATGAGACTCACAACCGTGAAAACACACCGTGTTTACCTTACTTAAAACAACTTCTACTGCATACATTTAAACCAATCTCAGTGTTGTGCATAGGGAATTTAAGTCAGTGGGCGGAGTGGAGGGGGGGCTATGCTCTACTACTATAGCCCCATCCCCTTCCTTGAGTCTGACAAGTAGAGGGCGTGGGTGGAATGTATGGGTACCCACTGCCATCCATGGCATCACCTATGTAAGAATGCATCACAAGTAGCAGAGGGAAACACAACGATCGCACTCTTCTCCGTTAGATAATCTGGCTCGGAAGGTATCGAGAATCAGAATCTTTATCTATCCTGGAGCAATCCAATGATGTATGAAGCTTTTTTTTCACAGATGTCCAGTAAGGGCAGGTCATAAAGTTACAAATGACAATGCAAAAAAACGATAGGAGTGAAAAGTATAGGAAGGGTAAGTAAATCATAAAACAAAAAGATAAACTATTTTCATTTAACCAGGTAAAGCCCACTGAGCTATTAGTTAGTTTTCAAAAGTGACCTGGCCACAAATGATAGCTCAACGAATTGGCTTATTATGTAGATATTTATAGCAGCCAAATCATATAGACGCATGTTTCTAAGTTTACAATCCTATATATAACACGAACACAATGCACGATACTCTTGTTTATGTAAAATATAATTTCTATTATTTATATTTTAAACTAGTATTCTCATTAAATATACTGTGCATTGCTTTGAGCAAATATATTCCTTTGTATTAATCAGGATAATACTTTATTATCGAGGAGGAATCCGATTAGCTATTAAGCTCTTTTTTCACAAGTCCAATCTAAATTATGATTTCATTAACTTCACTTGAAATGAGACTGCCTCTCTGGGCAATCTCCAAAACCATGCAAAACCTCAGCTCCACATTTAAGATATCCTTTAAGATGACACCAATGAGTGATTAGACTTTAATAGTAATATTATGCTACTTGTGAAGCTATTTTTAGTTATGATAGCATGGCATGGTGGCCAGTTAAACATTCCTCAACGCATAGACTACACATTTAATTCCAATCATACTAAAAATGCTCCTACAGTATTTCTCAAGCAAACGTAATTGACGGCACACTTTCACATATGAGACACTTAACAATGTGATGCAGTACCCTCTTGGATTTAGATTACACCATCCTCTCAAACGTCTTTGACTTTGCTGTCATTCACAATTTGACTCATCTCTTTTTTAACATCTATATTTGAGCCCTTTTTTCAGTTCTAGTTTCTCTGTGGGATTAGCTATACAATTCAAATGTGCAGCCTGAATGCGGAATATTAGATTTGTAACTTGATTATTATAACAGGCTTTCAATGGGGATTTCAAAAACTATGGTAATTAACGAACGGTACATACATTAAAGTCAGCGATACAGATTGGGAATCCACTTACATTGATATTATTTTCGTGTGAATTGTGGGGCGCTTTAGCAATGTTGTTTTTATACAACATTCAACCATCAAGACATGCAGGTGTAGATTGTTTTAGTGTAAAACTTCTGATACTGTGTACACAAAAAACAAACACTCCTCATCTGTCCTGCAGAAGGGGGGAACAGCACAGATGGTATCTGTGCATGAACTCCATCTAGCCGTGAAAAATACTGGATAATCGTAATATGTAATAGAGTTTTGTTGGGTCAGATCGCTTGTTGCAGTCGAAACGTCGTGAGAATTTTATTGTTTTATATTTTTATTATTTTATTGTTTCCCTTCTACGTGGTGACTTTACCGAAAGAACCAAGAATATGAAAGCCTACGTGTTAAATCGCAATCTGATCAACATTTTGGGATGGGGAGGGGGAAAAACGTGGATAATTGGAAAAATGGGGGGCAGGGATAATAGGAGGTATCGTGGAACCCTATATGTCCTGCGGATATGAGAAGCCCTGGGTAACAGGGTCGTGGATATTCACAGTTCTACTGCAGTTTCTCTAGCTGTACGATAAGCAATCCAATAGATGGCCAGACAGACAATGAGATGCTGACCTGTCTATATGTTTTATTTGCACTGATTTCACTTTTCATGGGTACTCCAAATGGCCGCCAATCACTTAAATACATGTTAAAAAATCCTCATAAAGTTTCCAAATTAGTTTTAGGCTTACCAGATGAACATGTTTTATTCTTGTTTTCATAAACTTGAAGTTGATAACCGAAACTCAAAGTGCGAATGCGCAGCAAGTCGGTTTTTAATATGCAAAGATATCACCGAGTGCAGAATTCTCACCAATGGGGCGGCTTCTGACATGTGAATGAGATCTTGGGAGAAGTGGAATTTTCCATGAGGGTAGTCGCTGCCTGCCAGGAAGATCTCCGCGCTGTCGGCCTGGCTATTCACCCTGGCTCCTCCATTCGCCATCACCAGCTTCAGCTGAAACGTCTGTTGCAGCTCTGGGATGTCATCATCCAATGCCTGAATGCAGAACGATGCAACGTACAGCAAACAAAAAAAGCTCTGTTATCCGGCACTTTTACCATCCGGAATGCTGTACTAACCGGCATCTGTTATAGACGGCAAATACAAATCTTCCTTCACGTATATCCGGGAAAAAAGGTCGACAGCCATCCGGCATCTTGCCGTGCACTTCGGGAAGCTGCCGAGTGCTGGCGGGAGACTGTAATACAGTGTGAAAAATAACAATAGGTTTTACCCTTTCTGGCAAGAAAACAGGTGTTAAGATGTTCAGACACCAAACAGAAACCTTTTTGAACAAATGAAGTCTGCATTAACCACACGTACTTGTGGTGAACATCCAAGCAAAACACGCTCTGATAATAATATAAGCATTGTCTTTGAAACTGATTGGCCTACACCAGAGACAGCCTTGTTTTTTTATGGCCTAGTCTCACCAGTGTCAGACCAGAGAACGCCAAAAGATGAACAGTACAAAGACAATGCACGTATCAGAGCATTTCTAGGTCGGGGTGAGCAGCTATAATCATGGGATAACTTTTTTGCCAGTATCAAAGTATGGAAAATAAATAAGAATAGGTTTTACCCTTTCTGGCAATAAAACAGGTGTTAAGATTTTGATTTAAAGCTTTCGTGACTGCAGGGATTCATATTCTTATTTCTTTCGGTAAAGTCACGTAGAAGTAAAACAATAAAATAATAAAAATATAAAGAATAAAATTCTCACGACGTTTCGACTGCAAAACAAGCAATCATCATCAGGTGTGAAAACCACAGCAAGAAAATTTGAAAAAAGTGGCGTTTTTTTTTTACGTTAGCACCACGGAGAGCGATTTGGCAGTTAATTTAGAAGGATTAGTCCATCTATGTTCGGAAAAGAGGAGGGGGGAGACGAAAATTCAATGTCATGTAAGCCTACTGATTTATAACAGTGATCTGCCACGGCCGAGGTGTTGGTCCTACCGTGTTTTAGGTCTGCTTTGTGTTCACGAATGCGGTCCGAGACATGTCGTTTGGTTTCTCCAATGTAACTACTACCACAGAGGCAACTTAGTTTGTAGATGCCAGGGTACTGCATGTCCGGAATCACATCTTTTACATTACATTACATAAAATCCGTGATCTGGTTCCGTCTGTAAAAAGATGTGATTCCGGACATACAGTACCCTGGCGTCTACAAACTAAGTTGCCTCTGTGGTAGTAGTTACATTGGAGAAACCAAACGACATGTCTCAGACGGCATTCGTGAACACAAAGCAGACCTAAAACACGGTAGGACCAACACCTCGGCTGTGGCAGATCACTGTTATAATTCAGTAGGCTCACATGACATTGACTTCTCCAAGACAGAGGTTATTTGCAAGCCATCTGGCTACCATGAGAGATTCGTTCATGAGGCTATCCACATATACAAACACAGAGAAAATTTAAACCGAGAAGATGGATTCTGGCTTAGCAATCATTGGGAGGATTTGATAAACCATTTCAGGTCTTAATTGATTATTCACGCTTACGGTGGCTTTCAGACCGCATCCATTATTTTCGTCTCGCCCCTCCTCTTTTCCAAACATAGATGGACTCGTCCATCTGAATAACTGCCAAATTTCTCTCCGTGGTGCTAACGTAAAAAAAAAACCGCCACTTTTTTCAAATTTTCTTGCTGTGGTTTTCACACCTGATGATGATTGCTTGTGTTGCAGTCGAAACGTCGTGAGAATTATATTGTTTTATATTTTTATTATTTTATTGTTTCCCTTCTACGTGACTTTACCAAAAGAACCAAGAATATAGGTGTTAAGATTTTCACACACCAAATAAATATCTTTTGCAAGGAATCAGGTTTGGTGTAGGCCAATCAGTTTCAAAGGCAATGCATATATTATTATCAGAGCATGTTTCTGTTTGCATGTTCACCACAGGTACGTGTGGTTGACGCAGATTTGATTCCTTGTGAAAGGTATCTATTTGGTGTTTGAACATCTTAACATCTCCTGTTTCATTTCCAGAAAAGGGTAAAACCTATTCTTATTTTTCAGACTTCGATATTGGCAAAAAAGGTCCCATGGCCACAGTTAAGTACAGTACTGCTTTAAAGCTTTCGTGACTGCAGTAATTCATATTCTTAGCTCTTTCGGTAAAGTCACGTTGAAGGGAAACAACAAAATAATAAAATATATATAATTGTTTTATATATTTGTTTATTATTTTGTTGTTTTGTTGTTAATAATAAAATATATATAAAATAGTTTCTATATATATTTTATTATTTTGTTGTTTCCCTTCAACGTGACTTTACCGAAAGAGCTAAGAATATACAGTACTGCTGTTTACCGCACTCTATACGGCCCCACCACTTCTCTACAATCAACGTGCAATGCTCTACAACGGACTGGTGAGTACTTATTTAAAAGAGCATATTATTTTATATAGGTATAGGTAAAATGTAGACTTAGGTTTTTTTTACGATTTACGTTTAGGCTAATTGGCGAGCAATGCAGAAGACAGGAGGAAACAACACAAATGAGATGGGTAAAAACACCGAGATAACAAAACAATCGAGCTCCCTTGAATCGAATCAAGACGCTGGATCATGACGAGATTAATTGAATCACCCATTAAATGCGGATAAATCCAGGATTAGTGAATTTCATAGAGCAATGAATATTACCGCACAACAAGAGTTGCAGCAATTAAAACATGAAAACCAAAATTAATACAGTGAGGGAAAAAAGTATTTGATCCCCTGATAATTTTGTACGTTTGCCCACTGATAAAGAAATGATCAGTCTATAATTTTAATGGTAGGTTTATTTGAACAGTGAGAGACAGAATAACAACAAGAAAATCCAGAAAAACGCATGTCAAAAATTTTATAAATTGATTTGCATTTTAATGAGGGAAATAAGTATTTGACCCCCCCTCAATCAGAAAGATTTCTGGCTCCCAGGTGTCTTTTATACAGGTAACGAGCTGAGATTAGGAGCACACTCTTAAAGGGAGTGCTCCTAATCTCAGCTTGTTACCTGTATAAAAGACACCTGTCCATAGAAGCAATTAATTAGATTCCAAACTCTCCACCATGGCCAAGACCAAAGAGCTCTCCAAGGATGTCAGGGACAAGAATGTAGACCTACACAAGGCTGAAATGGGCTACAAGACCATTGCCAAGCAGCTTGGTGAGAAGGTGACAACAGTTGGTGCGATTATTCGCAAATGGAAGAAACACAAAAGAACTGTCAATCTCCCTCGGCCTGGGGCTCCTTGCAAGATCTCACCTCGTGGAGTTGCAATGATCATGAGAACGGTGAAGAATCAGCCCAGAACTACGCGGGAGGATCTTGTCAATGATCTCAAGGCAGCTGGGACCATAGTCACCAAGAAAACAATTGGTGACACACTACGCCGTGAAGGACTGAAATCCTGCAGCGCCCACAAGGTCCCCATGCTCAAAAAAGCACATATACATGCCCGTCTGAAGTTTACCAATGAACATTTGAATGATTCAGAGGACAACTGGGTGAAAGTGTTGTGGTCAGATGAGACCAAAATGGAGCTCTTTGGCATCAACTCAACTCGCCGTGTTTGGAGGAGGAGGAATGCTGCCTATGACCCCAAGAACACCATCCCCACCGTCAAACATGGAGGTGGAAACATTATGCTTTGGGGGTGTTTTTCTGCTAAGGGGACAGGACAACTTCACTGCATCAAAGGGACGATGGACGGGGCCATGTACCGTCAAATCTTGGGTGAGAACCTCCTTCCCTCAGCCAGGGCATTGGAAATGGGTCGTGGATGGGTATTCCAGCATGACAATGACCCAAAACACACGGCCAAGGCAACAAAGGAGTGGCTCAAGAAGAAGCACATTAAGGTCCTGGAGTGGCCTAGCCAATCTCCAGACCTTAATCCCATAGAAAATCTGTGGAGGGAGCTGAAGGTTCGAGTTGCCAAATGTCAGCCTCGAAACCTTAATGACTTGGAGAAGGTCTGCAAAGAAGAGTGGGACAAAATCCCTCCTGAGATCTGTGCAAACCTGGTGGCCAACTACAAGAAACGTCTGACCTGTGATTGCCAACAAGGGTTTTGCCACCAAGTACTAAGTCATGTTTTGCAGAGGGGTCAAATACTTATTTCCCTCATTAAAATGCAAATCAATTCATAACATTTTTGACATGCATTTTCCTGGATTTTTTTGTTGTTATTCTATCTTTCACTGTTCAAATAAACCTACCATTAAAATTATAGACTGATCATTTCTTTGTCAGTGGGCAAACTTACAAAATTAGCAGGGGATCAAATACTTTTTTCCCTCACTGTAGGTAAAAAGAACAATAGACAAAAGGGTGAAAAGGACAACAAAAATCTTTACCATATTAAAATTCTAATGGGAAAGTGCCCCGGAAACATTTTCTTAAGCGGCTTCACATTACTTAAGTCCCCTAAGAAGGCCTTGATCATTGCCTGCCCTACATTTGATGTCTCCTGCCTGCACAGATGTATACATGTGTACATGTGACCAACACAAGCCAATTTAAATAAATGGCACCCCCCCACTGGAAATAGGTTTGAAGAACGGCACTACAGAATTGATACGTTGTGTCATTCAGCTTTGAACATAATTCTATATCTTGTCAAAAATACGGAGGAAAAGCACAGAAGACAACTGCCCCCCCCCCCTCCTATCCCAATTGGCCCCATCCAGTGACAACTCCTTCCAGCACCCCCTCCTCCCTCACCCCTTAAGCCCCTCATTCCAAATATATCCCCCTGGCACTCCATAACCCCTCCCCCCTCCCTCGCTCCACCATCACCCATTCTTTTATCCGTACGCCACCCAATCTTTTGCTTAGTGACGACCGGGTAGGAGGCAGACTTGACACTCAATTACATTCTGCTGCTGAAAATGTAGCCCCCTCCTAAACTGGTGTGGAGATTTCCCAGCTTGCAATTTACTAAACCACACGCTTCACTCAGCCACACGCATTTTGACACCATTTCCAGTACTTAAGATTTGTCGCCCTTTGTAAAATATTAGCAAATGTTAAAATGTTTGGCTATCTGACTTAAGAATTTAATGAGGAATTGTGTAATCCCTCTGTGTGTAATATTAATATGATTAAACTGTTACTATTCTGAATGTTAGACACAATCACGCATTCCAGGAATTTCAGGAGATTTTAACAATAAGCGCATTACAAAGGTACGATAATGGTTACAAACATACCTTATCCACACATACATCGTTAGAAAATGCGGTGTTTCAAGTTAATTAAACATGAAGCATTCAGCAGGAACTTTCTCTTTTAACCATGTTTTGCTTTCACATCAAGTAAAAATTCGGGCTTATTTATTATAAAGACGGTCACCGTGTTGGGTCTTATTTTAAGTTACCTTTTCATGAACCATTCAACAAACCATACAAATAACCCTCTCAGTGGGGGGGGGGGCAAATGCACATTTGATTACGGGTGAAAAATAATCTTGACTCGAGAAAAAAAACACCATCAATATTCAGTTCAAGGTCGATGGCTTTCACACGATAACTTTTGGACCACTTTTAAAAGTCAACAGCACAATACTTTGGGCCTCTTGCCCCGGACAGGGTTAAAGTGGCGCTGCTCAGATATTCCATTCCGCTCACGCCTTTTGCCATAATCTGGATTGCTCCCACCCACCGGCTGCACATTAACCTTTGCCTCGTGTTCGCCTTCCTGACATTTATTCAGCGCCGCGGGAAAGTATTATAATCTCTCTCCGGCTATAATTTTAAATTAGCATGCGCTACTGATAAGTGCTCAAATCTGCTATTAAAAATTAAGTGGAAATACTATAAAGTTAATGAATAAAGCTTGATAAGGGGGTGGCTCCATACTCAGCCTCATCATTAAAACTGGGATTGGGTTTTTGCAATGACATGTGGGCGATGAGCAGCATTCCAATAAGCCGTGCATGAGCAGCGTGATTTACGTGGCGACGCGCTGAGTGTCTGGTGAGCGGCGGTACCTTGAGGAAAATGGTCGCGGCCGACTGTTCATTCTCAAATAAAACTGTGCCAGATGTCTCTGCGAAGGCGCTGCCATCCTCTGGGGCCATCCTCCAGGTTACTGAAACTTCTCCAAAGATGCCGGGTCCTCGCTCAAGACTAGAGGCCAAGAAAGCATTGCATAATCGGTTGACCGGGGCAGAGTTTTGAGCTTGTTGATTGTAAAATGTACCGTCAACCGAATAATACCAGGAAGCATGCACCACCCATAAGCATGATATGAACACGTTTCACAGTGGTTACCCAGGCTATGTAAGGTAATAAAGTGGCATTAACTAAATAACCCACGTTAAAGATTAATCTCAATATGGACCTCCTCAAACTTTAGGAATACATATGAATGTTGAAGGAGAATAATTTATTAAAACAGATCACTGGTGGAATGTGATTTAGTGTTTTCCCCACTTGGAGAAAGTTTTGTGCTGGGAACACTTAGTTGAATATCAATAATAAATGTCAACACACTTGGCATTTTCCTGACTGTGCGGTAAGGTGTTTACAGTTTAGGATTAAAACAGTTCAACAGCCAAATTTGAGCTATAACATATTTTGAAACGTGAAACGTTTGTTTAAGAAAATACCTTTCAACAAATATAAAAAATTCAAAGGCAATACTATTATAGACGCATACCCGCATGTATCAAAAAAATCGTAGATATTGTGCATTATTTTCAAAGTAAACATGTCATCAAAAAATGAAGATTGCCACATTAATTTGATGAACCTACAAGTGGATAATATAGCATAGATCTGTCACTGTCGTAATAGTTACACAACAAAAAAACTTGGATACCATTGTAATTTTTGTATCTTGAAGACTAAGATTATACTAATCGGTGGGCTGTAAATATTCAGTCATTTCCACGAAATGGGATATCACAGACATTCATACTCACACCTATACACATGCCACATTTATTGGTATTTCACTATTAACTTCAATGTAAGTTTTAGTGCAGAAAATGCGGCCTCAAAGTAAGCCTAGCATTAGGTTGAAATGCTGTATTTTATGTATCATGTATTGAAAACCTCCCAATACAACATTCATATAATAAAAGACATATTTGCAGAAATAACAAGTTGTCTTTGCTCATACTATACAACAGGGCACTTTTTTTCAGAGGGACACAAGTAGTATTACAGGATTTTCAGGAATATTATTACATAATTCAACAGCCCTTTGTCAATCCACTGCTGGATGAAGGTCCTACCCATGCTGTGTTGATCATAGGGGTTGTTAAAATATACTTTTCAACACAGGTCTTAGTGCAATGGCCACCACTCCACCCAGTCATCGTAATGTCGATTTTTCAGTAAATACACAAAGGTTGGTAATAGACATCTTAAGATTGGTTACACTGAATAGCCGTTCATCCGTGTTCTGAAAACAAAAGACATCACACAGTGTGATTTTTGCACACTTAAGACACTTCCGTGCAGACGTCCGTTGACTGTTTTGAGTAATAAAGCGAATGAGGACAATGAGTGCAGTCACTTGAATGGCCGCACTGAGATGGCACTGCAGAGTGATGGGAAATGACGTAACAAGAATAAAAGAGGCCAATACTTCACTACGGCGGTCCCATTGCACGTCCCATGAGGCTCTCCTATAAACACTTGTCTGGATACGCTGGCGACAGAGATGACTCCTGCTGCATCTGGGTCCGCTGAGATCACAATCGCAGCTCTGCCTGCAAGGGGCACATTAACAGCGGGCATCATTGCCGATTTTACCTACAACCAACAAGCTATTGACTTCAATTAGTGTCATCTTCGTAGGGAATGGTACTGTTGGTAAACAGTATTTCATATCTGTGCAGTTTGTTATTATTTTCCAACCGACGTTTATACACTTGTGAAGTTTTGTGTAAGATTCTACTTTTATTATTTTCATGAATTTATATTTTATTGTTTGATAATTGTTCACGATAAATACATAAACAAATATATATGTATTGTTGGCATGGCACAGACTACAAAAACATATTTCTGAATGAGCTGAATCTTTTATGTATTTGTCATTTTGGCATGCAATATATCATGCCAAGTGTATGATTCAGCAGGAATGTGCAATGTACAATAACATTGTCTGCATTCATAGGTGTAGCATGACATCTGCAGCAAATCCAGTAGCATTGCAAGACATGTGCGGTGAAATGAGAGCAACGCCTACTAATGTGTTCAGTTTACATGCCATTAAATATATTAAAATATCACCCCACACCTCATACAATGCCTTTCCACATAACCTAATGCAACCCTGTTACACGGTTGCAAAGTGCACATGTAATCATTAAACTGAGATAACCAATACTTTGTTTAATAGTTAACCATACATTTATATGGTATTTTATTCAAAATAAACATGTCTATGAGGATCAATAACAAAAAAAAAACATTTGTAAGGTGCCAAATCAAGGTGTCTTTGACAGCAAAAAAACAAGAACACATTTTGATATTCTGCTCAGCACCCTGCTGTACTATAATTTAAGTATGATATTTTATTACGATTATAATCTTTCCCATGGTGGCATACCACCCGTTGCAGAGATTTCGCCGTTGGTGGCGGCGGACACGAGCTGTACAGTATATGTCTCCTCCCCTTCCAGCACGGAGTCTGGCAAGGTGCGGAGGCTGATTGTCTTTCGGCTGTCACCCTGTTCAACACACAGTCGCAACAAAGGTCTTCAAACACGCTGACATCTCACTGCCGATGTGATGAAGAATGACGCACGGACACGCACAGGCAGTGGATGATCATACAGATAATTGACATGCTAAATTCAGACAATGACACAAATTCACATATTTGCTCAAATAAATTACACCAGAAATTCACTTCACACATAAAGCATGGCGTCTGCATTTCAATTACGTCTCGAAAAGTGACAATGCCAGAAAGAGGAATAAGGTCATCTCGAGCTGCCATCTCCAGCTGCCACGTCACTTGGATGGTCCCAGTGGTTCCATGGACCCTGGTGATGGCAGCTTCCAACAGGCCATCGGGGTCATCAAATGTGCGCGATTCCTGCACGTGCAGCTGTGGCCAAAGCAATGACAGGACATTTGATGGGGTCAGTGGAATAACGGTGCCAACCCACTTTGAAAGCAAAGGGAGATGCCGCATTATTAAAGCCACGCCGCCAGTTATGAAGTTACATAGTGGCACCCTGAAAATTAAATTAACCGCATTAATATTATGTTTCCTAGTTGTATGGTTGACCGTTGAATTGCTCTGTTTGTAAAGGATATGTTTAGAAATCAAATGTAGAAATATATAATGTAATTGTATATTTTATATACTGTGTATATTCGCACATGAACCAAAATTTACATGGGTTGAAAATGAATTACAAACACCAGTTTTTATTATATTAAGAGAGAAATGCCACACATACATTTTTATGTACTTTTTTAATGTAAAACATATATACATGTATCTAGTATTTTATAACCAAAGAGCACTTACTATTGTCTGTTCAAAAGCAAAGAGGCCAAAAGGAGAATCGTTGCTTGGGATGTTGATAGTGGCAATAATATCTCCTCCGAGTTTGGCTCCTCCAGTAACCAGAATCAGATGAATACTAAAGGTCTCCATGTGCTCAAACATATAATCATCAATAATGGAAACTTCAATGACACCGACAGCCTAAAACACATGTAAATGTAAAAAAAATGTTTTTAGCCGTCAAATATTATAACCTTTTCAAATGGAGGCAAAATTTAAATTTAAAAAAATAGAGCAAATCATGGGTTCATGATGATCTTTTGTCAGCAACTGTTTAAATGGCAAACAAAATGAGAATGTTTTACATGCAAAATGAGCCATATTTAAACATTTTACCGACATGCTTTCAATTCTAAGGCCAGTATTAACAACATCTATGTTTAAAATTAAAAATATTTTTAGAAATCATTAATTTACGTCAAATTGGGAGAAAATATCATTATATATTTCCAACAGAAACCATTCTTCCGGAACCACGTGAATTGGGCGCTTTACATTATAATGTATTTACAATGTTGAAACCAAATATCAGGTTAAAAACTTTAAAAATTTCAATGTTGGATCTTTTCTTTAGATTATCCGATTATTTGCATTGTGTTTCACTTTAATGTGCTCTAGTGCTAGTGTAGTGACGCTCGGACAACTTGACCTGTAGAGGTTTTTCTATGCTTTATGTAGGACGCTCCACGCAGGCAACCTGACTTGGACAGGTATAACGCTCAGATGACTTGGGCCAGAGATGGCACGCAAGTAGGACCGGCATGAAGAGAGCGACGGCGTGAAGATGGCGATGGCGTGAAGACAGTCGACCCCACAGCAGCCCCGAACCTCGCCTATCACCCCTTTTTATTGCCAGGGTGGAACCCCAAACTCTGCCCGCGGCCACGCCTTCTTTTTTCGAATTAGCTCACACTTTCCAGAATTTCCCAGAGGGTTCCCTTCTGTAGTTACCCCTCGTGACCACTTGGCCACGCACTGTCCCTGCACCCGCACTGTCCCTCTCCCCGTACTGTCCCTACACTGGTAAAGCGTGACGCTACCCAATGCCACGACACCACTTTTGGCGGGAAAAGCACAGGAGTCACGTAATATTAGCGTCGTCATTTCCTTACGTTATTTTCACATCAATCCTATCGTCGAGAATGGTTCAATCCGAAAACAAAACACATTCGATTCTTCTGAAATTTCAACACTTAAATTCACGTTTTCGATCAATCCAAAAGCCAGCAACAGATCCCTACCGTATGGCTCTTGTGCAAGAGAAGGCACCATACCTGGCCATCAGTGAAGGCCACTGTTCCACTTGCTGGAGTGAAGTCTTCCCGGCTCGCTGTTCCCACACGAGCCTCCCAATGCAGGCCCACATCTCCAAAGTGTCCAGCCACCCGGATCACTGGCAGCCGCAGCACATTGTCCGGGGGTGGGAGCTCATGGCCAAGTACAACTCCACTTATCTCCTGCATCACACACGCACGTGGCAGTAGGCCAATTGCATACAAAACACTCAACTGATGTAAAAAAGCACATGTATGCGCGTAGAATGTGCCTAAGGAGATCATTGGCTTATCAAAACAGAATAGCAATATGGGAATTAGATACGTTATATACAACTCCTTAATCAATTTAAATCTGTCTAATATGAACGTTTTAAAATATTTTAAAATATTTTTCACGTAAAATGAAATAAAATTTATATATTACCTAACTACAAATAAATGCTTCTCTCTGGTATCATGTCTTTTAAAATTCCAGCATTTATCGACACTTTTCTTTCAAGCATCCATTCAGGGATGTAATTGGAATTAGTTGGACTTAGGAGACAAGACACTATTACCCGGGTGACATTGAACTGAATGAATCCATGAGGTTCATCGTTCTCCTCCACAGTAATCCCAGCCAGCTCTGCCCCAAGGCGTCTGACAGTCGGCCGGGAGTCCCCAGACACGTTTCCCAACAGCTCCACTGCCGAAATGTTCACATAGAACGTCTCCCTCAGCTCTGGAACTGCATCCTGAGGCGTAAGTGAGTAAAAAGAAAAAAAAAAACCTCAAGTCTTCTGTAACGTTTTAAATCATTGCTATCAAAATCAACTTGGCTATTGGCCAAATGATAAAAATGTATTGTTTTCATTACATAGCCGTTGTATTAAGCTAGATCACGGGCGCATGAGTAAGCACCATGCTGCCACACATACGCAGATTTATTTCAAGATGTGCATATTTTGAACAAACCTGCTGTAACAGAAAATGAAAACTATTCATTTTTTTAATGCAAAGGCTGAATTACAACACGCATGGTCAAGCATACTATATGGAGGCCTCCATCCATGAAACCTTACAATTTCCTCTTGCATAAAATAGATTGCCACGTTAATACTCACGGGTAGAATTTCTATCTGGACAATTGCCTCCGTTGTGTTTTCTCTTAAGATGATGCTGGCCACTGTGGCAGTAAAATCCATGTTCTCAGATGCCCTGTGCACCATTGGTTGGGATCCGGCTACGGTTGTCAAGTAATGTACGGCCACATCTCCATATGAGCCACCTTCCCTGCTCACCTTCAGCTCCACATGACTGACATTTTCTGCACAGAAAGCAAAGGATATTAATTTTACGAAATGGCTTGTATAACAGATACTGACATGCTTACATTGTAAAGTTATTAGCACTCCGTTTTGGGATGTGCCAATGTCAGATGTAGCGAAGTTAATTTAACGAAAGGCATGATGTAGCTCGGCTTTCATTTTCATAGCCCTTTTAAATACTAAAAATAGCAACCTCTGATTGCTGGTAATTAAAAAAAACACCCCCTGGAAGGTCATTGTAGAAGTTATTTCAAATCTAAACATTGACCTACATTAGTAAGATTGTACTGAAAAGCTAATTGCACATCATGGCATGTCGATAACAATTACTGAAATGTTGACAATGGCACTATCAAGGACCCACGTGGAAGTAAGAGCATCTATAGCGGTAGCAGAAATAAATAACGTTATAATAAGTGTGCCTTTTGAGGAGTGCTTTAAATCTGAACGTTAAAAGCCGTTCTTTTCTAATGGTCAGTCACATATACAGGTGGACTTGGGTGTTTCTGATCAATAATTACAGAGCAATTTGGAAACAAAATAATTTTATAAGGTTTTTTTATCATTGATCGTCACCTCCCCGATCTCCTCTGATTCAATGACGTCCTTGCCTTTAAGATATATTTTTTACGAGTGCACATTCACATTCAGCGCCCATTAATTAGAAGCTGGAAGTATAGATGAAGTAAAGGTTTGCCAGAGCATGCACATAGTGATTGTCATGGGAAAGGGCAGTTGCGTTTTAAACTACATTTCCATGGCTTTCTGTAGCATTTCGAGTGGTTATATTTGCTCTGTAATTACCCATACACAATGTGACAGTATTAAGCGAGCAGAGTAGGAGTTAAACATAAGTTGCAGGCAGTTTGTGGAAAACCAATAGATGTATGTATGTTGAACTGATTTCACACCATACGTAGCCAGCCGAACACAAATTTACTTTAAGTTGCTGGGGGCCTCAAAGCTCAAACCACTGAGCCGGCATTGCCAAAATCGTGGGTTAGGATACAGGTTGCTTCATTTTATTAAACTGGATTCTCAAGTGTAGCAACATGATGATCTCACCCCTGTCATTAATGATAACACTCCAACAAAATATCGTGTTGAATTTGGGTTTACAATTAACTTGACTTAAATTTCATCTCTGAGAGTGAACCTAATTGTTTGTCGTGTGAAAATCTCAGAGAATGTGCTTGAGAAATGCGACCTCCAGTTATGGAAAGGATTTATCAAAAGTACTTTCTTCCATAATGAATCTCTAACACAGTGGCAGTACGGCCCGGCGAGATTTCAAAAAGTATTTCTCGTCACATCATGTGCTGTCGGATAGCATAATTATAATTAAATTCGTTTGAGAAAAACAAAAAATACTGCGGATGTGAAATTTGTATAAATCAAATTAAGGCAATATGAAGGCACTTTCCAACTTTAAACTTCGTTTTAGGATGCTTTGTTTCAAAACTCAACCATTCATTAATTTAACATTTTAATCTTAGATGTTCCTACAGGTCATAGTTAATAAAGTGTGTGGACATTAACGAAATGAAATATTTAAAAGTGCTCGTTATACCTTGTCCGAAAAAAAATATATTAAACTCATGCAAAGATTTAAATCGTTGACATAGAAAATGCAGATATGCTTCTTTGCTTCCAAACCTAATTATAATATATGACCACAACCCAAACACACATGATTTCAAATTTTGATTTAAAGCTTTCGTGACTGCAGTAATTCATATTCTTAGTTCTTTCGGTAAAGTCACGTTGAAGGGAAACACGAATACACATGATTTCATTAAAAAAAGCATTGCTTTAAACTATGAAAGTTTTCTAACAGCACGCAACTTAAAAGAAAGTTTTGTAAATACATCTACTGGCCTCCTGCAACCTGAGTCTCATGCCACTCATCCCAAAAAGTGGCGTTTTTTTTTCTTTTTACACTTTCAATAAAATAAGACTTGTAGCTTCTTCTCATTCCACTGCACGGTAGATTGTGTCGCGTTGTTTTGGTTAAAAGGCCCTGAAAGCCAAAATACCTGAGGGTTCTTCTACAGTGACGAACCATGACTCAGGATGCCAGCCGAATATACCGAAGGGTGAATCATTAGCCAAGATGTTTAGCAAAGCGTTGCCGCTGGAGGCGTCAATCCTGGCCCTTGTCTGGCCATCCCGTCCAGACACAGTGACACTGCTCAGTTGTATGGAGATGGACTCTGTCAACTCAGGAATGGCATCCTCGAACACAGTCAAGCTCAGCACAGAAATGTTTTGGCCAGATAAAAATAAGACCTGAAAATGAACGAAAATACGCATTATTTAGGCACTTTTTGCACGTGTATTTAAACATTAAAATGGTGATGCAATACTATTTAACCTGCTGTAAATGTGTGCCTGAAGCGATGCTTAAAAAAAGTTTTAAAGCTATCTTAGCGGTATCTAATCAGATATCAACACAATGAAAATCAATCCTATCGATACATGTTATGAATAAAAAAAATGACGTTACCAATTGTCAATAAAAATTGTGATCAAATATTCCTAATGATACTCACCACTCCAGAATTTGGTGTGATGTCATTAACATCACCGATAGCAATCCAGTGCACAGACACCTGACCCAGAGTCCCAAGCTGACGTTCCACAATAAAGCTCACCATTTGGTCTACAGGGAGCTCTTCCAGTTCTGTATAAAGAGACTCCTACAAAAGTTAACATGACATGTGTAAATCACTTTTCAATACTCAAAGCATGGAATCATGTAACATGTAATGAAAACACCCAATCCACGCGTAATAATTATATTTGTTTTCGCTATCTATTAAAGAGACTGTTTTTGCTATCCTTTGAACGTCACGAATAAAACATGATTTAGCGTGCGTAAATACCAATAATACAACATTCCATAACTGCTTCGGCGCAATTCATGGACTAGGTGAATTTCTGCTATTCAAGGCCGACTATTCTCACGTTTCAGCAGAGTGGAATGGGTGCAGTATAACCGTGCACTCTAAAATGAACCAGCCAGTCATATGTAACGGGCAGGGCAAGAGATTTCCCCACAGTGTTATGGTATCTTGGGAAAAATCCACAACCATGCTCGTAACAGAGAAATCAGGGTGTGAATGACCTGACATACACACACTCAGAATAATTCCACAAATGTTGGAAACTCCTTAACTCCATTGCAGCTGATCCCTTTCAAAAAGAAGATCAGGCAGGTATATTTGTGTCGTGAGGTTTCCACTTAATTGTGGCATAGTGGACATTGTCGAACACCCTGTGATTAGTAATCAATGTGTCACCAGTTTCATGACACCTTGCCATGTCCTCCCAAGAGAGAAAAGCTGCAATTCCACTGGTGAAATTATGACTCGTGAAAGTCCATCGCTCTGGATGAGAGCTGAAAACCCGTCATGAATTGTGTCCCAGATTGAATATCTACTAAGATTTCTCAACAGGTTAAAGAAACGAGCCTTCAACACCAATCACGCTGTCAATCATCCCACCTTGGAGAATCCAAATACCCCATGGACATCGTCATTGGACCGGATGGTGATCGTGGCTTGGCTATATGGACCAACTTCTGCACCTCCATCCGGATGTTTGAGAATAATTTTAAATTCTTCATCATCTTCTGGAATGTCATCTTCCAGAATAGTCACAGCAATTGTCATATTGCTCTCCATGGGCTCAAACACCAGCTTGCTAGATCTACAAATAATAATAAAAATCACCAAATGAAATAATCGTTAAAAAATGGTGTTCTTACATTATATTTGAAACCACATCCCATTCATCAGGAGTATGCTTACTTGTCATCAAATATCTTTATGCACAAATTTTCCCCAAAGTTAGAGAAGGCCAACAAAAACATGTTTAGGAATGAAATATGATTTATTTATTTACTCAAATGAATCTTATATACACTTGTTCAGGCAACTATGTGCAGATTCTAGTATTCAAATGTTAATTCAACTCGGTCTTAGAGGACGGCTGCATTGGCATGTAAAACCATAGACATAAGCACAATGACTTTACATTTAGATTAACAAAACGTCATAAGGAAAAAAAAGGTGTACTCACACAGGTATGAAATCTGACGGATGATGTATGCTGGAAAGTTCATATATAGCAAAATAACCTTCAGCAGCAAGTGCAAGTAAAGTTCTGTTTTCATTTAAAGAAGTCACAGTGAGCGGGAAGATGTCATTGGCTGCAGGAAGATTCAGTGCCTTCTCAAACAGCCCCGTGTCTGTTCTCCATTCAAAGAGAGATGAGCCTCTTGATCCAGGAAGAATCAGGTAAACTATATTTTAAAAAATATGACATAAAAATTTGATGAGCATGACTGCATGGTGATTGATGACAACTAAAGGTGATGCTGGTAATGGCGATGATTATGAATAATAAAATACGTCAACGTTGTTTTACTGATATATATATGCATCTCCCAAGTATGTATATCCAGCCGAATGTGCTTTATGACAATATTTATTTAGCTCCATCTGCTTACTTTAAGGGCGATGGTTTATTGGAGTAGAAAATAAAAGGTACGATAAATTAAACATGTTTTGTGTGCTGGTATCCCCAACAGCTTAGGGCTTTAGAGAATTTTGAGCTTAGCAATAATGCAGCCACAATCCATCATCATTATTATCAAGGTTCCATTAACACTCTTTGATGAACGGTGAGTATTGATGCAAGAGAAACTGTACCATTGCCTCCAGAGGCTGTGAAGGTGTTTATGCGCTTTAAGCTTTCAATTAAAAGTGTCTGTTGATGCACAGTGGAGGACATCTCCAAATTCCACCGGTATATGTCCAAAGTCATGCTTCCCAATTCCGCTGTAAAACATGAATTACAAAGCCACGCAAATATAGCTTAACATTTATGCTTAATCCGATAAAGTATGACACGAAGCTGTTTAAAATGATAATCACATCGTGTAATACATATAGGTTTTTTTCGTGAATTGAAAAAAAGAGAAAGTTGGATTCCAAATGGGTGTAGCATTGTCCAATAATGCATGCTGCCATTTACGCAAAAGTACAGTTATAATAAATAAAAATAAATACATTCTACATACAATTATGATATATGTATATTGTCATACCACCATTCATAATATAATCAAGTATATTTTGGTCAGAAAGGGTTATTGATTGATCGTGAAATTATTTAAGATAAATCGGGGTTACAAATGCAAACACATACAATGGCAGGCTGGTATGGAAAAAATAAAGCACAGGAACTGTAAAACAACAAACTGTCAACTATAAAAATTATTGAATAACTTGTGATATACATTCAACACATTTGCATACAAAATGTAAACACAATGAATAAAGTATAACTCACACAAAATATTGCAAAACTATAATCCACAAAATGTCACAACTTGCACACATCTCAGTGAATTGTTTTTTTTTTATCGCTGACTCTGGTATAGAGAGAATGGCTCAGAGGTGCGAGGAACCGAGGCAGCCACGCGACAGCCGGTGCCCAAAGTTATCCAAACTCTGCAGTTCTATATATATAAAGGTGTTATCGCCCAACCAATGAGTGTTTACATTTCGGAGAAAACCGTAGCACTTGGGGAAAACCCACGTGTGCAAAGGGGAAACACTCTATCCCATACAGAACATTTTTTACTGTACTGCCTTGTCCTGGAAAGCCAGGGCATGGCACCTCGATGCCCAAGGGGAGTTTTATATTCGTGCGGTGAACCACCAACCCATGCCTCCTCAGTGCTGCATTACAAGCGTGTGCCACAACCGCCCGGTATACAAATAAGGTAAAGAGTAGATGACGTCGGTGATGATTATTAACTACCAATTAACACTGGATGTAAAAATAGTGCTTTAAATATGCGATAATTAAATGGGAAGAAAAACAATTACTTGAGCTGCTTTTATTTAAAACAAATAAGAGCGTCTCATTTTTCATGGAGCAGACATGCAAGATTCCAGTTCCTCCTGCAGCGAGGTCCAGAGGGCTCTGCAAGCGAGACTCTCTCCACGCATACAAGCGGGAACGCCAAACGTTTTCACCAGGGTCCTGTGCACGTAACACCAGGAGATTTGAAATCCCCTGGAGGTGAAACATCGCCATGTCTCCGGCCCAGGGAGTGCTTAGGCTCTGGTAAGAAGCAAACCCGGTTCCATTCCACACATAAACCTGGCAAGGACAAAGCACAAGTTAACCAAAGCAAGAGCAGCTGCACATTTTTTTGCATTTATCATTTACAACAACTATGTATACTGCTATTAAATGCTCACAATGTGTAAAGAGTATGACAAGTCACAATGTTTATTAATTATAATCTATTCCCAAATGATGTCGTTCTTGTCTTAAACCATGCACACCTAGCCCTTAAGGAATTTATCCTGTTTTCTCTTTCACACGTTACACTTTTTTTGTGTTACTCTGCACATGTGCTTACCTGTGTGATCACATCAGTCTCATTGAATATATCAAGGCAAATTAAATAATTGTTATGTTCATAAATAAAATGTTTGACTGATTTGAATCTCTCTCCAGGGAATTCTTGAAGCTGTTCAAGAGAAAGAGGTCTTTAATGAATTAATCAATTCATGCACATTCAAGAGCTGACAGAAAATATACGCTTAATATGTGTTACATGAAGGAATGGATATTATTAATTGAAGGCATTGACTCAAAATGAAGCGTACCAGCTGTATACCCCCATCTGGAAGGAAGGCATAGAGATTACTGCCTCCGTTATCGCTGCTGATGAGCACATGAGGAGTGCTGTTAACGCTTAGCGTCACACAAGTGGAAGCACCATCTGTAGGGAAATGCTGGAGACAGGACATAACGTCGTTGCAGAGGTTCACGGTTTAGAATCCAGCGGCCGCCCTGAGCAATACTGCAGGTGTGTATTAAACGTTAAAATACTGCTTCACGGTGGATGTTAACAGATTCCGTGTTGTCATTTGCAAGAGTAGGCCCTCGTGTGTCAGCGTCATTGTATACATTTGGAAAATAAAATACAAAATTACCCGCAAATTCCTCAGTTGGAATACACTGTTACAGTACGAAGTAAATCATCGCCCTCGAATGCAAAAAACTGGGCAGGAACCTCCTTAAAAAAGAGTCACGAGGCTCGGTGATGCTTTGCTGGATAAATAAGCGTAATCATAACAAAAATACAGAAAATATATGCAGATAATTATTACATGCATGAAATGGACATACAGGGCCAGTTCCTTACAAATGTCTCCTCGCTGCTCAAGACAAATGAAGCCATTTAAAGTAAATATTACAATGGGTTTCAATTCGATTGCCTGGGTGTTTCCTGCTCTCCCCTCTCCCATGTGTCACTGCCCTCAACCCACCTATTTCCATTTCACCTTCTTCCCTAATGAAGTCCCTCATTTGTGCATATAATACTCAATCTTGTGATTCAGCTGCATTTAGATGCTTAATGAAATTGAAATAGTTATTGTGTTGTTGAACCCTAAACCGGTAAAATAATTGCCTTTTGAGCAACCACTTTCCATACACCGTATTCAAATATTGAGTTTCTACACAGTGTGCTTGTGTGGTTAGTACAACTGGCGTGCCTTGCTAACGCCAGCGCTCCCTCTTGTGGGCCAACTTAGCAATGTTCGCACCAGCAAGTCGGCATCCCATCATTCACCAACTAAGCAGTTGCAATATTAACCTGATGAATGCATCACCCGCTCCACCCCACATACAACATTCCCGTACAGGCGGACCGGCAAACTAAACACGGCCATAGATGTAATACCCCACATTACATGTCTAGTTTAAGATTATGCACAGGGGTGTTAAAACAACAAAAAAAAACTGCTTAAAACAATTAACGGGGGCCTACCTGCTGAGGCACAAACACGCCTTGCCAGCGATAGATTGTGGACAGCTCTGTGCCATTCAAATCGCTCGCGTTTCTCACACGCACTGACTGCAGCAGCACGCCGTAGACGGAGCCGTCATGAATAAATGAGCACCAGCCTGCAGCCTCGGGGAACATCTGCAGAGTGGCTAATGCGTTACTATCACCCCCTGTGGAAATACAACACGCGCGCAATGCAACCAATTCAGCCCTCCACGCTGCTAAGTCTCTGCCGTCACAATAAAGCACCGACGCAATTCATATTTTAACAGCGGTGTGACCGCTTTTTAAAAATATACATATACAGCTAGAGACAACTTAACAAAACCTGCTGGGCAAGAGATCTTTTCAGAGGCACGGCGACACAATGCGGTGTGTGGTGAATGTGCTTTACAGTGGTGGATCTCGAATGGTTTCAAATCCTATTACGATCCCCGCACACAAACGGTACGCTCCGTATCGAATGCTCCATATGTGCGTGGAGTCAGAAGCACAGTGGGGGGGCGGCGCCGGTGGGGGGGAGGCTTTAACTGTGTAAGCGTATTGCACTTTATATTTTAGCCGTTACTGATCGGCATTGGAAACGAGAAGCGAACTCGCCAGCCGACATCCATCCCAAAAGATCCACCACTGTTTGCCGTGGGTGGCACGCGTAAGGGAGGATCTACCGAATCTTACTCTGCCCCTGGGCCGTCCCGGGCTGGGTCTCCCACTCCACGCTCACCCTGCCCAGCAGACCCTGGCTCCGTGTCACATGCATGTAGACGGTCACGTCGCCCTCTCGCACGCTCACCGACGCGGACCTGGCGGACAGAGCCACGTGCTTTGCGTTCGTGTCGTAACCCTCGCACTGAATGTGTTGTTACCCATGCTGCAAGCTGAGTGGCGAACTCTACTTTTTTTTTCTCTGCGAGAAATTGCGCCCAATTTTTCTTGTATCCGTACAGAATCAGAATATGAATTCACACTGGAGGAATCTGATGAGCTATAAAGCTCATTTTTCACAGTTGTCCAGTCGGGGCGGGTAAGAACGTTATAAAAAAACAAGAATGCAAAAACATGACAGCAGTGCAAAGTACAAGAAAGGTAAACGAATTACCCAAACACATACAAATACAACAACAACTAAACCATCTCCATCCTACCAGACAAAGCCCACTCAGGTATTAACTTATTTTTCAACAGCGACCTGGCCGCAAATGATAGCTCAACAAAGTGCACATTTATCGCATCAAAATAATATAAATAGTCTAAACGAATGTTTCTGAATGTGGAGCGAAACACCGGAGGACCCGGAGAAAAAAAATCCATGCGACCACGGCGAGAACACGCAAATATAGAGCAGGGGTCAGAGTCGGGATCGAACCCCCGAACCTCCTGCATACCAGGCGAGGAAGATAACATCTCACCATCGTGGCGCCCCTTGAATAAATAAAGTTTTCCGTTCATTTCTAGAGTTGGAATAGCTTATTATTTAAGTACTGTAATTTATTATTATTCTACCAATTATCGGTGTAATTACTTTAATAATAATGAAACAACAAAAAGAGTTGTTGGAACAAAATAAGCATGACCTTTGTTTCCGTGTGTGCTGCTACCAAATGCTTATTAGATCACTAGAACTGCCTTGTTGCCATGAAATACAAAGACACATAGGTCAAAGTCAATTGCTATGATATAAGTTGCAGTCGTGGTAACCTGCAGTGTGAACTCGTTCCACATGAGTTCGATTCCCAGCCAAAGTTAACATGAGTGACGAGTGATATCTGCAGCAATCCTGCTACCAGCCCCACCACTCATTCACCAACCCACACTGAAGGGCATGGTGATGTACGGTTGAATCATCGGACGGTTTGCGGAGATGTTCATCCAGTAACCAGGTTGACAAAGAGTTGTATATTATTATAAAAATGCTAATGGATTGGTTATTTTCTGTTAACTTTTTTGAGCACACTATTAAAGTGTCACAATGTCTGCTGGATGTGAATAAAAAAAGGTATATTCTTTGCGTCTTTCGGTAAAGTCACGCAGATAGGTTCAAAGAAAATAACAAAAAACTAGCGGTCGCTTGTGTTGCCATCGAAACGTCGTAGTTTTTTGTCATTTTCTTTGAACCTATCTACGTGGCTTTACCGAAAGATGCAAAGAATATGAATTCCTGCAGTCACGCATGCTTTAAGTTAAAAAGGTATGTTTCATAAATTGTAAATTAAGTACATTGGGTTTTCATTACATATATATGTAGCATTAAGGTGGTAACACAATGCTAATATGGGATATGTTAAGGCAGCCCATGCTACTGTAGAAACAAATTATCCCTAAAATACAAATGAAACTGGACAGCAATTAGACGTTACTATCAACCACAACAAACACTAAATCTGTAGCACATTGAAATCTACTATGCAGCCTAATTAAGCACACACATGTAAATATTTCTCGGATTAACCAAGAGATATAAGACGCAAATTTCAACGGTGGAATATTTAGCAGAAGTTAAAATTATAACAATTATTTCCTTAACATGCACAAACTTTGAGATTTATAAAAGCTCTCGAGTCTAATAAAATTCAGCAGAGAATTACTTCACTGTGTGGTAGTTATTAATCGTGCCTCAATTAGTTAAATGTATAGTAGAGTGTTTTCTAGCACACACCTCTGGCCGATGCAGCTAATTTTGAACGACGCCCTTGATTGCCATGTGATTTACAATTACCGATAAGGCTGCATTAATTTACGTAAGTATATCATGAAATATAATTAAAGATAAATGAATAAACATCACCTTGTATGAGATGCAAAGATATTCAGGAGTCCGTAAGGAGAGCCGTTCCTTAGGATTCTGATGGTCATTTGCGTCTTGTTTCCCAAAACCGCTCCTCCGGTGGGAGAAGAAAGTGTGACCAGGAATATCTCATCCATCTCCGGCTCATCGTCTATCACTGCTGAGATCTCCAGGGGCTGCAAAGATAACGGCGTGTGTGTCACCTCACACGAAAAGCCCCGTCTGCCTGCGTGCACTTCTCACAAGCAACTCAACGTCAGCATCCGCAGCAGCAATGGCACACCTCTATCCCGCAAAGCCTAATTAACGTTACTTTTTTTTTTAGACCAATTAATTCGGGGTCGAAATGAAATTGATTGAAACGAGATGTGATAATTGGGAATGCCAGTTTGCAACTCAATGAGTTAACTCTTCACTGCCCTGGAAATTGATTTTGTAGCAAGGCAGCCTTAATTAAAATTCTTTATAAAAGATGCGATTATATATTTATAACTCTAAAACATTTATACATGCAGCCACTTATAATATCAATACAGCTATTATTGTTCCATCACATTCTGTTATAAGTCAACGCAAATGCATTAAGTACAAGCGAATATCCACTCGAACACGCATGTTGGAAGTGTCCTTGTCCTATACCTTTGATCTGACTCTGTCCTCCAGAACCACCACACCCTCAGACGGGGTTAGATCCAGCACGGGGCCAGAGCTATTGCTTTGTGTCACCCTGAACCGCACGCTCACACGGCCAAACACCCCGAGCTCTGGCTCCCTGACAATCAGCATCCGTGCGACGCCATCTGCGACGGAGAACAGCACCGGCTCCGACAGCACCACCGGCTCGTCCGAGTCGAAGGCCAAAATGCCGTGTGCATCGTCGTTGGCCAATATCGTGACGGTGGCTGCGAAGACAGGGACATGGAGGAATGTATTCATGACATACATGCAAGGGGCTCAATTGCTCACTGAATATTTTCTGGGTCGCTGGCAAAAACTGAAGTAGGAACGTAACCGGTAGCTCCGGTAATCGTGAGAGGTATATTGGAATGTTGTATGCCGGGTGTGGATATATTTTCTGGGCTGTTGACCCGGGCAGACACAGATAAAATGAAGCCCCGCGTATGAGCAACATGCAAAGCAGTACATCCCTAATTTACATGAATAACAGCAAAAAAAATCCAACAAACCAAAGCACCTCCCAACGCCGTACTCTATACTATTATTCAGTGGGTATAAGTAGGAAGGTTTCCTCCTTATCTTCCTCAACGAGGTTTTATTTTAGATGACACCATCGGTGGACACAGTTTTAACATCATAATCAGGACGACATATATTTTAAATGTAAAATAGGTTTTTGAAAACCATATGTGTGTCACAATATCCTGTACCAGCGGGGTAATGTTTGGTAGTCACCTGTGTTGAGAGGACCAATCTCTACACCTGGAGAAGGGTTGGTGATGATCAGTTGAAACCTCTCAATTCCTTCAGGAATAGTATCATTCACAATGTCTATCTCTAAAACTTTAATGTCCTCTTCATGTTCAAAAAATAATGTCTGGGTAATAAAAAAAACAACAGTATTAGTCTAATCAGTTAATGCATCATTGACATGAATTTAGGACAAGTGAAAGATCGATGAGGCAGACAGTCTCCTTTCAAGTGAGATCTGGGGTGTCATTGTAGAAAAATATCACGTACTTTTGTTTCACAAAATTTGGTACAAAAACAGTAGCCTTACTGTTATGTTGAACACGTCGGCTTTCGCGACCAATATTATTGTAATCATCAGTGAAACGTCGTGCTGAAATTGTACATGTTGCGGGTTTACTCTCCAACACAACGGTGTGCTAAAGTAGCAGTTAATTGGCACGTTCTGTTTATGCGACAAACCTTACTGATTGTCTGTGTCAGGCGGTGGTGGGTGAACGACACAATTTACGCGATCGAACCCAAAAAAAACACCTTCGTTATGAGTTAGCGTTTTGACGTAAAACTTTCGTGACTGCAGGCATTCATATTCCATGGTTCTTTCGGTAAAGTCACGCAGATAGAAAAAAAGAATAACAATAAAATTTTAAAAAAATTTAAATAAAGTGAAGAAAAAAATAATAAAAAATATCACGATGTTTCGATCGCAACACCACCAATATTTTTTTTTTCCTACGTGACTTTACCAGAAGAACCATAGAATGAGTTATCGGTATATAGTAATATTCACCCCAGCAGTGAATATATAGTCCAGTCCAAGTTCAGCATCCAGGCTCTGTGGGTAGCACAGCAAGTATGCCCTGCCGTAGGCCACCGGCCCCCTTTGTAACACCACGGTCAGCTTGCCCACGTCCTCCTCCACCACAATGCTACAAAAGCAACACGCATGGCAAGGCGACATAATAATATAGAGGAAAAACCACATTCAGCATGGCTGGCTACGTACGGTGCAAAATAAGTTCTATGTACATACAATTAAAAAAAACCTTTCGTGCGAATTTGTGAAAAACTTTGGCAGTGCTAAACTACATAATTCTAATTCTTAGTTTTTTCGGTAAAGTCACGTTGAAGAGAAACAACAAAATAATAAAATATATATATAAAACAATACAAAATTCTCACGACGTTTCGACCATAACTCAAACGGTCGTCTTCAGGTGTGTTGGTTCGCATAAATTTATTTTTAAACGGCGCATTTATTTATTTATAAAAAAAAACGTTAGCGCCACGTGCAACGATTTGGCAGTTTACCCAGGACTAGTCCATCTATATTCTGAAAAGAGGAGGGGGGAGACGAAATTTTTTTATAATGTATGCTGTCTGAAAGCCACTGTAAGCGTGAACAATCAATTAAGACCTGAAATGGTTTATCAAATCTTTCCAATGATTGCTAAGATAGAATCCATCTGAGAAGATGGATCTTTCCAATGATTGCTAAGATAGAGTCCATCTTCTCAGATAGAATCCATCTTCTCAGATGGATTCTATCTTAGCAATCATTGGAATAGATAGAATCCATCTTCTCAGATGGATTCTATCTTAGCAATCATTGGAAAGATTTGATACTTAATTGATTGTTCACGCTTACAGTGGCTTTCAGACAGCATACATTATAAAAAATTTCGTCTCCCCCCTCCTCTTTTCAGAATATAGATGGACTAGTCCTGGGTAAACTGCCAAATCGTTGCGCGTGGCGCAAACGTTTTTTAAATAAATAAATAAATGCGCCGTTTAAAAATAAATTTATGCGAACCAACACACCTGAAGATGACCGTTTGAGTTATGGTCGAAACGTCGTGAGAATGTTTTATTGTTTTATATATATTTTATTATTTTGTTGTTTCTCTTCAACGTGACTTTACCGAAAAAACTAAGAATATGAATTACTGCAGTCACGAAATCTTTAAATCAAAATTTACATCATTCTTCTCGCGGGAACAATTTTATTTGTAATACCGCAATTAGTGTAATTGTAACCATTGCTGAATAAGAAAACACATCAATGTGAACAGTATTAATATACACGCATGTTACCTGTTTGTTTTCCAAGATATTATTCCTCCTGCTCCATCATTAGCTTCGATAACAACTTGTGCCACCAAGCCAAAGATGTCTGTACCAGCAACGTGACAGTATGTTAATGAGCTGTCCATTTGAAACATATTACTTAGTAAGTTGATATAAAAATGGATAAAGAGTTATAATTCCGATATTTACCTTTTAGCTTATATCTAATTATTTCAGGTTCTTGATGAGATTGAATGCAGCAGATTTGAAGTTTGAAAAGAGCAGAGGAAAGGAAGAGAATCAAAGATGGAGAAAAGTCAAAAAGTTATTGAAAAGAAACAATAACGTAATTGTAATTAGGTTACAGCAGGGCAATGCATGGAAGTTCCAGAGAAAGTATGTAAGAAAATAATTTATCAAATGTTATGCATTGGCAAACTATGAAAAAATATATGCACATACAAAAAACAGTGAAGTGACATATCACCTATTAAACAATGCACGATACTGGAAGACATCAGTCTTCCGATTTGAAATGTAAAAATTCCCTGCCTAGCACAGGTGTAGAATGTGACCGGAGTGTAATGACAGCTTACCCAGACGTGGAGGCCCAGCTGCTGTTGACACAAGCAACTCGACTGATGTCAGGTTCACCAAAAAGACCTCACTGACCTCTGGAATTTCGTCCTAGAAAAAAATACAAGGCCAAAGTGCACAGTATTTACACGAACGAGAAGCTAAATATAATGCCCCTTATCAATTGTGCAGGCACATGAAAAGTTAAACAATTAAACTGCATGTTTTAATTCGTTGCTTGAAATTTGAACCTACTCTTACACCTTGACGGGTAGGAGTGTTGCATTTACCTCCAGAACTGTGACACGGATGGACGTTGATGTCTGTCCCTCCTCTAGAATAAAGAAGCCGGCAGTGTGCAGGTAGTCCTGCTTAGGATCTGCTAAAGCCATCTCTCCGGGCTTCAGTGGCTTTATGGAGCCCCGAGAAGTCTGATACGTCACATTAACTGCTCCTGTAAACGAAATTATTACATCAGTCGTTACAGCCTGATGACACTATTGTAAAAAATTCAGAGTTGCAACCAATAATATAATGTTCGAGACCTTCAATGGAAACATGTCAGGATGTGTGCAATAATTGTACGTGTTTGATTGAATTATTTCAACTTTTGTGATTCGATGTTTGTGTGCATCCAAGGTGCAGTGCTCTGTTCAGTCATGCTTCTCAATTCCGTTGGTGCTTTGAGACTTATGTTATATTTGTGTGAGGTGCGATATGATGATGTTGATGATAAGGATACGCACATATATGTGTGTATTGATACACTCATCTATCATAAATGTGTGTTACTGGTTCAGCAATATAGTCCATTTAAGCATTTAAATAATTTCTGTTTTGGGTAATAAATAATTTGCATACAAGCATGGACTCATCACCATTGATTGTACTATGGCTCGGGGCATTTCTGAATACACGTTCATTAAATCAAGAAAACCGATTAATTTGGTATAATTCTATCAAATAATCCTAAATCTTGCCTTGCAACAGTTTATCCAAACTGTAACATAGGAGAAATTATATAAAATAATTCATGATCAATCCACTGCTGGATGAGCATCTCCCCACTCATTGGCATTCATCATGCGCCTGTGCTGCAACAATAATCCATCTCGCTCCTGCAGATGAACAATCCATATGAACGGATGCCATTGCTCCATCTCGATGGTGGTTCCCCTCTTGGGTGCATTCGCACCTCTTAGGTTGCCATGCCCATACTGGACATCTGTGAAAAAGAGCTTCATAGCTCCTCGGATTCCTCCTGCAGCCTAAATACCGATTCTGATCACCAGTCGCATGGACAGGCAATTTTTTGTTCTTTTTTTTGGTGTGTGTGCCCTGCACAAATCAATATGACTTATGCTTCTGATTGACAATAGACACGAGATGTCTCCGATTTGTGTCTGTCGCCCTGGTCCGTGCATTGCTCTCTGCGTCTCTTTCATGCCATTCTGAACATGCCTCTCTTCCGCGCTTCTTTGCGCATTTCTCACCTTTTATGAGCTTCCCTTCGTACGCGTCGCGATATTCCTGGCCTACGCGGTTCGCGCAGCGATACGAATTAATATGAAGTAAAAGCACTCTGATGGGAAATCAGAAACACCGCGCAAAGGCAACGCGAGTGCAGTGTACCCATCGTAGGTTTTGCCTGTTGGTGTTTTTGCTGCCTTGCTTAATGTTGATAAATAGTATTCCTTGAAATCGATTAATTATTACTTTTTGACTTGCTTACCATTTTCTCTATTTTGCGCTCCTATCGTTGTTTTAGTATCGTTTGCCTCTGTAACTTGCTGCTCCTGTGCCCATACTGGGCACCTGTTAAACAGAGCTTCGTAGCCGATGAGCTAATTCCTCCTCCAGTGTAAAAAAAAACATTTTGATGACCCTGATACCTTCCGAGCCAAACTCCCTGACGAGGAAGAGCGTGATCGTTGTGTTTCCCTCCGCTGTCGAGACGTATCGAGATTGAGGGGCAAAACCGATGACTCCGTGCGGCTCATTGCTGGCTGAGACAGTGAGCACGGCCTCCGACGCCTGCTCATCAAGGGCCGCTGCCCCACCCCACCACATCCCTAAAACACCGCAAAGACAAAGATCCGCCGTGTAGCCTTAACAGACTGTAGGGGCAAGTGCTGTTAGCGAGCAGCACCTATGAAGGCCGGCACGGCACACGAAGGGGTGGGTGGCCAGCACCACGGCTGGCCGCCTTCGTCTCCCCAGTGGCGATGTTTACACACCGCAACCAGGTAAATCATTTGAGGCTGAGTCGACCTATGGGAGGCCCGGGACCGGTTCAGATCATCGCCACCGGTGTTAGCCGTGAGCGGGAATCGAACCCGGGTGGCCAGGTTCCGTAGCGCAGCGTAGCGCTAACCGCTACACTACCGCTAAAACACCCCACACACACACACGGAAAAGACACAGATTCCATCACTATAACCTAAATAGAATGTTGGTGCAAGTGCTGTTTGCGAGCACTGGCAGGGCACGAGGGGGGGTGGTGTGGTCAGCGCCATGCCCAACTGCTTTTGTATCCCCGGTACGTACTAACGTTTGCACACCACACCAGGTTTTTATTTTATTTAAGGCTGAGCTAACATAGATGAGGCCCAGGACCGGTTCCGATATTATTTTGCCACTGATGTTGGCCGTGACTGGGAATCGAACTCAGGTCGCCGAGTACGTAGTTTCGTGCGATAATCACCACATTACCGCTCCCACAATTAAGGACAGCTCCCTCACCTGCGCACACCTCTCAGACACACACACACAACGCTGATACCGGTACCACATTGCTCCATCGTGTTTATGCATGCACGACAAATCAAGTTGAAAGGTCACATGCTACGCATGACATTTCGGAATTTAACTTGACCTGGGCACCTTTGAATGTGCACGTACCTACTGGGCAGCGTAATTGGGGGGGGGCTTTAAATGCCTATCAACTGACAAAGGTTAGTCATCAGATGCGACATTAACTCGGGTAGAGCTATAAGGAGAAATCCTGGCGTGCAACGGTCGCAGGCGGATGGAAAGTGCACAGGGCCAAGCCGTGTAGACGATGGGACGTTACCGACCAAGTGTCCTGACGTTGGACAGCAGAACGCCGTACACCTCCTCCTCCTCCGGGACTCCATCCTCAAGCAGCTTCACCGAGAAGTTCACGCCGAGCGCCCCCTGCGCAACGCACACGAGGGGGTCCACGGAGAGAGAGACGAGCGGGGGATATATATATGTGTATTGTAAATACATCTGTATTTAAATGACGCATTACAATTGACCAAGAATAGTAAACAAATCGGAAGCCACTTTCATCTATACTTTTAGAATTTCACATGCTCACAAAGGATAACTTTTAAATGTGCATGTCATGCTATTGCTAATATATATGGAAAGGTTGTAAACGTTATTTTCTTGTTTTTATTGATAGCATACAGAGTTCTCTCTTCCAGCTATTTTATTTTTTGAGATATTTTCTTAGTATTATATCTGAGGGATTGTACAACTGTCGATCTTGGAAGAGCATGCACGATAGTTGAATGCACGTGTAAAGGAGTTCCAGTCGGGGTAAGTTTTGTAGCTCGTTCTTTATGACTCTTCAACAGGTGCAAGCCGCAGCACCTACGGACGTCCGTGAATCACTTCGTTCAGGCGCCCCGGGCTCCCGTTACCAGTTCCTTCAATCCCCTTCTCCCCCTTCTCAAACTTTCTCCATCTCTCCGCCATTAAACTCCGTTTCCCCTAACGCTCCTCCAACCGACACATTATGAACATTTCACGTGTCCTGGGCTTTTCCAATTTAATCTCTCCGCCAATCAGATTGGAATGTTTCACCAACCCTCCAATCATGTTGCGTGCTCAAGACGGCAGCTCTCAGTCTGACAGATCACCGATGGGAATTGAGCACATAGTTTGAACTCACAAGTCGTCACTCGGGGAGTATTGATTGTTTATTTATCTTTACTTCACAGGGTATGTCTCTCGGCATACCCTGACACATGTGATGTATTGGAATTAAAGTTTTTGTCACCTCTTGGGTTTTGTGTTTCTAAAAATTATTATTATTGACTTTGTTTCAGCAGTCACTCAGCCGACATTCCGTGAGTCCGAACCTCCGCAAAATGGATGGTTCCATTGTATGGGAGAAAGTTTCTCCAGATGCTCTTCCCTGTCATGGACCAGTCCACCATAACAGCGCCAGCAGCAGGCGCACTTCTCTCCACTCGGAGCAGCAACACGTCACCTAGCAGCACGAAAACACACCAGTAACACGGCACACCACCAAGATCGAAATTATAAAAAATGTCATCAGGGCTCACGCCGATTCCAGCACGCCTCGCCAGCACTTGTATGGCCTCTGTTAGATCATGCAGCTGCTGCGCAAGAGACACACAACCTCCACGATCAGCCCCAACAGTATCTCACAATCTGCTCTTAGATCTACTTCGTTTCAGTCGCCATACTGTCATCCATAGCCGTGGGGGGAGGCAGGGCCCACTCGCCAACTTTTCACCACAGCCATCTCGCTACCTGAGTGGACTGTGCGAACCTTGGTAATTTGGGCGATGTTTGAGCTGGCAGAAAAAAGAACTCGTAATTTTAATAAATTGGCAGTTGGGAGCCGGAGCAAGACAGTTGGTTGTAACCACACCTTTCCCATTGTTATAATGGTGGCGTTGGCCTAAGTCTCATCTGCCTCTTTCGCAACCAACAGATTACCCAGGGTCACACCACCCCACTCTGGGTGCCATTGGTCTTCTAGTTACCTGGGCAGGTTTATTATGCATGTGTGGCAGTCATGATTTTATCTGCCTCATCAACCAACACACAACTATGAAGGTTCATAGCAATATTCATTGCCGTCCAGTCGAACCAAATGGAATATACCCATGAAGTGACTATGCTGAATTTTGACCCAACGAGGGTGCTGTTGCTGTAACGAATGGTTTAAAATTGCTAGGCAGGAAGCGCCTTTCACTGTCCTGCGATTAAATATGCAGTTTATTATTGTATAAGGATGTGTCACTCAGTCAACTGCATTCCCTTTTCTACAGACACGTGGGAAGAAGTTAATTTGAAAAAAATATCGGTGGAGAACATAGCCATGGGTAGCATTGGTGGCGAGATGTTAACTACCTCGCCTGGTAAACAGGAGGGTGTGGGTTCGACCCTGGCCCTGACACCTGTATATTTGAAGTTTGTATATTCTCCCTGCGGTCGTGTGGCCGGATCCTCCGGTTTTTGCCTCCACATTTAGAAACGTGCTTTTAGAGTATTTGGCTGCTATAAATTTCCACAATGATAGGCCACTTCGTTGAGCTATCATTTGTGGCCAGGTCGTTTCTGAAAAAAAGCTATATATCTGAGTGAACCTTACGTTGTAATTCAAATTGGTTTTCAGTAGCCAAATGACCCAAAAGAAACTGCTGAGAGGCCCTCCTGCACATCCGCCTCCCTCTTCCCATATGTTCTGAAGCATATTCAACCTCTTCTGCCTACATTGCCATTCTGGCCACCAAGTAATTATGGGTATAATGGGGTTTCTTTTATCAGCCAGAGCAGATATTGTTAGAAGGCGTGGACCCATTTATGTAACCACAAATCACGTGACCAAACAGTAATTCCTCGGCAACACGGCTTGCATGAATTCATTTCTTTTTTGGTCACATCTAAACGTGTTAAATGTCAGCTGAACGGACTTGGGAGGCACCCCGATGAATAAAAACGTTAACGCAGCGCCATGTGCACGTTTTGCAAAGGGAAATGGAGCATAGAAAATGGAGCATAGAAGAAGAACAAGAGGGAGAATTGACGAGGACATCCGCAAGTCACGTTCAGGGTAAATAAATGTAAACCATCATGCAAACTCCGGTCACCGTCGCAGCAGCTTTTGGCTAGCCATCGAACAAAGACGATCACCGTATCGTGCACTTTCAGATGCACTTTTGCAGCCATCCGGAACGCTCTTCCTTCTGATATAAGGAAGCCACTGGAGCTATGCACTTTAAAATTCAGATTGAAAACTCATTTCTTTAGAACAGCTTTTTGTGTTTAAGTTTGTTGACCTTCCGCCACACCTCCGATTAGCACGGTCGCCAACGCACTGTGCGAAAGAGGTTCAACATGCACGCATTGGTACAAACCTTCATCGCCAATGAAAGCCCTCGAGGCCACATGGAAGCCAACCATGCCAGCCACATTGTCATTGGCCAGTATAACCACAGTGGCCGCCCCTTCCCCTGGCTTAATGCGACCGCCGCCGTGCACGGCCGTCAGTGCCAGCAGAACGGTTTCATTCACCTCGCCAAAGTGGTCATCGACCACCCGCAGCTCGATGATTTTCTCTGTTTCGCCTAACGTGGCAGGGAACAAGGGATTATTTTCTTTTTAATGCAGCCTCATTTTAAATGTATGCATATGCGCATTGCATAAGAAATGTCACGATTTATTTCTCCAAATTAATCAATGTAGCCTGCTGCTAATAATAATAAACTGTGCACTTAATATTAAGCTCTGCGAATAAAATGTTGAGACCCGCGCGAATTATTTAAGCAGTTAACACTGAACACTGAACAGAGCATTACACCAAATAACTACCACCAGGACTATGCTCTCATATTGTGCACAATAACTTTTTTCATATAAATAGAAATAGGAAAACAATCTGATTCATTAAATTGGTTTAAAATAATGTTTAACTTCTAAACTAAACGAGCATCAATTGGGTAAAATACATTTTTCTAAAGGATGTTTAACAATGTGGGTAAAAGCATGCCTGTAATAAATATATCCACACACCTTCTTGAAAGAGAAGCATGTCATCATCAGCAAAGAAATCTACATTCCTCAGAGCTGTTCCCCCTTCGACAGCCCACGTCACGTTGACATCACCGATGCTTCCTCCCTCTCGCTTCACGGCGATCTGCACAAATGACTGCGGACTCTCCTCTACGAATATCTCACGAGCATCCTGACCTGCTTGAGGTCCGGTGCTGCGTAGGACGAATGCCCCGTGCGGGTCATCGTTCTGTCTTATGATGACTCTGCAAGAGCTGTCCCTGCCAACGTTTGGAAGGATCGTGTCGTCAGCGCTGGCGTCCGCAAGTTCGACGCCGGAAATTGACAGGCCAAACGCCTCGTCCATCTCCGGAACGTCATCTCCAAACAGAACGATCGGAATGTGGACAAACTCAACCCCTGGAGGCATGGCAAAGCTTGACCAGGTCAACCCCTCGTAATCGCTGCCGGACAAGGCCCTTTTCCTCATAAGCACTTCTGACGTGTCCGTCTTCTTGGATCGTATTACGAATCCCGTGGAGTCGTTGAACGTCTCGCTCAAGGTTGGCATCCAAAAACACTCGGCAGCAGACGGCGTGGCTCTGTATTGAAAGGCCAGACAAGCCAGCTCTCGTAGACACGAGGCCGCGCAAAACTGCAGAACCTCGGTCCCGTTGTTCACGTGAAGGGGCAAGGGCACGGCATTTCGAGCAGTCGCACTCCCATTCACAGCTTCTTCAAAGAAATCCATGACGGTAGCGCCACTATCTTGCGCCAATTCCAATATGCCGATTTCGTAGGTTCGGACATATATACGCAGTTTTCCAAAGAGGCCACCACTGGAAAATGACACCACACAAAGGAACGAATATTAAATCGCTATAGTGTGCACATCCAAAAATGGTTGATGTGTAAATAAATATTGTAACTTCTTTGACGAGCACAACACTATACTCAACAGATCTCGTCATTACCTCAGTATTCTGTTTCCTAGTTCCTAGCAATCAGTATAACAATGGTTAATCAGGGCTTTGGCAATTGGTTGCTTGGATGCTTTTACTGCGAGTAAAAAAGTACAGTATTGTATATGGCAATAAAGTCTATGTGCGCCGGATAATGTTTACACGTAAACAAATCTTCTAACAGTCACAAATAGGGGCTCTCCGATTCCAATTCTCAAGCTTATTTACAATGCAAGCTTAAACGTAAAATAACTGAAAACAGATAAAATGGTAAATGTGGGACGATTGCTTCTGGGGAGAAGTGATGACTGCAGTTTTAGAAATTAGTGTCTCAAGGCCTATACCTCCAAGTCTTCATTATTTAAAAACATTGGCTCAGCACAAGCCCAAAGGGCAACATTCAAAATGGCCAGCAACAAACAGAATGGTTAAAGTTGTAATATAACAAATTTTATACATTTCTTGAATCGAGCAAGGTTCTAAGAACTTGAGAAAAGAGACAGTGGGAGGGAATTTCAAAATCCAGACGTGCAAGGAAAGAAGTATAAAGATAATTGCTTTGACCTGCAGTGTGGTGGCTGAGCACTGTATGGATGAGACAAGTCAGTCTGATAGACTAGAGTCCTCAATATGGATGGAGGAATCAATGAGTGCAGTTCATGGGAGCAGTCACCTCCCAAGGCGCCAATGGGTGCAGTTAAACCGCTTCTGCTGTGACCAGGGAGTGTGGTGCTATGGGGCGTGCCACGTGACAGCCCTCGACTGTGTGAATGCGGGGAGCAGGAGACCGTGGGGCACCATCGTCCATGAACGTGAAGTGCGTCACGGTGTGCCGGGCGGACTGGTTGCTCTGCACGTGCTGGAGGAGGAGGCTCTGTGAACTAACGTCGACTCAAAGAACATTTTATTATTATTTATCTATTTATACATTTTGTAAATGTATCTGGTGTTTTGACTCTGGGAAGTTCGCGCGAAATAGCACTCGCTAAATAAATAAAATGGGAGCAGTAGCCACGGTAGTCATGAAGGGGGCGACTGACTGATCTCGCAACATTGCTACTTACATCCTGTGCAGGGTGATGTTAACAGTGTCTTTGTCGGACTGAGGCTCATGAACGACGTATTCTGGCCAGAGGAACTCCACAGTTCCATGGGGGTTGTCGTTGGCCGCCACGATGACCTGTGCCAGCGCCGGCATCCCAACCACACCACGGTTGGACGCGTTCAACAGTTCCACCAGAAAGACCTGCAGATCAAATGCGCAGATACATTTTGAGTGCTGATGTGTGCATTGTATTGCTGAACTCAATTTCGCACCGTACATAACCAATTGTTGCTAATCGTACGAAGCCAACCTTCATAGGAAAAAAAGTTCTTCATTATATTTATTTAAGTGCCTCATTTAGCCTTCATTAACCATACAACACTGCACAGTTGCAGCCATCTTGTCAATACATTGCTGGATGGGGGTATTTTCACGCCATGCAAGCCGTGGGGGTGAGCTCACACACTCCACCACGCTGGTCAGTGAAGTAGGCGAAGGCAGGGAGCATAGTGCAGTGCAACATCTGAGATTTCTGCACTGACCTCTGCAGGCAACATGGCTCCCCAATTGGCAACCTATCACACCCGTGTTAGGCACGGTTGACGAAATTAGCCTTTTGCTACGTATTTGAATTCATGCCCCTCTTAGGCAATACTAAATATTTTACAACAACAACAACAACAACAACAAAAAAACCTCGAAACCCAAGCAGCTTCACGAATTCCCAGCTCTCACCTCCTGTAATTCAGGGACGTCATCGGCGAGGACGTCTATCCGGATTGCGCGCTCCGTGTCTCCTGGCGGGAAGAGGATGGCGCCGGACGACCGCAGCAAGTCTTCGGAAGCCTCGACGCCCCCCAGCGTGGCCCTCCACGCGAGCGACACGCTTCCGACGGAACCGCCGGCTCGGAGGACAGCGAGGCTCACCGGCCGCGTGCCGAGCACCGGCTCCTCGACCAGCGCGAGTACGTCCCGCAGCACTGCGGCGGGCATCGAACCCAAAGCGAGCGGCGATTTCACAGCACCGTTGTGCACACGCTGCGGTCCACATTGTTTTCTGTTCAATTGCCCGAGGATTTACGTGGAGGAAGAGGATGGTACGCACTGCAGGACCTTTAAGTTATTTCCCGCATTGAAATTGAGCACTTGGTAATAAGGAGTGATGGACAAAAATTACACAGATTTTGATTTAAAGCTTTCGTGAATGCAGTAATTCACATTCTTAGTTCTTTCGGTAAAGTCACGTTGAAGGGAAACAACAAAATAATAAAATATATAAAGTCACGTTGAAGGGAAACAACAAAATAATAATATATATTTTATTATTTTGTTGTTTCCCTTCAACGTGACTTTACCGAAAGAACTAAGAATATGAATTACTGCATTCACGAAAGCTTTAAATCAAAATTTGTTGTTTCCCTTCAACGTGACTTTACCGAAAGAACTAAGAATATAAAAATGACATAGTACAAACATTGAAGTTCGCTGAATTAGAATAATATCCATTTTTGTGTTTACGAGCTAAGCCCCTTGCAATGTGTTTGTATGCATTCTATAAAGTAAAATGGCGTTGCATTGGCAGTGGTGTTACCATTATAGGACAACACCAGCCGGCGTGAAACAAGAAATTGCGGGGCCACACCTTTATCTTTAAAAAAAAAAAATCTTATACATGGAAGGAAACGCACTTACCGAAGTAGCCAAAGGGATCGTCTGACGGCTCAATGGTAACGGTAGCAGAGGACACAGCCCCGAGCCGGGCCCCACCCGTTATCTCATCGATCAGCTGGATAGTGAAGGTCTCCTCCAGCTCGGGGCTGATGTCACTGATTATGTAGACTGGAACTGCCTTATAGGTCTCGCCCTCGTGGAAAAGAACGTCAGAGGAACCCACAGTGAAGTCTTCCCCTGCAGTTTGGCGGACGGGGCACACGCGTGGCAGCTCATGTTTACAAATCTACCGCCGGTCTACTTACAGAAACGGTCCGCTGCACTTAAGTGCATCTGTAACGTCTGTATACCTGTGCTGTATCTATGCTGGCACGTGGTCGATTGGTCCATTTGAAATGAATGCACGGGACTTAACGTCTGTCCACCCAGCAGCATAAATGGGGACACCACCACATGTGGTGGGTTAAAGCGTTGGTACTCCCACCTATTTCAAGAGGTCTGGCCAGCGTGCAAGAGTAAGCAAAATACCCGAAAAAAGGCTCCTCTAAAACTCCCTCTACCGCTGGTCCTTGCGACAATAGTGGCATGGACCAGCATGCAATTACAGAGCCACACATTTACGATTGCCTTCATTTTCCAGCCTTGTGTCATTGTCCTTACCTATGCGTGCAGTGAACGGTATCGTCTTAAACTTGACTGTGATGTCTCCAAACAGCCCCCCCGTCCTGGTCACATTGATGAAGGAGCTGGACGAATCTTCAGACACGAGCACCTTGGCAGCGGAGAGCTGAAGCACTCCGTTGGCATCGTCATTGGCAGCGATGACGATCCGAGCCACGGTGTCTGCCAATGGCCCAAGCCGTGGAGGATCCACGACTGTGAAACATAGAACACACACCGATAGCTTACAGGGCCCTTGCCATGGTGCACACCGGCCCCGTGGCATTGCGGGCAGGGAGGGAGGGGGTCGCAACTATGTGGGTGGGGGTGGGGTATGCAGCAGCATATGCAATGCACAGGGGTCCACTCGGCCACAAGGGGATCCCAAATGAATAGGTTAAAAAAAAATGTTCCGAAAAATTATTCACGTTTTTTTTATTGATTAAACAATACCTGCAGTCTGCCATGGCCCAAGCCACTCATCTGGCTGTCATATCAATAAAGTATAACAATTGTGAGTATTGTACCTTTACATATTTTTATTAGCACTGTGAGACTGTCTTCCTCAACCCAATACACGGTGGAACTAAAATAATATATATAGTTATAGCCTACATATATAATTGTCTTCGGGTTAAAAACATCCGTTAGTATTTCAGTAAAAGTGAGTCAGGGGAATGGAGTGGGGCCCATAGTCGTATTGTTGCGTCCGTGGCAGGGGCGGAGGGTAATAATGCATTTAATACCAGAGAATTAAGTGATAGATGTAGCAGCCTCTCCTGTATGTACGTGTGCTGAACTTATTTCGCACCGTACGTAGCCAACCCGTATACATGGGGTGTGAGGGCTTCATCAGAATGCATGATAGACAAGAGCAGATCGTATCGCTAATTGTGGTTTGTGGTCAACATTTGTTCAAAGGTTGTCTAACATTGACTGTGCAATGCCCCTTCCCTGAGTTTCTGTATGCCGCCCTTTAAACAATATCACACTGCAGGGTTGATTCCCACTCCGTTTTACTGGTACAGCAGTGTTTGTGGTTATTAGCTTTGACATCAATTTTAAACAGGTAAAACAATCATTATTGTTAAAATAGCAATTCACTTATTAATAGTGCGTCAGAACTTGTACGAACATTATCGTTACCTTTGACGTCTCCCTTTAAAAGGCTCACGTTCAACAACCTCACGAGCAACGTTTCAGCCCTTTCTGGCTCATCATCGTTCACAATAGGTACGGAGAGAAAAGCCTCGCTCTGGTTTTCTTTAAATATAACACTTCCAACCGTTGCAAGGTAATCCCTTTGCTCATTTGCCAGAAAGGTGTGTGGAAGCATTTGGGACAAATATTCGTCGTCTTCAACGGTTGAGAATGTCACTAATACCTCGCCAGTAAGGCCTTGCGTTCGAACAATCGTAAGAGTTGCATTTCCCAATTCCTCCTGCACTATAGCCGAGTGGCTGTTCTTCGCGAAAATGAATATGCCATACGGGTCGTCGTTAGGAAAGACGGTTAACGTAGACGTGGCATCGGTTCCCAGTCGGCCGGCTGAAACATTCGCGAGAGTTATCGTGAAAGTCTCCTCCATCTCTGCAAATGCATCGTCTGCGATCTGAAGAGACACGTTTCCCACCATTTGACCAACATCGAATTCAACTTTGCCCGTCTGGGTCACAAGGTCGTGGTCAAAATCTGTATCGACTTTCCAGTAAATGGTCACTGTGCCAAGATTTCCACAAGACCGAGTGATCTGCAACAGATAAAATAAAACAATTGAGCAGCATATTAATGCAGAAATCTTCGTAATAACTTTAAATATTCGGTACTTAATTAGATATTTTTTTGAAAGGAAAAACAAGCTCGCTTTCCATGAGTAAAGAATGCTTGTACTTACGTGAAGTGTGACGAGGCTTTGTTCAGCATTTTCATTACCAAAGACGGACAATGATTCTGGTGCAAAGTTAAACACTCCGTAAGCGTTGTCAGAGGCATCGATTATAACCTCGATGCTCGAGCCACTGTCAAGATCAGCTGAACACAGATTGACGGATACATACATAACACACATGATTTTAGGTGAGAAACACATTTTTTTTTTATTGTGAATTTGTAGTTAGTACATTTTATTCACTTCAGAATGCTATGTTAACTGCCACACAAATTTTTTTTAGCCATTTTTATATTTATAAAAAAGTATATCAGACTCTCTCAAGTCTGTAAGCAACCAAATAAAACGTTTGTAAGTGAAGTCACTGGCTTACAAACAGTTTTCATGCAATTTTATAATGAGCTCAAGCGAGCGGTGACACTTTTGTTAGTGCACTTCAAATGAACCCAGTGGCCTGAGTTTGATTGCCAGCCCTGGCTAATGTTAGTGTTTAATGTATGTGTGTTGAACTTATTTAGCACCGTACATAGCCAACTAAGTTAATCGGAGGTGCGGGGGAAGGACAACAAACTAAACACAAAAAGCAATTTTAAAGAAATTAGTTTTGCATCTAAATTTAAAAGTTGCATTGCTCCAGTGACTTCCTAATATCGGAAGGAAAGAGCGCGATGCAGTGACTTTCTTCGTTCAATGGACAGCCAAAAGCCGCTGTGAGGATTTACCAGAGTCCACATGATGGTTTACGATCCTTGACGAGATCAGCAAGGTATCCTGGTTCATTTGTGGCAAGCACTTTGTGTGTAATGAGTGCGACCTTGTAACGTATTCGTTCGGAAACCAGAAGCCAAAGCAGCGGCGAGCACTGAATGGACATTGCCGGATCTGAACTGCTCCCGCCACCCTCCGCTACACCTTCACCCGCTTGAACCATTGAGTTGTAGCGTGTTCAAAGAATACCCGTGAACGGCCTCGTGTGGGCAGGTCTTCTTCATACAGCAGTGGAATTACAAAGGGCCGAAGCTCATTGTAATCTGATTTTATAATAAGCTTTCAAGTCATAAGCGGGCATGGTTTTTTTGGGGGGTTTTTAATTGCACAGTACGATGGCAATGTTAGGGACACATTCATGTCTGCAAATATACGCGACATACATTTCACAAGCTACCGATGTTCCTTTGGATTGTTCAAAGTGCAGTGACACTACGGTCGGTCATCGTGTAAAAGGTATTTTCTCACCCCAAGAATAGGAATTGTTAAAGACAAACAAACTCGAATCGGAGTCTCCATCTCCACTGCCACTGGCAGCCAAATCAAGAAGATCTTCCGTGTCTGCAAGAAAGTTTGCATGAGAACTGACGACAAATATAAATGCACATGCAAGCTGGGACATGACTCATGCAGAGCGATCCATCAAGAGTTGGGGGAGCTGAAACATATGTTCGTGCTCCCAACCCCCATATTGCCAAACATCTGCAGAGACAATATATGGGTATTTTCAAGAGCAATTTATCACTGCACTGAAAGTAACCCCCCCGGTACAGTTTAGATATGGTTGTCTCTTCATCCATAAAGTTTAATGGGAATACGTCACGCACATTCTCACGTGGCTGAAATTTCAAAGTGCTCATCGTAAGGGTCTGCAAGCGCTTCTGCTGCAGTTGAGAAAAAAAGTGTATTTTTAAGATTAGATAAGCCTGCTTTGAAAGTATGTATCACATATCCGTATTCATTATTGCATGACTAAAGTTATATATTTGGCTCCTTACACATGTCATCATTAAGCACTGCATTTTATCAGTAAATATTTCATCTTCATAGCCTAATGAACAGCCACCATGACCATATGCATTACAATTCCTGTTCCAGACCAATAAACCATAAGTAGATAATGAATTACACATTTGCCTTTGAACCGACTCAAAATGTAATCACCACGCGAAAGGCTTCCCACGTTGTGATAACATTGTCCTTGCACTCGAGCCAACAAACAAAAAGCAAATTGGAAAGCAATGGCTCGGTGGGAATGCTACGTCGCCACTACTCACCTCCCGTGGTGTGAGTGAGGAGCTGCACCAGGAAGGACTTTGGCAGCTCAGGGATGGAATTATCTCTGACCTCCACGCTGATGTTCTTGTATCTCTCGCCTTCGCGGAAATGCAGGCTACCCGAAGTCATCTGCACACGCGTGGCAAAGGCACTTTTTATGCTGCTGTGCTGGTGCAACAACGTCAATGCAGCATCACCGAAAAATGCGTGCGAGTGCAAACGTTGATTATACATCTTTTGTTTGAAACCCCGAGCCAGTAGTGGGAATTACATATTCCAATAGCAGCAACAAAACTATTCACAGGGCCACCAATTTTGTTGCAGTAAATGCATGTTGTGTAGCCGTTAGCATGCTGCGCTACAAATCCAGTGACCCGAGTTTGATTCCCGCTCACAGCCAACACCAGTGATAATTATATTATTTGAGCTGGTCCTCGGCCTCCCCTAGGTCGACTCAGCCTCAAATGAGTACCTGATGCGGTGTCTAAACATCGCCGCTGGGGAGACAAAGGCGGCCAGTCATGGTCTTGGCCACCCACCCCCTCGTGTGCCGTGCTGGTCTTCATAGGTGCTCGCTAACAGCACTTGCCCCAACAGACTGTTAAAGGCTATACAGGGGATCTTTTTATTTATCTTACCATTATGCAAACTAATGTGTTTTATAAAACAACACTGTATCAACAATTATCTTTATCGAGGAACACCTCAGTGAGGCTGAAGAATATTTTGAGCAGGGTCCTGCAATGGGATTCTTGGCCAATGAGTGAGGAATGTGGGAGAAAACTGGAGTACTCGGGAGGGGGGGGGGGAGAAAAACCTCACACATGGGGTAAAATCAATAAAAGCTCCACACCGATGAAGTAAAAAACATATTTCTGGACTGCCATCTGCTTCTCACCAATAATCCCCAGCCAGTCTCCTATTGTAGTGCAGTCCTGACCAGGCTCAAACCTGCTTAGCTTCCACGATGCAACAGGATTGGGTGCATTCAGGGTGATTTCAGTGCAGGCAACGCGAATATGACAGAGCCTTGCCACTGTCAATTACGGACATTAAGACAAACTGTTCTGTGGCGTTTCATTTCCATTACAGCGGAAAACCGGAAGGACGACGCTTCCCTTCACCTGACCTGGAAGTCACGGGGGCTGGTGGCTGTGAGTGGCACGGTGCGATACCCAGCGACGATATCCCCCAGGGAGCCCTGGGTCCGCACGACCAGCAGCTGGACACGGCCCACCTCCTCCTGAACAGTCACAACCGGCGCGGACTTCACGGGCTTGATCACAGGGTCGTGGTCACTCGGAGCAGACCCCAGAGAGAACTGGAGCAGACCTAAATGAAAGCAGAAAGATTGCATGGTCGTACGTTCTAAATTAAACTAAACTATTTTGTTCATTTATTTGTTTGTTTATGAGAAGCGACCTGGCCATGAATGACAGCTCAACGAAGTGGCTTATCACGTGGACATGTATAGCAGCCAAATACTATGAGCGCACTTTTCTAAATGTGCGTTTGAAGTATCGGCATCAGGATCGGACTGACGACGTGTATACCGGTCGAGGTAGTTAACATCTCCTAGCCACCGTGGCGTCCACTGCCTTTTCTATCATCAAATCTTCATTCTCTTAACTCGTTCTGCCATTGTCTCGTAGATAACAATTGTAATGTTTCAAGCGCTAAGATCACAGATAGCGGCACACACTGCTGCATAGGTTTACGCTAGTCGTACGGAATACCCGTGTATATATATATGTTGTGTTTAAATTTATAATAACGGTTACCTCAAGCGGTGCTATATTGATGTTGATGTATAGAGCTGTGTGATTAAACAGGGCGATCTTATTATGGATACCGCACTCAAATAAAATGGGGGAATTATAGAGAACAACATTTCATTTTATAACTTCTACACGTCTCACATCAATCTCATTACACTTATTACGTATTTTTACACTCTCCTCTGTAACATATGGATCCATTGCTTGCACAATATTAAATCGCCTGCTGATAAGAAATTACAGAGGTTCGTTAGATACCAGTGGAGGTTCTGTTAATGGATAATCCTGTATCATTTGTCAAGTGCATTCCTTTTCAGCAACGTTATTGAATAACTATCGAAATTCAAATGTATGACGGTTCATTAAAATACGCAGGAAGCAAAACATAAACGTTGATCGGCAAACAGCTTCAATCGACGTCGACAAGCAAATGTGCAGGCTGTACAGTATTGTCATCCTTTGAGCGAGAATCACACGGACACCACTGTTGAAAACTTAACGTCGGCCATCCAATGGCTGGGTCTGCTACCGGCCATACGAATGTGCAATTTCCACCGCTGGCTCAGGGCCTGCCGACTGAATTGAGTCCTGTGTGTCCCAAATGCTTGCATGTAGTATGGGGACACAGCTGACTTGACTTGAGAAGAGTGCCTGCGGCCAGCACCACGACTTGCGTACCGTGTGGGTGGTCACTGGCTTGGATTGCCACCAGCGCCCTGTCCTTGCTGCGATCGACGCTGGCCCCGCTGCTCGGACTTCTGCCTGCCTTCCCGTCTGCAGAGAGCGCGGCCACCAGCGCCACCTCAAAGTGTTCCATCAGCTCAGGTCGATCGTCATCGAGCACTTCCAAGGTCATCTCCTGCCGGAGTAAATGTAACGATACGAGCGCATTTAAAAACAATTATCTAGCTATCTGCTCGAGGAGACACATTCAGTTTGCTTGCATTATACTTTCTCGTTAAACGTGGAAAAGGGAATTTCCAGTTGACAAGAGGGTCATTTAAGCCTGGTCTATTGCTCTGTGTGGCACATTAGGAATGGACCACTCTTTTAATTCTTTCCTCGTGCAGCAAGGGAGTATAGTGTGGTTTGGTGAAAGTCCTTATGTGCTGTGCAGTACATCGATGCACGTGTCTACACTAGCATGCGATAACTGAGTTGGGCCTGTGGGTGGCTGGCAGGGTTATTGAGTAACCGGACTTGTACACCAGTCACGTGGTTAATGGCGACTCGGTTGAGGATTGCTGCGTGTGACACACGTGCTGTTCCATTTTACAGATTGACCACGATAAATGTGTTTGCCCTCGATTTGGAGCACCTGCCCACGTCCTTCATTTCGAGTGTGCAACATCCGTCCTGGTAAAAAAAAAATGGAGAAGAACCAAGAGACCACGATCTTCAAAGCTTGAATAGCCATCTGCCAACATATGTGGGTACAACATATGTACCCACACGGTCTAATGCGCTCCTCTCCATAAGACGGTGCTTACTAAGATTTTTGTTTACGAATCGTCTATTTTATTATTTCATTTGTAAACCGTTCTCGTTATTACGTCAAGCGCTCACCATAAACGTCTGCATCGGTTTGAATGTGATGGCTCCTTCGTGCACGTCGAAGTCATTTTCCGCATCGGTGCGTTGTGAGTCTGTCTGTGTGACGGTGAAGTTGACTTGAACGAAATCCAGGTCTCCCCGCGTCCGCTCCACAATGCACGATAGCTTTGAGCCCTCACTACAAACCTGAGTAACACACGAGAAACAGTGAAGAAATTAGAGCAGTGGTTCTTCACCTTCACTGCAGCCTGCACCCCTTGGATTCTCAGAAAGGGCATCTCGTACTCCCAGGGGGTGGATGCATGCACCCCAGGTTAAGAACCACTGAATTAGAGCAATAGGTACATTTTTATCCGGCTCCTCCGGTTTCCCCTCCGCATTTAGCCACTTCATTTGTGGCCAGGTTGCTTCTGAAAAAATAGCTATATAGCTCAATGGGCCTTACCTGGAAAAAAAATTGTTTAAAATACATTACCAAAGCTCATCATACCACTTCATGTAACGTTATTTGAAAACAGAAACGCTTGCAACTATTCCTTTGAAAATCAGTTACGCTCTTCAAGGGTTAACAAACCTGGTAAAAGAAAAAAAATATATAGTTTAATTTATTTAACTGCTAAATGATAACAATCTGGCACCAACGCATCCTATGGACAAGCGTGTCTAAAATCACAATCGTTAATGCACTGCATCGCATGAGTGCACCTGAACGTCGGTGAAAACTTCGTCCGACACCACCCAGGTACGTTTCACACGAGGAGCAATGCCTCGGTGTGTCCACTGGGCGGCGCGCCACTCATTTCTTTCGTCAGGATTTTATTTTTAACCTAAGGTCAAAGGTCACGGATAATTGCGAACACAGTAGCATAGATCTCTGGTTCCTCCCAATCAAAGATAAGCCCCCTTACTCGATCGTATGATGACAAACAACGTTGTCTGAAATATAAGGATGTGAAGTTAATAAGTAAACAACTACATGCATCACAGTATTGCTTTTATCCAATACGAATGTATTTTCAACGCAACATTTACTACATATATCCAAAATAGGTGACCCTTGTGTTTAAAGTGACTAACGAATGACAATTTAATGAGCATGTACGTTGGCCTGTAAACGTACTGTTGCAGGGTTGTTTGGGTGGTTTTTTTTGTTCCCCCTGAACATTTCCAATGGCGAAGGGGGGCACTTATTTAATTCCATCGCACGGCAGAGCCGTTGCTTACCTCCGGAATGCACGGCCCAGCAAAACCGAAGAGGCCGTTGGCAAAATCACTCTTCTCAATGACGATTTCGGCTTCGCTCCCAACAGGAGCCACCCTGGCCCCCCCTCTGACGTCGAAGAGCCTCAGGGTGTAGACCTCCTCACCCTCGGCGTGGTTGTCGTTGAGGGCCTCGACGATGAAGGATTTGTTGCCCTCGCCTTCCCAATACTCCAGGTACCCTGACACTGGGCTCAGGTCGTACTTGGCCGGCAAAGAATGCACCTCGTGGATTTCGGACGGCGAGAGTTTCCGGCCGTAGATGCGCAGGTCTTGCATGAGGCCGGTGTACGGCTCATAGCCGCCAATCGCTGCGCCGACCACCAGCACGCCAGGGCCATCCGTGGCGGCGCCATTCGCCAAGTTGCTGCTACCCCCTCGTTTGAGAGTGCCGTCTAAATAAAAGTTGCATGCGCCCGCCTCGAAACCCACAACGAGGTGGTGCCACTCTCCATCTTCCACTTGTTTGTTGAAAACCGCGGTCTCATTTTGGGTGATGTCCCCATGCCAGTAGCTGAACTCAATAGAAGAAGCGTCCATGCCTGTCGTGATTTTGAGGCTGTAGTAAAACAGTGAACTGTTGAAATGTTTGGCCACAATATATCCTTTAGTGTTTGGATCTGGAATGAGCCACACAGATATTGTGAAGCTTGCATTGGTGATGACGGGCTGGTGACTAAGCGGGACGATTCCAAATGCATAATCGTCGCCAGAGAAGTATAAGGCGTCAGTGCCTGTGTGGGGCCTCCTCGCCTCGGGCCTGAGCTGAACCTCGCTTGGAAATGTTGCCAGCAGGATGAGGTCCTTGGAAGTGGGAATCGTCTCCGCAGCAGACTTAGACAAAACCTCCCACGCCACCCTCACATCTCCGTGCAAGCCTTGCCTCCTCATTACAGTGAAGCTGGCAACGTTTGTGACATCATCAGGGGATAGCAGGTCTTCTGAAATTTCTTGGTAATGACTCTCTGAGGCGATTGAGAAAATCCCGCGTGGGTCGTCATTTTCGGGGATTGTAACATTAATTAAGATGCCAGACCTTGCCAAGTGTCCACCAGGCCCTGGGAAGCCACCTTAATGGGAAATAAAAATTGACTATTACAATAACATACTCCATGTGCATTTAGAGAATACTACTTTCCAATATATCAATTGAAAGGTCTTTTTAACATACAGGATATATAATTTTCCACAACTTACAATGAAAAAAATGCAATTATATATTGTGTTACATTTCAAAACAATACAAAATTAAGAACAAAACAAAAAAAAGTGCAACTAATTTCTTTATATTTAATGTTCAACATTAAAAAATGACACCTATTTTAAGATGAAGCCCATTTAAGCAGAACTTAATTCTGTCTTGAGTTTGTATACAATATTTGCTTAATTGTGTTGAACAGGGCCCCATGGTTTAGATGGAATAGTGTTGCCATTAACATGTCCTCACCCAGAACCATTTGTTTAACCAGCTTGACTGGTGGTGAGACGCATCCAGAGTTTGCTTGTTTAAACAAATGCTACCAGATAACGTTGGTCTGGAGAATCGAATATTGGCTGATGGGACTAAAAATTGTTTTCTTATGAATGTGGAGTCATGAACCGGGCTTCCGCTGACACCTACAGTGAGAGAAAAAAGTATTTGATCTCCTGCTGATTTTGTACGTTTGCCCACTGACAAATAAATGATCAGTCTATAATTTTAATGGTAGGTATATTTGAACAGTGAGAGACAGAATAACAACAACAAAATCCGGAAAAACGCATGTCAAAAATGTTATAAATTGATTTGTATTTTAATGAGGGAAATAAGTAGTTGACCCCCTCTCAATCAGAAAAAAATCTGGCTCCCAGGTGCCTTTTATACAGGTAACGAGCTGAGATTAGGAGCACACTCTTAAAGGGAGTGCTCATAATCTCAGCTCGTTACCTGTATAAAAGACACCTGTCCACAGAAGCAATCAATCAATCAGATTCCAAACTCTCCACCATGACCAAGACCAAAGAGCTCTCCAAGGATGTCAGGGACAAGATTGTAAACCTACACAAGGCTGGAATGGGCTACAAGACCATTGCCAAGCAGCTTGGTGAGGTGACAACAGTTGGTGCGATTATTCGCAAATGGAAGAAACACAAAAGAAATATCAAATCTCCCTCGGCCTGGGGATCCATGCAAGAGCTCACCTCGTGGAGTTGCAATGATCATGAGAATGGTGAGGAATCAGCCCGGAACTACACGGGAGGATCTTGTCAATGATCTCAAGGCAGCTGGGACCATAGTCACCAAGAAAACAATTGGTAACACACTACGCCGTGAAGGACTGAAATCCTGCAGTGCCCGCAAGGTCCCCCTGCTCAAGAAAGCACATATACATGCCCGTCTGAAGTTTGCCAATGAACATCTGAATGATTCAGAGGACAACTGGGTGAAAGTGTTGTGGTCAGATGAGACCAAAATGGAGCTCTTTGGCATCAACTCAACTCGCCGTGTTTGGAGGAGGAAGAATGCTGCCTATGACCTCAAGAACACCATCCCCGCCGTCAAACATCGAGGTGGAAACATTATGCTTTGGGGGTGTTTTTTCTGCTAAGGGGACAGGACAACTTCACCGCATCAAAGGGACGATGGACGGGGCCATGTACCGTCAAATCTTGGGTGAGAACCTCCTTCCCTCAGCCAGGGCATTGAAAATGGGTCGTGGATGGGTATTCCAGTATTACAATGACCCAAAACACACGGCCAAGGCAACAAAGGAGTGGCTCAAGAAGAAGCACATTAAGGTCCTGGAGTGGCCTAGCCAGTCTCCAGACCTTAATCCCATAGAAAATCTGTGGAGGGAGCTGAAGGTTCGAGTTGCCAAACGTCAGCCTCGAAACCTTAATGACTTGGAGAAGATCTGCAAAGAGGAGTGGTGGCCAACTACAAGAAACGTCTGACCTCTGTGATTGCCAACAAGGGTTTTGCCACCAAGTACTAAGTCATGTTTTGCAGAGGGGTCAAAAACTTCTTCCCCTCATTAAAATGCAAATCAATTTATAATATTTTTACATGCGTTTTTCTGGGTTTTTTTTGTTGTTATTCCATCTCTCATTGTTCAAATAAACCTACCATTAAAATTATAGACTGATCATTTCTTTGTCAGTGGGCAAACGTACAAAATCAGCAGGGGATCAAATACTTTTTTTCCCTCACCGTACTAGCTCAGCTCAACGCTTTGCACACAGAAACGAGCATCCATTACTTGAGACAGAGGTGAGTTTTAAGGTGTAGGTCTCGTCAAACTCGGGGACGTTGTCCACATTAGCAGTGATCACCACGGAGTGATCCCTCTGGCCAGCAAGAAACACCACAGTCCCCCTGCTGTCTTTGAACTCCTCTCCAGCAAGCGGCGTTGCGTTGCCATTGAACAGCTGCCAGGAGACAGCCACCAGCCCAAACAACCCACGCTCCCTGACGATACTGCAAAGGCATTTCAGACGCAACGCGTGTTATTGCTGTGCAGGAGTATCAGACATGCCGAACCAGTGCACGTGCATACTTGGATAGGATATTATACCTTTAATTGTAAGGAGAGGCACTTTAAAAAAAAAACAATGCTGCATACATCTAGAGGGATCCACTAGAGCCTCTTCCACCAGCAGTGGTGCAAAAACAATTGTAAGGTTACACACCTTAAAATTGCTGTGCTGCCTTCCTCAATGTTGATCTCGTGTGGTTCGTTAAAAGAAAACAATCCATTAGGATCATCGTTGGCTTCAATTATGAGCGTGGCTGTTGATGACCCATGAAGAACAACATCGCCTGGAGGTAGTTTGAAAGGAAAAAAGTCACGTGTGATATATCCAACATAAATCGCTACATCAGCAAATAAGAAATACTTTGGGTAGTGACTTCATTAATGCACGTGAGAGTAATAAAAAGAAAAATAAAGGAGGTTGCGATTTAGGTTATATGCATTTCATCATCAGGATCCATAGGCAGATAGCCTGTAGTTGTCCACTACACATTTCGTCATTTGTTTCCACTTTCCTCTGTCTTGTGGCAATAGGCTCAGGAAGTGCACATCGTCCTGGCACCAATCTCTTTTAAGTCATCAAACCATTCTCCGTTAGGTCTCCCTCTCTTTCCGGTTCCACGCATTTTTATGCACAACATAAAATGTTCCTGTTGTTGTCCATCTTACATCAGCAACCACGCGTTTAAATAAGACGATGTAATTACGAACAGCGACACGTCCATGGTACCTGTTGGGTCGAAGAGGACAACGCAAAACGATTCCTCAACCTCCGGGAGCTCATCGTCGACGGTCGAAATGTAAATCGAGGCTTCCGTCTGCCCTTGAGCAAAGTGCAGCACGTCTAGCCCTTCGACCACTGGGACAAAATCCCCATCCTCGGCGCTCGCCAGCCCAGGTTGGGTCCTGAACCTGACGGTGGCCGCGCTCTCCCTGGCACCGTCGCGCCGCACGGCAATAACCGCTACGGAGCCCTCGGACACCCGCAGGACGGCGGGTTCTGTGAGTGCAGGCAGTGCGATTGAAACACGTCACTTGAGAAGGTGTGCCTCTTCACGTTGGACTTAAGACGTGCAAATAGCGTGATGTAATTGGGGTATAGTGCTCCCATGGACAACGCAGTGGTTTTAAGTTGATTCAAACCATACATTGATGTGCGTATGTTAGCTCAATGTATGTATGTATTTTAACTTCTTTTGCACCGTACGTAGCCAACTGTGCTCATCGGAGGTGCGGGGGAAGGACAACACGCTAAACACAAGAACACTTTCCGTCTAAAGTTGAAAGGGTCAAAGCGTCTGTCCGTTTGTCTGTAGCTAGCGGTGACGATAAATCTCGTACCAATGATTCAATAAAAATTAAATGCTTCTATAAACCCGTGTTGCTGTTAGAGGCTTACTCTGTTTCAAAACTGGCCAAATTGATCAGTGTTGGCCAAAACTTAGAAGTAGATTAAGCCTTTTCGGCCACGGTGATGATGTCACAAGCCATATGTGCCTCATTACATCATTGCATGTGGCGTCATCTGTTTGCACAGATCAGAATGTCTATCATCGCTAATTAATTACGAAGCCAAATTTGTCCTGGAAAGTACAATAACATCCATGCACACACACGTGCTTTTTCTTAATTGTTATTCGCTAAGTGCTCCTTTTTTATGTATGTTTGTTAAAAACAAATGTGTATAGTTAATCTGACATTTAGGGGGTTATTTACCATTTAAACATGTTGCCCCATATTGTGGTGTCCAATATTTAACTGAATAGGTGGCACAACTGCAGCTATGTTTTCAAATATTGTACCAGTATATATTGATCACCACGTGCGTTTATCAAATACCAATACATGAAAACACTTACATTATACTTGTAATTCATTCATGTGTGGGGGTCTTTTAATTGATCAAACAACAAACTAACCTCATGCCGCACTTCAGTCTGTTTTTCATTTATACACAATTCACACTGCAATTTACACAAAACCTGTACTATCATTTCGCACATCTGCTTAGCATGGTTGGCTACGTACGATGCGAGAGACGTTCAACAGACACACTTACAATAACTTGTGCTAACAGTGAAGTTGCTCACTGGGAATCCGCACAGCAACCATTACCCCCTACTGTGAAAGGTAAGCAGAATTCTGCTGAAAAAGAGTTATGTGACTCAGTGAGGCTACTTTCCTGGGTAAACAAGCATGTTCAATAACGCCGAGCTGCAGTGAATGCAAGGTGGCATGGCCTGATGAGAATAATCAATGGCAGGCGCGGTTTTGTTTATTGCAGGTTGGGCCCTTTGCAAAACTAATGAGTGGGACTCCATCCTCCTTACAATCAATGCTTTCATTATGCTCGGTCTGCAACGCAGTGTACGCACAACCTTTAAAATATATTGGACCGTCATTGCTGCCGATCGTCAGAATGGCAGCTGCTGGGCTCCCAATGGAGGCTCCTCCGGTGGTGTCACTTAGCGTGATGGTGAAGTTCTCATTATCTTCTGGTATCTGGAATGCAATAATACAACAAGCCTTTTTTTCATATACAACTATGACAATGTCTACGCAAGCAAATAAAATCAATTAAACCTATTTGCGTGCAGTTTTTTGTTTTTTTTGTTCAAGCAGCTTAGGCACAGTAAAGTTAACATCGTTTAATGCAGACGATTGCCTCGTGACATCACCTCGTCTGGCAGGGACTGCACAGTGATGTTCTGCTCTGCCTCTTGGTCACCAAAGAGCAGAGTCCCCTTGACTGGAGAGACATCCCGTGTGCCCCCAGGCGTGACTACCCACGAGACAGAAGCGGCACCAAACCTGCCTCTGTGCCTCTCCACAGAGAACTGAGCTGTGTGGCAACAAGACAGTGAGGACAGAGGAATCGGACAAGACATTCCGGGTCGACACCATCAACATCACCATGACCAGCAGCCATGGTAAATCCACTGCCCAAAACCTCCAATCAGCACGGTTGGCTAAGTACGGTGCGAAAGAAGTTCAACATACATGCACAAGACGCCACCATTTATTGCGAGGTTTCACATCAAGTGTCCTGAATTGAATTTTGATTTAAAGCTTTCGTGACTGCAGTAATTCATATTATTAGTTCTTTCGGTAAAGTCACGTTGAAGGGAAACAACAAAATAATAATATATATATAAAACAATAAAAATTCTCACGACGTTTCGACCATAACACAAACGGTCGTCTTCAGGTGTGTTGAAGACGACCGTTTGTGTTATGGTCAAAACGTCGTGAGAATTTTTATTGTTTTATATATATTTTATTATTTTGTTGTTTCCCTTCAACGTGACTTTACCGAAAGAACTAAGAATATGGCCTGAATTGATTAATGCATTTTATAGCAATGACGATGGTGACAATTATGATAACGACGATCACTAACAGATTACAAATGTTATCGCACTTAAAGGGGAACGTTATGTCGCATGCTCTCGCATTGATAAACCTCTCACCACGCATGCTGTCAATGCAGTTAGCAAATGGAAATTGCTGCTATGACATCGTAAGAGATCAGTACCCCTCCAGCATGGTATCGTCTGATGCCCTACTTTACCTGCTATTTCCCATGATGCTAACCCACTACGGTACTCAGAGAAGGAAAGCTGTATTGTATTACACGTGCAACTGAACACCATTGATGAATAAAACAGCACACTAGCAAATACCGACGAAAGCAAATGTAACGGTTAAACGTAATGCATCGCGGGCGTGCCGGTCGCCCTTTTGATGAGGCTATACCTGTGTGGTTGTTCAGCCCTTTGCTCTCAAGGACTCGCTGCTGGAGGTGGGAGCTCCGGATGACGAACACACCGTGGGGGTCATCGTTCTTCAGCACTGTGATGTTCAACGAATCCTTGTCTCCCACCTTACACGCACTTCCATTTAAACTGCTCAGCTGCAGCAAATATGTTTCATCTAGCTGTTCATAAAAAAATGTAAATATTAAATATATTAAAACAATGCACACCTTCCCGCCCCCCCCCCCCCCCCCCCAAATAATGCTGTAATTGTGTCTATAGCACAATGTTTGATCACTTTCCTTAGTTGCTTTCAAACTACCCTCTCACGGGTCTCAATCTGGTCACGTGTTCTATGCCAATCAGCCATTCATCACAATCACGTAATTAAATGTAAATGGTAGAGGTATGGTTATAGTAAACATCTTGGCTGGATTGTTGGCCCGAAGAACGGTGCTTGACAAACATCTGTTTTTTTTTAATAGTTGTTGCAGGATGGTTGGAGTCATGCTAATTCCCGACACGATGAATTATCGTGGCAGTTAACACTTGTATTGCAGCACCTTGGCGGTGGAGTTTGTGAACTGTGAGAATGCCATGGAATATGATACAACCGATGTCCAGGGCTTTGTTGAGGTGTCCAGATAGGGCCTTACTGAGCTATATAGCTCTTTTCAGAAGCAATCTGGCCATAAATGATAGCTCAATCCAGTGGCTTATCATGTGGACATTATTAACAGCCGAATAATCTAAATGCATGTTTATGAATGTGGAGGGGAAAACCGGAGAACCCAGAGAAAAAATTCACACGGCCACGAGGAGAACATGTAAACTCCAAATATACTGGGGTCAGGGCCGGAATCTAACCAACAACCTGCTGCATACCAGGAGAGGTAGTTAACATCTCTCCACCACGGTGCCCCTCAATAGCGCATCGATCAAAATCCCGAGAAAGTTTCTGCTGAAAATAAACGTTGACACTGAGTGACCTGGGTAAATAAAATAGTAATAGAAATGTTATTGATCTTTTGAAGATATGTATGCATATATAAACCATAAGAACAAACATATTTTACATAAGAGCAGCATCTGCTCCAGGATTTCCCACCTCGGGGATGCCGTCTGCTTGTGGGACCAGGGAAAGCTCCTTCTCCGTGTCTCCTGGAGAAAAATCTAAAATTCCATTGCTGCCCATGAACTGGAGGCTGCCCTCTGGTACCACGTGGTACCGCAGTAGGCAGGGCAGCAGGCTGCCTCCATGCCGGACAACACGCACAGCAACCATACTGGATGGGCTCTCCTGGGGGTAGATAAATGATACAATCATTAATATTACGTAAATATAAGTATTGTGTGATTACAAACATACAGATAGAAGCTGAAAGGGCATTGATTTCTTGAACCATTTTTAGTTTTGAATTAAAAAAAGTCATTATTTGTCATTCCACTCCTCGATAAAAGCCTTGCCGTGGCGGGTCGCTCACGGGGTTGTTTAACATTACTTCACCATGCTGGAACCGGCCCAGTACCAGTTCAGATATCCTTTGCCACTGATGTTAGCCACAGCTGGGAATTCAACTCAGGTTGCAAGGTTCAGAGCATAGCGTGCTGACTGTTGCACTTCACCCCATCTTTAATAGCATTGCTTCAAGGAGGAACCAAAGGAACCAGGTTTGAAGAAATACATCATCAGCAATGCTGTCATGGGTCACTCTTCCAACAAACGTACACCAACAATGTCTGTAAAGTGCAATGGCTCGTTACATTACCTTAACAAAGACATGTCCTTGAGTGAATGGAGATATCTCAAATGTTCCTCCCGGATCATCATTCTGCAGAATGACTATTTCTCGACTGGTGAAACCGGACTTAAGTATCTGGTTGTCTGGTTCTGCTCTGTGACAAAGAATGAGTCAAAAAGTGTTAGTATTTAACAGAAAGCATTCAACACTATTTAATATCGAGGGTTGAAAGACTGACCATACTACAGTGATTGTCTGTCATTTATGTAGATGTAAATACGTTTTAAGTTGGAAAACTTTGCTTAGGAGACATAAACATGGGGTAAACATATTCTTAGTTTTTTCGGTAAAGTCACGTTGAAGAGAAACAACAAAATAACAAAATATATATAAAACAATAAAAAATTCTCTCGACGTTTCTACCATAACTAAAACGGTCATCATCAGGTGTGTCGGTTTGCACAATTTATGCAAACCGACACACCTGATGATGACCGTTTGAGTTATGGTCGAAACGTCGTGAGAATTTTTTTATTGTTTTATATATATTTTATTATTTTGTTGTTTCTCTTCAACGTGACTTTACCGAAAAAACTAAGAATATGAATTACTGCAGTCACGAAAGCTTTAAATCAAAATGGGGTAAACATTTAATTTAAGAGGTTATTATTGTTAAAAGTAAAGCAAACAAATCAAAACACGCATTAATACAACAAAGTAATACATTAAATGTGTCCACATGTCAGGCAATAGCACAGCAATCACTATATTAATTCATTGCTGTCACAGACCTCATTTTACATGGCGGTACAAAAAGCACAAATATGTTCTTGTACCACTGCTAGGTCTTTGTTTCTCAAAGTTATTCCCATTTCTCATGTGTTGTGCATGAACCATAGCGAAGTTTGCGTCAACTAAAAGCCCATTTACCACAGAACCATAGTGTGGAACAATATGCCTTTACATGGCCACCATGCATGGCAGAAGGAGAAATGGGTAGGTTTGGGGCCATGACATGCAATTCTGCACGCATGCGGTTGTGTACAAATTGCTATAGCAATAATGATTCGTCACTTTGGCAAGCCATATGCTTTGGGCTTTTGCACGGCATGAGGGCTGGAACTTGAAAATCATCACATACGAACTTGCAGTGTAATATACACAGCAAATACTTTCATAACGCTTTGCATGATCAAAGAAAACAAAGCGAAGATTGTTTTTTTGTTTCCTTGGCACAAGGGTACAATTTAATGTCAGCGCATATGCATTATGTTACGGAATGCTAATTATGGCTTGTGATCAATATGCATCAGAAGGATAGCCTGGCAGGGTGGCTGGAAGATTAACATTGCAGGGAATCTGGGGCATTGGGGGATGCCAGTTTTGTTATAAATGCACAGCATTGGGCCAGACCTGCTGTTATCTTGAATAAGGAACTGACAGATCCCTCAGGGTCCCAGCTAAAAGGGTAAAGGGCCATCTGGAGAGAGCAAAGTGCATTCATACATTTATTTCTTATAGTAAAGACTGCAGAGCACAATTTTGACCCATCTGAATATACAATTATCAGACACTTTTTACACATTTTGCTGCTCTCCATAAAATGGGATTTGCTAAACAATTTTACAAGCGACGATGTCCAACATTTACTTTATGCTGCATGGCAGTGCATGCAGCATTAAACAAATGACACAACAAAGGCTCCACTGAAGGCTTACAATTAAAAAAGGACATCTAAATGTGCAACAAAAACACAAGTTTACAGCGAGTTGTCGAAAACTATAAAGCCACTTCATCAAAGTCTTGCCACACTGAATAACGAGGCGGAATTTACCACTTACCCGTAATAGACTAAAAACCTCTCTGTCTCTACCCTGAAAAAAGAAAGAGAGCGGCATGCAGCGCGTGAAGAGGAAAGATGTGGTATGGGTATGGCATAGATCCTGGCCTGGAAAGCAAATTCAAGGGGGGTGGGATTGCGGGGTGCTCCTTGGGCATGACTGTGGGAACAGGTCTCCTGAATTCTGAGGCCAGCTGGAAACCACAGCTGCCAAGCCACAGCCGCTATTCACTCTCAATAGGCACACTTAGCTGGTGACAAGTCAAAGGAGTGGGCCTGGCGAAACGAACTCAAAAAGCTGCTTACAAATGTCCCTTTTCTAAGCCTCCCTTCCTCCCTCTTCCGTTTTTTGTATTCTTCCATTTACAGGACTTGCTTGTAGCGACAGGGAATTTTGAACTAATTAAAATAGACTCATTTAAATTCTGTGCCTCTTTTCAGAATAATAAAAAGGTTCATAGCAATAAAAAAATTGTAAAACATTAGCAATAGCCATTTTCTTGTTTGTAAACATTTTGGCATCATCTGTATGTGTTTACAAAATACAAAATTTCGAATTGGGATTTTAAAGAGAAAGAACACTGATGTTCTAAAACAAACATGGATAATTATTACGGGGAAAATATAATTCAACTAGAATATGCAAAAAATGTATGTAGCAGCATGGATAATGTTAATCAATGTTTCTTATCGCGTATACAATACCACTGACCTGTTCAGAGTTAAGCGGACAATCTCATCCATTTCTGGCATGTCGTCAGGCCAGATGGTCAGGTTTATAGCCGATGTGCCTTGGCCACTTGTGAATGTCACCGAACCCTCAAGAGGGCCGATGTCAGAGAGTGAAACGTACTGCTGATTTGGTCCAACCGGGGTTAAACTCCAGAAGACAGCTGCATGCTCATCAGAGCCTTCCCTCTGCAAAGGGATGGTTATCTGGGACAGGCAAAATGTTAAATTTGCATCTCACCAAATTCCACTTTCATACAACTTCATAAAAAATATATAAGTGCAATAATGAGGGCCGTATTGGCAGGTGTAGTCAAATATACTGGCAGTCCAGTATTTAAACGGAGAACATAATTTATGATTCCTAACAAATATGGGTCAAAATATCATGCATATGTTTGCTTGGTTATTTGAAAATGCTTAGAATTCTTTCAATTCACGTTCAATAAAGTAACTGAATATCACCTGCACTGGTGCACCATCCTCTGGCTCTGAGACAAACAAAGTCTGGTTGGTGTTCAGCCCAATCTCCTCATTGGCAACATGTAGAGGAATAGGCAGAAAAACACTCCGGTAGTTTCCAATTCGCGGACTCAGTGGTGGTACCAATGGTACCATATCAGCTAACTCTGCCTTCTCAAGCTGTAAAACAAACGAAGACATAGTTTTAATTTGGATTTGTGTGCACTCCACGGCTGGTAAATGTTTGAAATAAAGTATTACGCTAGTTAGCACATTTATATTAAACGGATATATAAAACTACATTTCATATCATGAGTGAAATAGCTGCTTTGTAAACATTTCATTCGTGTAACTATAGATCAGTGACATGAACAATTAATTGGCTTCTAACCTTAATGTACAAATGGGCACCGCTCTGCAGGAAGGCGTCGCTGCGGATGAGAGCAGTGAAGTTCACAGCAGAGCTTTCGGATGGCATGAGGGCACCGCCACTGAAGCCATCACCGCCACCGCCGCCGTCCGTGGCATTGAAAACGTCGCGCCTGCCCATGGAGGGCTCCAGGACTCCCGGGGGCAGGTAGCGAAGCGTGTAAGACACCCTGACCGCCCCGCGTGTCCCCCCCTGCCGGGTCAAGCCCAGGGTGAGGCGTCTCCCCTCGGCAGAGCCCTCGATGCTGTGCTCGTAAGCGGGCTGCAGCTCCACAACCCCGTAGACGTCATCGCTGTCCCGCAGGAAAAACGCCACCTGCAAAGCGGGATGCAATTCTGTTTATGTTTTGTGGCACGGTTTTTTTGTAAAGCTGTTGCTGCTGCTGTGGTCATTGCAAATCTTTATATCTCTTCCAAAGAGTGGTCCTTGCAAAAGGGGGTAGATGAGATGCAAATAGCCATGGCAATGTATAGAATGAGTGTGCAATTCTCAAACAAAAATTTGAATGTTTAATGATGTGGGTTATGGCTAGTTAATCAATTTGACAAAGGTACCTGTCAACTTGCCTGAAAATAGATGCCTGATACTGTCCTAGGAACACACTGTCATGGGTATCTTGGTTCAAACTAGGGAATTTAAACTCAGAGACAGGCATATTACCTTCTCAGTCATTGGTTAATGCCACACTTTGCAAAGGTGCTGAAGATAATGCAGTATATAACTCAATACAGAATTATACTGTGCCGTTACAAATCATAAATGATACTGCAACCAGCAGTCTCAATGGGTATACCACAGTTAGTTGATCGGCAGTTGATGTGTGGTGGGATAGAGTATTGGTACTCTCGTGTCTTCCAAGACATCTGGCAAGTGTGGAAGAGTCACCCAAATATCCTCGAGAGAGGCGTTCTAGAGCTTCCTCGAGTGGAGCTCCTTCAGCAGTACGTGCAATGAGCAGGCATTTTTACAGGACCGCACCTATACCTCATTTGCAACAAGGAGTTTACTTGCACATATACTAAAGAAGCCAGCATGTAGGTAACCAATGTTAACTTTGGGAGAGGGTTACTCTGCACCTGGAATGGGTCCGTTAGCTCTGCCCCTCCCTGGGCAGTCCCGTTGATCATTTCAAAGATGAATTTCTCTGCCTCCTCCGCCTCTACATCTTGCACCACCTGCAGACTCACGGCCACAGCCCTCTCCCCATCAGCGAACTGCAGCACTCCAGAAGTTGGGGATAGGTCAGCGGTGACTGGAGAAGGGTCTTCACCACCCCGTGTGATTCTCCACCCAACAGACACCGCGCCGTATGTTCCGCCTGTGCGTACCACAAAAATGACCTCCATCCTGTGCCAAAAGAAAAAAAAATACCATTTACATATGACAGTGACGAATCAGTGGATGCCAACAGTGGTGGCTGTAGGTGGCATGACCGTGAATTTTGGAAGGTTACCAAATTCTTTCTTTTTTCATACCTTCCCGTGACAAAAAAAAACACAAATTCTTACCGTATCAAATCTACGCTCAGTGCTTTGGTTTTATATAAATATATTCGTATCATTTTATCATCATTATTGTTACCTTGGGGTTGTATCTTCGTTTATAAGGAGTGGTTGCGTAATCAGACTGTTGTTAATGCTTAGAACTCCATATGGTTTGTCATTCGCTTCAATTGTGACGTGCAATACATGCGGTTCGGTCAACACTGCATCGCCCTCAATTCTGTCTTCTTGGAGAACCACGCTGAAGGTCTCCTTAATCTCCGGGGTAGTGTCATCCACAATAAGAAAGTACAGCTTTGCTTCTTTCGCCCCAGGTGCAAAGGTGACGGTCCTGTTTGCTTGCAAATCCAAAAAGTCCACATCTAAGATGGCAGCTGAAGACCCGTCAGAAATTATCTGGTAGTTGATTGTCACAATTCCATCGTCCAGGCCTGCAAAAGCACCAACTTCATCTGTTCCCCGAATAACGGAGACGCTAATCTCTCCCACTGACTCTAGCACTGAGATCTCACTGAGCGAAAAACGCACAGGGCTGTCATTTTTGCTGATGATGAGACGGACAACGTTCTTGGTCTCATCAACCGAGGCGCCTCCATCACAGGCCACAAGCCTGATATCAAATTCCTCTTCAATTTCAGGGATCTGTGCAAGAGATTTGTGGTGGACATGTGAAAATTATTATGGATTATTTATATTCAAGATCTCCAAAGTATATGTTTCTTTTTGGCTTTGTGTAACATTAATACTGTGATAAAATAAACCTCACTCCTTGTTACGCATATTTATATTGCATAAAACCCATAAATAAAATTACCACAGCAAGTCAAAAATACAATTTTTGTTGGACAAAATGTGTGCTTATATAATGACCATTTACTCCATGTGTGTATGATTTATAACAACATACGAAAAATACGGTCTGCTTTCCTTTCAAAGATGCAGTACAATGACCTTAATGCTCACCTGGTCATCCAATATGTAAATGTTATAAACAACCGTAGATTGTCCTGGTAAAAATGTAATCTTTCCTTTTGTTGGGTACACATCTCCCTCTGCATTATTGGTTTCATTCCCAACCTGCAACATAAATCAATGTTATAATAAAACACTGCTTTATAGAACTCTATTACAACATTCTCATATTAAGCAGGGGGAGTGGAATTATGCAAAGCCATAGATGAATTTGCTAATGCGACGAATGTGTACTATATGCCTTGACGTGGATCAGAAGCATGGAAATTAACGACAAAAACAGGAAAATTAACAAATAATGGCAAGTGTATGCTAAAAGCACGCTACAAAGAAGCGTGGAGAGGCTCATACCTGGATTTGCAATTAAATAAAGAACACAGGCAGGTTATAGATATAATATGGACTGTTAAGAAAAGTGGACTGATATTCTTTGGGTCTCTCGGTAAAGTCACCTAGATAGGTTCAAAGAAAATAACAAAAAACTACGACGTTTCGATCACAACACAGGCGATCGCCATCAGGAGGAAAGACGCATCACAAGAGATCGCTTGTGTTGTGATCGAAGCGTCGTAGTTTTTTTGTCATTTTCTTTGAACCATCTACGTGACTTTACCGAAAGACCCAAAGAATATGAATTCCTGCAGTCACGAAAGCTTTAAGTCAAGATTTAAGTGGTCTGAGACAAGATGCATCTATAAACAGGGATCATGGCTGTCGGTTGAGACTAATTCTGGAGTTCCAGCCAAGGGAGGGAACACACAAAAGAGGACGTCCGTCGCAGAGAAGGAGCGGTTAAAATCAACTTGTGTGTAGGTGCTGGGAGGAATTTAACATCACAGGACCCTGGGGAATGGTGGCAAGCTTTGGGAAAACTTAAATCAGCGGTAGAATGATCATGGTTGATGATTATGATGCTAATTTTAACGTTATTTTCTGGGTCGTACAAGATGATGTCACATGGTGGATGACGTGTGACATCATTGCCTTGGCCGAATAAGGCTTTTTTATTTTCGCGCTGGGTTTATTTTGCCGAATTTAAGGTAACCACTTGATAATTTTTTATGCTATTCAATACGGTACGTCCATAATAGCAATACAACTTCATCCAAACCTTCAGTTAACATTGAATCATCTTTGCGTGAGTTATTGTGACCCCAGGTTACTGACAGATGGACATACATTCAGACAAACACACGAAGAGATGGACAGAGCTGATGCATGGATGCTTTCAACCTAAGTTGGAAAGTAATAAAGTATTAAAGCTTTCGTGACTGCATAAAATTACCGAAAAAAAACAATGAGTAAGTTGGAAAGTGTTAAACATAGACAATTAATATATTGCTCATGTGTAAAAAATCATAATTATTGCATTGTTAAATTACGTAGAAAAATAGAGTCTAGAATATGCTCAAAATCACAGCACGTTTTGTGGCACCAATATTGTTTTGCGACCCTTACCGTAAACATCACAGACACAGTTCCAAAGGTTCCCTTTTCTCTTTTTAGCACAAGCCCCAACGATTGGTTCCGGCCTCTTGTCTCGCCGAATGTGATTGGCGATGACTGGAGGAGAGGAAAGAAAAAAACATAATCCAATTACATTTTTTTTTAATCAGGGATTTTAACCAGTGTTCCTGCCTACACGCAAAATTCTCCCACAGCAGGGTGCGGAGTAAAACCCCCACCACTCCCACCCCCCCCCCCCCATGATCCCATTCAACCTTAAGCTCTCTCTCACATTATGGAACCCTAACCACACTGCCCCAGGCTCCAGTATGCGGCTGTGGTCATCCAGAACAGACCGTACAACGTATAACGACACAATGCCCGATCCACAAACGCCAAGGAGACATTGTGGCGATGATATTCCGCTGCTCGTGATGCGGTGATCTGGCTCGGCCACCTGATTGTGAAATTGTAGCTGTTGTTCTGCATCGACATCAGCAGCCATGAAGAATAAGAATACCCCCCCACCCCCCCCCCCATTCTTCCCTCCATTTGAATTCCTAAAATATACGCTTTTGGCAAACCTTACTGACGTTATAGGCCTGTTGCGTCGGTTTTTTTTTTCAAAGGGGAAATAAAATGAAGGTTTCAAAATGCTTGAGACCCAAAAATTACAAATACGTGCTATCAGTATTCAGCCTCTCTTCACTGTGCTTCAGGTAACATTGCCTAATACCATGGCGACAAGCCTACTGAATGATCACTTAATTATACACAGCCAATGTCATGACACACGCCATTCCCCATAAATTACCGGCGAATTGTGAACACTTCAGTCGTTTGTGTCCCCGTTGCGTTTGATGCTCTACGTGTTTGGTGAATCAGAACACCGAGACGCACCGTGTTAAAGGCAACGACTCCAAAGGCATTGTCGTTTGAGAGGATGGTGACCGTCACTGACTTGGGATTCCCCACCGTCACGTCCGCAGCGTCACCCTGGGAATCACAGCAACGTCAACAATCGACTTGGACAACGCATCCCGCTGAAACCACAAAAGTGTCAACTTATACGCTCTCGACTTATCCATCCCCTCGTGAAAGGCTTTTCAAAATTTTTTTGGGGGGGCCAAAAAAAGGTCGCAGCGACAATTGTGTTTGTGCTGTTTTTGTGTGTGTGTGTGTGGCTGCCGCAGCCGCTGCTGCCGCTGCTGCTGATTTACTTGTGCGGCCAAGTAGAAAGTGAACGTTTCATCTGCCTCGGGAATGTCATCGTCAGAGACTCCGAGCACCACGGCCTTGCTGAGGTTTCCCAGCGCGGGAAATGAAGCGACCACGGAGGGAGTAAAGAAGTCCCACGTGTTCTCCCCTTGCAGCTGCAATGACAAATACAAATGACATATACAAATGACAAGCACTACAGCACATTGCTTGCGGGCGTACAGCAAATCCTTTTCATGGCGTATGAATTCATTGATTGTATTCAAACAACGCGTTATTGTGTAAGCATTCACAAAAAGACAGCATAATGGCAATTCCATATCTCTAGTTCCATGTATTGCGACACTCCAAGGGTGATATAGAGATATATATATAAAACAAAGTAGTTAACAACTCTTTGTCAATGCACGACTGGATGACGACCTTCCGACAGGAGTTGGTTGACCAATACTTACTTCACTGTCCTGACCAGTGTGGTCTGGTAAAATGTGAAATAGCCCAGGATTGGAACAAATATCACTTGCCACTGAAATGAACCATTGCCACGATTCAAATGTAGGTTCACGGATATATATGTACAGGTATTTACCATAATTAAATAATACATATCTATTGCACTTGTCTATAGGTCAGTAGGAGCAAGGGAACATCTGTCTGTCATTAAAAATTCAATGTTTTCACTTTATTTGTATCTCCGTTTAATCGATTGCCATGTGCGTTCCGTCCTCGTGTCAAAGCAATTGGAAATTGAGTCAACCCATACACATGATCAGAGTGCACGTTGTGTTTCACTTACCAGAATATATGCTGCAAAATCTTGCACAGCTGATCCGGTTTTCTCGATAGTTAGTTTAACGATAGAGCCATCCGATTCAGTTACGACAAAATGTGGCTGTGTCACCAACTTTATTTCAGCAGCTCCAGATGTTTGGGTTGCGGACAGAATAAGCCATAGCAATGACGAGCATAGCACAGTAAACATACCTGGAAAGCAAATAGTGGCGCAAATTTGTATTCGTGTAAGTGAAAACCTTTAATAACACGGTAGATCTTTACGTTTAATACTTTTGCATGAATGTATCTATTTCGTCATTCACGTGGCATTTGAAGCACAACTGACAATAGTAAAGCTGTATGTTAAATTTGGTAATCAAGTTGATGCCATAGGGAGTTGCTTTTAATTCAACAATATTATACCCATCTCTTCAACACTGTTTTTTGCCATGCATAATAACATTTAATGACCACTATTAAAACGATGCATTATAGTATACAGCCACATGCGAAGATGCATTCAGTGAGAATATTTTGTATTTGCCACTGAATTTTATTTTCACTCTCTGGAAACCTTCAAAAACAAAATCATTCCTGTGCGGATGAATCACAAGGCGAAGGCTAAGTCACTGCAAGTGGGGCATCCTCCAAATTTAGTTTCTCGGACTATGCATTTAATTATCGCCCATCACTATGCACGGACATAAATTTTGCATAACTCGCTGGCTATTCAAGCGTGGGGGTAGAGAGAGAGAGAGAAAAAAGGGGAGTTTCAAGGCAGTCTCAGGTTCCTGAAATGCAAGCCACCTCACCTACACCGCGTCGCATGCAACGATACACATGCTGCTTCAGAAGGCTGTCTCTAGCTGCCACGGAAGCAATTTGGATTACCGCCTGATATTTTATTCAGGGATAGTTTTATCTTTGTTCATTACATTCCAACATACATGCCTGACATTTTCCCAGTTACAGTACAAAATATGCGGTAGTGTTAATATCGACCCTACGGGGTGGCCCATAAATCTGGGATCGTAGGGGAAAATAACTAATTCAAATTTCTTTTTATTTCTGCAGGCCCAAGATGTCTCTGAGCAAGTCAGGAAAGAGTCCCGGATAATTCTACTCGTAGGGAATCGGAGAGGGAGGTCGTTGTTGAATTTTACAGACTGCATCCAGACCGCGAGCCAATAACACAGAGGTGTGTTGTTTTCCTATGATTCCAGACTTATGGGACACCTTGTGTAATAAACGAGGCACGGGTGGAGGCTTGAATCGTTTTACCCATGTCCCACTGACTATCCCACATTGGGGAGGAAATTCCCTAACCATGCAAGATAATACATGTTGTGTTATCAATCAGGGTGCTTAATTTTTTAACAACAGAGTGGCTATTTGCTGCTGATGTATCACATCTCAAGATGCAGCCTTATTACGGCACTTTATGCAAAATAACATTCAAACAGGCGAATGGAAGCATTAATTCAATTACATAGCATAACACGCGGGGAAGTCGATGACGTCGATAATAAAGACTCACAACAGCGGGCTGTAAACGACATTTATCTTCACGAATATTACATTGTCAAAACATGTCACTGAATTTCTGTGGATTTTTTTTTTTAATAATCGGGTACGTACTCACATTTGTTTTGCTCTGACTCCATTTTTCCGTCTCGGATGGCGTTATCGACTAAGGCACATTTACAAAAGCATTCAGCTGCTGGATTACCACCGAGGAGCTGACCTGCTTACACGAAAACACATGGCACCTATTACATAGCCGGATGGATGGTTTTCCCTCCGCAACAAAAGAGAAGATAAAAAAACCCACTGATCACATCATCTTGGCTGCCAGAAACAACTGCCTATGATCATGATCACGGCAATTTCTTTGCGGTTGCAGACACAAATGTTTATTACACTTGCTCTGTACGGCTTTCGGGAGCTACAGCTACTAACAACAGCTCACCCCCCCCCCCCGCCAACTGGAGGCTTTGTGAGAAACAGACGGGGATTATCAATAAGCAGCAGCAGTGCGTGTCTCCCGACTGGAGGAGCATCAGGTTGTAAGATTGAGTCTTGGTACGAGACAACGTCAACATGAACTTATTTGCCCGACGGCAACGCGGTGCTACAATGATAATAGTAGCAAACTAAAGTACTGGGAAAATATGAGCCGCATAGCAATTTTTTTATATTTTTTCGACTGGACATTTGTTACAAAGAGCTTTACAGCTCATCAGATTCCTCCGGTATGAATACCTATTTTGATTCTGATCTTCTGATATGAATAACTCAACTGATGAATATTAACAGGTGCAGTGAGATTTCATTGAGTATCATTGCGTAATAAAATTAATAACCCCCCCATAAATAGTATGTAAAATTAAATTTCTACATCGTGCATAAAAATAATTTGGCATACAAAGCATGTTTTGAAACACATTATGCATAGGCACACATATTCTATATTAGCATAAACACAAATACACTCACGGAATTGATCAAACAAACATATGATGAAAGAACCTAATCTTTTTAAAAGCATAATGTTCGTTATTATATAGACATATGATGCATTAAGAGTGAATAACAAAACTGCATTCAATATATTGAAAACACCATTTTATATAAAAAATTATATTTTATTGGCAAGAAATATAGTTTTTTTTTATCTCAATAGAAGATATTGTTGAAAACGTTAGCGTTGCACAATCATTAATACTAAAGGTACTGTTGGTATTAAATTGAACAGAGTGGAATTCCAAAAAATATAACTGCAGATCGATATTGACAGCAAAAAGTCTTCACTTACCTTGTAGTTGTGTTTATTTTTGTCATGGACAAAGCAATTTTCTATCACCTCTGGCCTGGGCTGTCATGTAATTGATTAGTGTTGCGCTTCCAAACTTCTGAGATCCACCAGCTTGCAAATACAAACGCAGCCTTGCACATTCAAAATGATATCTTAAAACGGAAAGCAGTTCTGACAATTACAAAGACTGTTGCACTCAATACTCAGTCTTTCACCGCTCCAACAAAATATATACTCGGGGGAGGGGGGGGTTAAACCATTTTTGCAACAACAACAAGAAAAAAAAGCAGCAAATAAATACAAATCCTGACCTTCGGTGCACGTCCCATACGTCCACAGAAGTGAGAGGTAAGAGGAGGGGTGATGGAAGGGGTGGAGTTAACTTCGTGACGTCGCCGTGAAGGCTGCATCAACGCCTGCCTATGCTCCTTGTGTGTGTGTGTGCGCGTGTGTTTCATCAGCACCACCCTCTTCTCTGGCCATTTATTCAGAGCTCTAAGACAAGCAGAACCAACCAACACACACACACATATACAACAAAATTTGACTCGGTAGTGTACTGTAATCCACATGCAAACCCCACATATTATCTCAGCAATTGCGTTGTCGTTGGAAATGAATCAAGAAGCTTATCGGAAAAAAAAGAAATATAAGTTGTTGATTTGAGCTGTCTCACGCTGTGCATTTTGCTGCTGTTCCCCGTGTTACTCCCAGCTCTGTCGACTCCTCGTTAACGCAACATGTGCAGTGAACCAGCCACAGGTTGTCTTTTTATACCGACTGTCATCGCTGCCTTTGCTAAACATGCACAATAGTCGACGTGGCCGTTCTTGGGAAAATCCAATTTTACCCATATGATATAGTTATTCATGAATCCTTCAGTGAATTAGAGGGAAATACCGTGTATAAAATGTTTTATTACGCTTACCTCATGAAGGCTAACTTCATAAAGTACTCCTAATTACAGTATTACTTGAAACAAAAAAGAACTGCCTCTTTTAAACGTCTACTGCAACAATAAAGGATTGTTATATTTAAATTAACACTTCATTAAAGGGAATCGTTTGGGATTTTATTTAAAAAAGTGCTTTAACAATGAAGCAAACTGCTTGTGGCCAAGGCAGCCTTGGTGTGAGAAATGTAATTAATCGGAGCTATATCTCAGTCTCGCGTGAAAGAAAGACCCGCAGTTTCTAGGCAGCTTTGCCACAGCGATGCAGACTGGACAAATAACCCTTTAACAGTGTCAATAATGCCGCAAAAAATTCCTTTCGGAGCTCGCTATTCACTGCACCTCAGTTTTCATCAAGTCGCAAGAAAGAACCTTTCAGCAGGTTTATTCACCCAACCATAGATCAATTCACATATTCATAGCAAATCCTGCCTGGCAACAGCTGTGCTGCTAACAGGAAAGATCTCCGTGGGGTCTGACTGCCTGTGATGGATGGCCCTGACATGTCATGGATGTCTTAACCCCTACGCTGTGTGTTTCCATGATGGGAAAGGCCGACGACTCGCTAGCCCTGGCTCTAATTCAACCCTTGTCAGTTTAATGGCTAAAAAAATCTCCCGTTGATATTCGTTTCAGAGGCCAAACGGAACAACCGTGTGCGTTTGCTGCACGGCTGAGATTTTTCTAAGCAATAATTTGCCACGGTTAGCACTTGTTGCAAGTACACATTCGCATGCATTGTTGTTGCGTAAACTTAGTGACGTGATTTTTGTTCAATTATGTATGACGCTACTGCATCTCAATTGGTCATTAACCGCATGGTCTACATGTCTGCGGATGTGTGTTATCTAATGAGGAATACAATGCACTTAATGCAAGGGGCATTTAACTGCAACTTAACTCCGCATGGCAACATACAGATTTAGAAGTGCAAAGGCACTGGAGCAATGCACTTTAAATCGAGATGTGTTTCGTTTATTGTCCTTCCCCTGCACCTTTGGTTAGCATGGTTGCCTATGTACATTGCGAAGGAAGTTCGACATACATACGAGGATATTTTAGCTAAATATATCAATAACTATCGGCCTTGAATACACTCTAACTACTGATATGACATTTATTATTAATACACATTCTTAAATGCAAAACAAACAAAAAATCCCTCTCACCTGAAAGTGCGTAATGTATATTTAACTGGTGAATGTCTATAGTACCATCATAAAATGCAGCAATTCAGTCAGTATTAATATAAAATAAATAGGCTTATCAACCAGAGTTTTCCGTGGCAGTGCATACTTTACCCTAATAGTGACAAGTTTACAAACAATCAATACGCCCATCTTAAAATGTGATCAAATTGTTTGACGTTAACAATTGCACAATTTTCGATCTGTATTGATGCAGACATTCCACCGCGCAGCATTTGTGCAAAGCTGATGCCATACAAGAGAGAGAGTCCCTTTGTTGTCCGCAGAGGCCCCCCATTATCCTCTGCGTAGTTTGTTTACAGTCTGACATCATGTTTGCTCAGAGAGGATTATGCGATCGCTTCGAGGCCACGCGAGAGAGAGAATGCTCGCCGTGCCTCGGACTCATTAGCATGCACGATGGGCAATGCTCAGCAGGCATGGCCCAGACCGGACGAACAAAAGAAGCGCACTGCTATGCATTCACTTGCCGCTCCGTAGATTACAGCTGGCTGGCTCTCTGTCTCTCTGTCTCTGTGTGGGGCGTTCCTGGAACCAGTGGCTGCTTTGTTGCCATAAATGCATCCTTGTTTATATGGTGCTAGGCCAACCCATAACCGTGGTCTCTCACAAGGCTGACGTCTTTGTTTATGTCTAGCCGTTAAGTATTTATTCTATTCTTTAAGTGAAAGCAATTCAGTGTATGCTTAATTGCAGCACTGTATATGCAGAAAACTCTCTTTGGAAACAGTGGTGTATCATTAACTAACATGTATGATGGGCGATACTTTATACGCAGTTTGTACCATCGTCTGAAATGTTAGAAGTGTATTATAATAAATTAAAGCGCTACAATATATTCAGGGCGTGAGTAGATAAAAACAATCTGAAATTATTTTGAGTAAAAAATTATGTTGCGAACGTAACATGCACTTTTTTGTAACCAATTCAATAATCCGTAATTGTTCAGGGCACGTGGTAGTTTCATTCCAAGATTGTTGTCCTTAACCCTCCACCACCCAACAAAATTGTCACGTTTACAACGATATGATTTATTCATGCCTATGTATTGATGAAATTCAAAACTTTTCATGACGGAATTTAAGATCAACATACACGTGTGTTGCTGTATCTTGATGTTAACTTCGGTGGTGAAAATTCTTCAGCCACCGGTGAGGTCTCTTGATCAGCATTTAATCGATATATTGGCATACCTAACAGGAAAAAAACAACGTGGATAAAAGATTGAAATTTTTATTTTAATGTCAGACATTTCAAATGCAATAAAATATTGTTGTAAGCATTCGTTTCTCTCTGTGAGGGTAGGTCTATGGCTCGAGCACCTTCTGTCCCATCCGATCCAATGCTACTACAAAAACAAACTCCATGTAGACTCCTTGAGCCATGACTAGGGAAGGATGGTTGAGGTGGTTTCCCTCTGCCCTTCTCAACAGTGTTGGATGCAGTTTAGCATCATGCGTGTAATTGTTTCTATCATAACAAGTAAAACATTTAATGTCGGAATTCTTATACGAACGTGTACTGTATCTGAACGAACAATTTTCGTGTCATGATTAATTAAGTACGCATATTTAACTGACCAAATATTGTTTTAAGAAATTGCCATTGATTATCTTAATGTTCTAGCAGCTGTTAACAGTTATTTCAATACAGCGTTGACATCGATCAGGCTAACAAAGTTATGATACTATATGCAGACAAATGTGCTCAGTATTGTCACAAATAAAACTATTAACGGCCCTACTTTTTTTGCAGAGCATGGCACACTTTTTATCATCAATCAAAAAAAAAGTCATTGACGTCTTTCCAAGTGTGCAAACAAAAGGGAATCCGTGTGCCGTGTGCAAAGGAAATAACACGCAGCAATTATACTGCGTGCCTTCTATGCAATCCATCGGTACCTGAATGGAAAGTTACCAGGCCATGCAATGCTGTCAGCGTTCCCTATGTAGTTTCCTTGCGGCTCAATACGTTGTAAATGTTAACATGTGCATGCATTCAGAAGCGTGAAGAAAAGCTTGCATTTTGGCCACTGAGCCCAGCTTTCACAATTCCTTCCACCTGCTGAATTTTATTGCCGGCCACTCCGTGGGAGACCGCACGACTCCTCCGTACCGCTATTGGTTTAAACAAAAATATAAAACCGGTGCCCAACAATGGCTTTCAATGCGGTAGTGGCAGTGTAAGCACTTTCAATTGAAAACATGTCAAGTGAAGAAAAAAAAGTACACGACACCTTCCAAATTAAATCCCGTAATTAATTACAATTTATTGTGAGTGAACCGCACGTTGTTTCGAAGCTTCCTGTAACTTCTTCTTTGGCTCTTTCGGTAAAGTCACGTAGAATGAGAATAAAATAATTATAAAACTAATGAGAATAAAATCATAATTATAAAAATAATAATTATTTTATTCTCATTCTACGTGACTTTACCGAAAGAGCCAAAGAAGATTAATCCTTGCAGTCACGAAAGCTTTAAATCGAAATTTTTCCTGTAACTTGTTCTCTTTGCAGGCGGCGTGATCATAACTGTTATCTGATAATTGGACAGCAGGAGGCATGCGTAGCCCAAGGCCCAACGAGACAGGGGGGACACTGTGAAGAAGGCAATGTATGTACCGTACTTTGAATTTATTTTCGCAACGTACGTAGCCAACCGTGATCATCGGAGGTGCGGGGGAAGGACAATAAACTAAACACACACACACAAAAAAAACAGTTCAAAGGAAATTAGTTTTCAATCTAGATTTTAAAGTTCACAGTTCCAGTGGCTTCACAATATCAGAGCGTTCTGAATTCTAATATAGTAAATATATTTGCACTCTAATTAGGGGAATTCTTAACTGTGCGTTTAATATATTCCGTCTAAATTGGCTCGTTATGATGACACGTTCAGCCACGTGCATGTTGGTTTATTATATTTACACGCGTCATCTGGCGTGAGCTCGTTTCAAGCATATGAGGTTTCTGCCACCGTGTGGCTAAATGAGGTTATGCTGCACGATTCGTATACAGAGTGCCTCAAACGCGTCCTCTGCAGTACTGTATTTGTGAATCTTTGTGTATGCACGAGATACGAATAGTAGAAATTAGTCCATGAGCCCAGACCACATACTTCACTTGTCGGTACCACCTGAGGTT